CGCGCGCGCGCGCGCATTCCCCGCGGACCCGGCGTTGGTGACCCCGCCGCCCGCGCTGCCCCTGGGGCCTCCAGGCCGCTCGCCGGCCGCCTTAGAGCCGTCCCCCGGCACCCCGCCCCCAAACCTGTCGACTCCTGCGCTGGCCGCCGGCTCCACCCCGCCCTTCCCGGTGGAGGCATCCCGCGGAGGGCCGCGCCGCCCGCGCCTGCCCACCTCTGCGGCGGGCCTCCCGCAACCCCCGGCCCCTGCGGCCGCGGGGCGCCCCGCGAGCACCTCCAGCCTCCGCAGTGGCTTCTCCCTCCTCCCCCGGGCTGGACCTCCGACCCTCCTCCCCGTTCCTCTTGTCCGAGAGGCCTTTCCCGCGGGCCGAGTTACTCTGTTGTGTTTTGACTGAGCGCCTTTTCCTCCCCCTTTTGTTGAAAAATGTCAACTCTTTAGGAACTTCTCCGTTTCCTCCCCGAATGTATTCAAAAATCCGTAGACTGTCACCACTCAAACGGGGTTATTTCTTAGAGGGCTGTCCGGTCCAGCAGCTGGTTTTAGAGATGAGGCCCAGCGAGGTTGATCATGAGCCCAAGGTCAACCAGCTAGTTCAGCCTGCAGGAGGACAGGTTTTCTTAGGTGCTTTTACCTGGTCCGTGTCCATGTCCCAGATCAGGACCTTCTGGCCTACAGGTCTGTGATAGACCCGTTGCGTGGTGACTCACTGTTTGCTTTCCATAGCTCCCAGGCCAGCGTGGCTTTTCATAATATATATACAAACCTTGAAAAAAACCAAACGCCTGAAGCTTTGGCCTCTTTTTAGCGCTTAGCCACGGAGAAAGGGAGGACGGCCTGGACCCACCTTAGGTCCTCATTTTGTACAGCTTAAAATTTGGGGGTGGGTAAAAGTGTGGAGAAAGAGGAAGGAGAAAATAGGGATGCTTGTTTCCCCTGAGCGTTTGAGTACCCTTTGCCTTGGGCATGCCTTGTGTCTTGAGATCTACTCCTGGGCACATTGTTCGCATATAAAGGTTGCCTCCTTGTGGGGGAGCAGGGGAGGAGTAGGAAATCATCGTGCTTTAATTTGTTGGCTTGGGCATTTGATAATAAATCATGGATGTGCTGGAACCCAGGGACCCACCCACCAGCCTACTGAGGCAGGGTATTTAGAGTGAGGCCCGCCTTCCCCTTCAGAATAACCCTGCCAACTCCCTGGGAAGCAAAATGAAGTCTTAGCTCAGAGTGAAAACATTCTAAATCTTTTCATTCTTAGCGCAACTTTCCCCCTCCATCTGTTTCCTGATTAAGCGAAAGAAACATCCAGCCCAGCTTGAGAATTTATAATTCTTTGTTGTTGGAACTGGTTTCTGATTAGACTCCCTACACCACGCTCGTATAAGCATCTGGAAATTCTCGTGTTATCTTGTCATAGTCCAAGTTAAGTAGAGAAGATAGAAAATGCAGGAAAATCGGGAAGTGCTATGCAAGTCACTTACTCCTCATCTTTCCAGAGAACTCATTTTAATGGACCATTAAGCTTCCCTCCAATAGGGTCTCTCCTGGTAAATTAACAAAACTTTTGTTCTTCAAACCTTTCTCTCCATTCTGCTTGGTTTTTCTAACTGAACCTGCTGTTTGTGATCTCACAAGTTAGTGACTTGCTACGTGGGGGAGATTATTCTGAATGAGTAAGGTGAGATGGGAGGCAAATCCCTCCCCATCGGTGCTTGTTTTTTGTTGTGTTACTCAGTCCAGCTTCACCATTTTGAATACTCCTATGTGACAGTATTGCTTTCTGTCTGAGAGCAGATCAGAATCACTCGGATTTTTGTGACCTACCACAGGCTGTTGTCCGGATAGTTCCTGACTCAGTTTTTGTTTTTATTGTAAAGAATACAACAGCTTATTTTGTCTAACTCCCAAATTATTTGAATCTGCTGAATGCATAGTCCCCTGGGTTGTATATGTCCAGCCTGGTTCTTAAAGAGGAGACTGCAGGGGGTTCGTGGCTCAGTCTTTCTTTACCTACTGTTTAAAAATGTTACCAGCCATTGCCATCAGTAAAACTGAAAGCTACTTTGTATTGTAAGATTTTGATTTGGCCAGATAATACAAAAGCCAGGTATCTGAAGGCACAAAGAAACAAATTTTTGCTCAGATACTTTGCTCTTGTAGAAGAGGAAGAAGGATGGCCTTATTTTCATAAAGAAAAAAAAAAAGACTAGTTAATTGGAAATATTTTGTGATCTTCTCCCAGTTCTACCTGCTTGGTAGCCTCAGATAAATGACATTTTCTTTCTTGGTTTCCTGGTATAGCTTTTTTATTTTGCCCATGAAGAAATTTAGGACTGAGATGAGGGCCGGCCCGGTGGTGCAGTGATCAAGTTCACAGGTTCTGCTTCGGCGGCCCGGAGTTTACCAGTTTGGATCCTGGGTGTGCAGACATGGCATTGCCTGGCAAGCCAGGCTGTGGCAGGCGTCCCACGTATAAAGTAGAGGAAGACAGGCACGAATGTTAGCTCAGAGCCGGTCTTCCTCAGCAAAAAGAGGAGGATTGGCGGCAGATGTTGTTTTAGGACTAATCTTCCTCAAAAAAAAAGGAAAGGACTGAGATGAAAGTATTTTGCTCAGGGTATCAGAATGCCGTTAAATTTGGGTAGTAGTAGTAGAAGATATGAGTGAATTGACGTAAATTAAAATTTATCGTTGTCTTATATATAGAGTCTTCTGTGTAGAGCCTAACGTCCTTTGCTCAGGAGTAGTAGGCTTTGGAGTATTATCACCCTGCATTCAAATCACATCCCAGCTCGCCCTATCAAGGAGCAGTTTCCTTAAATCTCCCTGAGCTTCAGTTTTAGCCCAATGTCTTGTAAATAGTAAGTTCTTAATAAATCTTAATAGCAGTTATTTAGTTAATGTATTTATTTTTGCTGAGGGAGATTCACCCTGAGCTAACATCTGTGCCCATCTTCCTCTATGTTGTATGTGGGTTGCCCCCACAGCATGGCCCCTGACTAGTGGTGTAGGTCTGCACCTAGGAATTGAACCTGGGCAACCGAAGTGGAATGTGCCAAACTTAACCACTAGGCCACGGGGCCAGCCCCAGCAATTATTTTAGATCAATTGTTTACCAGTTGGACACATTGAAAATTCATCTGAAAAGGGAATCATAGGTCTGAAGAGATCTTATAGTTTATGTAGACCATTGGTCTTGAAAGTAGAGTATGTGCACTCCCAGGCATGCACAAGGTGATCTGCTGGAATACAGGAAAAAATTTAGAACTGCTGTTTACATTTATTTTTTATGTAAAAAAAGAAAAAGTAAACTCTGCTAATATTTAATATACAGATTCACAATAATTTACATATTTAATTTATAAATAAATACACATATATTGGGGCATATCAAAAAGATTTTACAACATTAAAAAGTGTTTGAAGTCCACTAACCTGGACCAGTCTTTACTCGTATGCTTTGGTTCACTTTATGCTTTCCTATTAGGTACACCCCTAGCCTCTCTGAATGTCCATTGGAAGTGTCTACCTTATGAGACAGGCTATGATCATTCTGTAGTTATATTCGCTAGAAATTTGTCTCACTGTACATTCTAGCCACTGGCCCTGTCTTCCTATTTGGGGACGTGCAAAATAAGCCTGACATCTCTTCCTCGTAATCTTCAAATACTTTGACAGCTGTTTATGTCCTGTGTCTTCCTCTTCCTCAACCAGTTTTTCTGCAGCTTAGACACATGCCCATTTCTTTCAACTATTTCTAATATAACAGGTTTTCAAATTTCTCACAATCTTGGCTCCTTTCCTCTATACACCCTCCAGGTTGTCAAAATTCTTCTTAAGTTTTTCAGCAAGATCTGAACATGACATCCCAAGGACTGAAATGAAGTTGAAGTGCCTGCATTTAGTCTTTAAGTGGCGAGGGATGTATTTGAATACGTATTATTATGAAGGCACCTCATGTTCACAGTTTGTCACCCTTGTTGTTTAAACATCCCCAGGAAAAGTACTTTCCATTATATAACCATATAGTGAGTGTTGGACAGATTATTTCTCTCCTTTTCAGTAGTGCTCTCTCTCTTAACTCTGTGTCTTAACTTTTGTCTCAAAAATACCTAACGTGTTAAGTGTTTTTCCAGTGGGAAAATAAATAAATTAATGAAATGATTGGGTTTTTAAAGTGTATTTAAAAGCTTAGGAAATAGACTTTTTCAAATAGTGAGTGGAAAACAGAGCTATTTGTTGGTATATTTCTTTGCATTTTTAGATCTAATTTTGAAATCCTTAAGATGGGAAAACTTGGTTGCCCCTGTCTGCCTTAAGGCCAGTGGAGCTGTTTGACCAGCAGGGAAGAAAGGTGCTTTTTAAGTTAAAACTTTTATTAAGCACCATGTTAGATTCAACCTGAATAGCCACACTGAATCTACAATCGAACTTAGACCCAAAGAAACTGTTATGTAGAAGGTATAAATGTTTTATTAGTTCAAAAACAAAAGCAAAACCCCGGAATTAAATGTTTCTATATGGCTGTTTGTTTTAACCCCTCTAATCGTTTTTTCGTTTTCCTTTGTGCATTTTAATTTTCCATTCCTTCCTTAGACACTGAAACCCCGAACAGACACCGTAGTCTGATGGGAGCTACAGCAATTCGTCTTACGGTTCTTCCCGATTCTTGTCTTTCACGTTGATGTTTCCAGCTCCATGTAGTGTGCGTCTTCGGCGTGGAATGGTTAGATATTAGGCCCCCGTAGGGAGTCCACGTGAACTGGATTGTGGTCACTGGGCCAGATGTGACATTATTGGGGTCAGGCAAATCTAATTTCAGTCACTCGCTGCACAAATTACCCCAATTGATCCTCCGTTTCCTCCTTTTGCAGTACTTTTGTGAGGATTGGAGGTGGTATGTCTGAAACACAGCATCTTTAGTCATTGATAGATAGCTATTATTTTCTGATAGTTGCAAATTTTAGTAATCTAAAGAAATATGTACACAGGATGTGGATGGTATTTTACATCTTCCGTCAGATACGGGATTTACCCAAAGCCTAATGTTTTAAGGCCTAATGTTATTTAGAATTGAGCTAATTTGTTTGCATAATTAGTGTTAAAATTGTTCGTTCCTGTAATTTATTTTTCATGAATGAAAGTGTGCTTTCATGTTTAGGGCTTGGTACATTCTGAGTCTGCAAAACTACTACCGTGGCAACCCAGTGTGTCTTGTTTCACTCAGTAAATGCTTAGTGATGAGTGTAACTCCATTCCCTTTCCGAGAAAGCTTAGCTGTGCTTGAGGATGGCAAAGGAAGGACAAAGAGAGAGAGTATGGCCTCCTGTTCTAGAAGCCGCAAAACCCCAGGTTTTTCTCTTTTTCATCATCGTTTGCATTTGCCAAGTGACCTCTTGAGCCTAATGGCTCTCGTAGGTATTCTGCAGAGTTGAATGAAAACAATCTGGTTTCTTATTTGTCTTTCTAGAAGGTTATCATTTCTGACTTTTCTAAATTTCGCTTATTCCTTCTTCACTATCAGATGCCGTATTTGGGCTCATCACTAATCATTTTCTTAGTAGAGATCTGTCAGAAATAAAAATAGTAAATGTTTGTCAAAAACCAGTGCCAAAGCCTGTGACTAATGGGGCCGGCCTGGTGGTGCAGCGGTCAAGTGCGCACGTTCTGCTTCTCGGTGGTTCGCTGGTTCTGATCTCAGGTGTGGACATGGCACCACTTGGCAAAAGCCATGCTGTGGTAGCTGTCCCCTGTATAAGGTAGAGGAAGATGGGCATGGATGTTAGCTCAGGGCCAGTCTTCCTCAGCAAAAAGAGGAGGATTGGCAGTAGTTAGCTCAGGGCTGATCTTCCTCAAAAAAAACCAGTGTCAAAGCCTGTGACTAGTTTTACATAATCTGTGGTACAGTTGTTTGTGTGATGTGTACTAACCAGTGGATTCTAATCATTGCTGTAATAATTCTTAACTGTGTAACTCTAGCAGCCTAAAAGACTGATATAGATTTCATTGAACTAAGTGTCTGACTCTTTGTGTCATTTGGTGTTCATAGTAACATATAATCATGAAAAATTAATATAGATGTAGAGCATATACTTAGAGCAGATTTTTTAACTGGAATACCCTGTTCCTAAATAATATTCAGGCCTGTCTGGAAGTTTAGTGATGCTGGATATTTATGGGACTCAAGCCGTTGTGTCCTGTAACTCTTCTCTGCTGAAAATAAACTCCAGTTGTTTGCTTCTAGGCAAAACCACAGTGAAACTTAAATTATTATTTAAAACCTGACGTGTAATATTTAAGTAAATGATAACAAATAACTGTTGCTGTTAATGAATGAAACATGACATAGACATTTTTTCCCTCAGGTATAGAATGAGCCAAGGTGACTCGAACCCAGCAGCCATTCCACATGCAGCGGAAGATATTCAAGGAGACGACAGATGGATGTCTCAGGTAAAAGGAAGTACACTTTATCATTTGCGTGAGATGAGTCTCTTCGTTTTTGAGAGTCTTTTGACCAAAGCCGCAAAGGGGGTGTTTTTAATGGTCAAAAAAGAATTTATTACTGTAAATAAAAATCTAACATTAGAATGTCATGCCTAGTCACCATCTAATGTTGGAACTGAGGACTGTTTTGAAAGCATGGTAATTGCCCTGTGTTAATTTTAAAAGACAACAATGTCTCTACAATATTCTTTCTTAAGCTTTCTTTTGAAGTCATTTCAAAATTATATAGATATTACAAACATTTTATAAAGAACTGCATATATTCCTCATCTAGACTTGTCAACATTTGCCACATCTGCCTGATTATTCCGTTTGTATCTGTTTGCATATGTGTATCGCAACATACTGTTTTTTTCTGAAGCATTTGAGAGTAAGTTGCAGGTGGTATGCCCCTTCAGTCCTAAATATTTCAGTGTGTTTTCTAAGAACAAGGACAGTTTCTCACATAACTACAGTATGGTTATTAAAATCAAGAAATTTGACATTGATATTATACTGTTACCTAACCCAAAAATCATGTTCCCATTTCTCCAGTTGCCTGCACAATGTTCTTTTTATCAATTTTCTTCCCAGTCTGGGATCACACATTGCATTCGGTTGGTGTATCTTCATTCTCCTTTAACCTGAAACATTTCTCAGCGTTTATTTGTTTTTCACAACATCGACAGTTTGGAATAGTATGGGCCATTTATTTTGTAGAAAGTCCCTCAATTTGAGTTTGTCTTTTTCCTCGTAATTGTGATTCAGATTATGCATTTTCGGCAGGAATATTAGTGAGGTGATGTCTTCAGAGCATCACATGAACGGCACGTGATGTGAGCGTGTCTCATTGCTGATGTTAACTTTGATCTCTTGGTTACGATGCCGTTGGCCTAAACCAGTTCTTGTTTTGTTATCCTAGTATGGACTCTTGGGTTCCTATTTTATTCAATGGGGTGTAGTGTGCTGTAATGTTGAAGCTCAGATTGTCCCAGGTTTAGCAAGTGGGAATCCCTTCAAGCTAGCTCCTTTGTCTTCTTGATATGTCCCATTGCTTTTTTAGCCCTTTATTTTCTTCTTCAAGATTTTTAGCTTCCTTTTAATGAACTGTTATCACATAAAAATAACTCTATTTAACCTTTATCTGTTTGTTTCCAACCATATTACCTCTTTGAAGTAACAGATTCTACATGATTTTAAGTCCCTGAAGTTTTGTGTTTTAGTATTTAGTGATTCTGTTTATACTCTTCATAACTGTATAGTATTCTCTTTCTGTCTGTATCTTCCAAGACTTAAAAAGCAGTCTGTCAAGTAGCTTGAGGGGTAGGTTTTTTCCAACTGTTCCCATATGGATGAGCTACGTGGTTATTTTTACTTAACCTTCCTCATTTGTTATTATCTTTTAAAAAGTATTATGAAATATTTTGAACATCTGTGTATTTGCCATTCACCCTGAAAAAATAAAACATTGCTAATAGAATTGCTGTTCACTGTATAACCCTCATTGATCACATTTCTTTCTTTCCTACCTCCCCACCCCCAAACCAGTATCCTTAATTTTTTTCATGAATTTAAATACTACACATATAATCGGTAAACAATATAAATGGCATTTTTGCGTGTTTTAAAACTTTATGTAGATGGTATTTTTCTGAATATGTTTTTCTGCAGTATGAGATACATGTTAGAAGTATAGCTTTAGTTTTTAAATAGTATTCCATTGCTGTATATGAGAATACCACAATGGATTTGTCCATTTTCTCATTGATGAACATTTAGGTCATTTATAACTTTATTAAAAAGTAGTAACTAAAACTAGATGCATTTGTTGTTCCTGGCATAAATTAGCAAGCTTTAAATAATTAGCACTGACTGGAAGAAAATTAGTCAAATGGAAGAAAAACAGATATGAATATTTAAACATTTTTTAAAACTTGGATAATATGGAATGACTAACTTTATTAAATATTAAAATGTAGTACATGCCCATATCTTGGTTTTTAAATACGTTTCTCCAGTAAAAGGAATGAAGGCTCCTTGAAGAAATGATTGATTCTACAACTGGAACAAAGAAGTAAAAGATGAGCCTGGAGCATCTTGTAGTGCAAGAAACAAGGAAATACTCAAAAAAGAAAAGGAAAAAAAGATGGATGGCAAGAATATCACTGAAGTGGTGTGTCCTCAGTGCGTCACATAGAGGACATGTCATATTGGTTTGTCTCATTGATGATATTAACTTTGACCACTTCCACCCAAATGCAAAGTTGGAAAATTTGAGCAACACGATAAATGATGATATTGGTTACAACTCAAAGAGTAAAATAAGTATTCATGAATCCATTCTGCTATAAATAAATGATTGGATGAATTACATAAATAGAGGAGAAGGGGCAAATCTTCCTTACAGAATAATTTTCATTAATGTAGAAGGAAGGAGGGAAAAGAAAATCATGGTTGAACACGACAGTAATAATTACTGTAGGCAAGATCTATTGATGAATACTAAAATTAGTGGGCACAACTTTAGGGAGAAGCATATATTTGCCTAGCCTCAAAGTATCTTCCTGTTAATTACTTTGGTGATTTTTACGTACGACTACATATTTTTTGATACTCCTCCCTCTGGGAGCTGCAGCTTAATTCCCCCCACCCTTAGTGTGGGCTGGATTTAGTGTTTTGCTTCTAACAAATTGAGTATGGAAAGGAAAAAAATAACGTTTTGGTGGAGAACCCTGGCCAACACTACCTTAGCCAAGTGATCAATATTAACATCACCAGTAATAAGTCATGTTGATATCATGTACCTCCCCGATATGACCTAACAGGGGCACATCACCTCTCTGATGGTCTTCCAAAAAGATCTGTAACCTCTCTCTATTCATGAGAAAACATCAGACAAATCCAAATAGAGGGATATTCTACGGAACACTTGACCACAACTAAATGTGTCAAGGTCATGAAAGACAAGGAAAGACCGAGAAACTGTCCCATGTTTGAAGAGACGAAGGAGACATGTAGACCAAATGTAGCATGATATCTTGGACTGGTTCTGGGAACAGAAAAAGGACATTAGTGGGAAAGCTGGTAAGATCTGAATAAACTGTTTTAGTTAATAGTGTTTACCAGTGTTAACGTCTTAGTTTTGACAAATGGACCATGCTTATGTAAGACGTTAACACTGGAGGGAGCTGAGTGAAGAGTACATGGGAATACTCTACTATCCATCTTCTGTAGATCTAAAATTATTTCAAAACAAAACATGAAAAAACAATGGTGATGAAAACAAGTATTGAAGTGACACTCAATGCTACCCTTGAAGTATTGGCACAATATCAAACTCCTAATCTAGGCTTAGCTACCCGATATCAGCAAACACCTGGAACAGATGAACATATTCATCACCGCCACAGGGATGCAACCAACAAAATTCAGACTGTGGAGATTCTATAGGTTAAACAGTCATAGTCCTTAAAAAATAAGTTTGGGAGGTGGTGGCAGAGGGAGGGAGAACCTGTGGATTAAAAGGAACTTTTTTTTTTAAAGATTTTATTTTTCCTTTTTCTCCCCAAATCCCCCCAGTACATAGTTGTGTATTTTTAGTTGTGGGTCCTTCTAGTGGTGGCATGTGGGACACTGCCTCAGCGTGGCTTAATGAGCGGTGCCATGTCCCCGCCCAGGATCCAAACGGGTGAAACCCTGGGCCACCAAAGTGGAGTGCGCAAACTTAACCACTCGGCCATGGGCCAGCGCCAATGAAAGAGAATTTAAGAGACAGATCGTTTGGATCCTGATGGGAAAAAGAAACTACTTTAGGTGGTGAACATGATGTAGACTATACAGAAGTTGAAATATAGTAATGTACAACTGAAATTTATATAACATTTTAAACCAGTGTTACCTCAATAATTTAAAAAATGTAAAGCAAAAATAATTTTGTAACATTGAATTTGAATACTGACTGGTTATTTTATTGATATTAAAGAATTAGTATGAATTTTGGGGGAATAGAATTGGTACTGTGGTTATATTTTTTAAAAGTCTTTTTGAGGAGTTACAACTGAAATATTTATACATGAAATGTTATATCCTCAATTTGCTTTAAAATAATCTGAGGATGAGGGGTAGTAGTTTGGAGAATGACTGAAATAATAGTGGCCATCAGGTAGATGATTGCTCTAGGTAGTGATGGATACATGGAGATTCGTTGTTTTAGTCTCTCTGCTTTTGTGTATGTTTGATATTTTTCTTAAGAAAAAAATTTTTAAGATGATATTGAAAGACTTGACTGTAGAAAAATTTAATGCAAATTGTATCAAAACATATTAACCAGAAAAAGAAGTCTCAGCAGCAGACTGAGGAAAATATTTGCAGTAAATATTACAGATGAAGTATTGATATTCTTTATTATATTATCAATAAAAATATGTTCAAGGTACTACTAGATAAGTATCTCAATAAATGTGTCAGGAAGCGTTTTAACTTTTTGTTTCCAAAAAGTACAGATGAAAACAATGGGAAGAGAAAGGAGGGAGGGGGAGAGAGAAATATTAATATCCAGCGCAGGTGCAAGAATGGTAAAACCAGTTCTGATGCGTTGCTGGTCAGTATAGGTGTAGCCCTTTTAAGAATTTAGAAATATGTCCAAGATCCATCAAAGTGTTAATTCCCTTTGACCTAAGAATTCCCAACATGTAAAAAATAAAATATGCGCAAATTTCTTCATCACAGTAAATAGCCTCCTGGCGAGTCTGTCAATAGGAAAAAGAGCTAAAAAACAGTTTTTTTTAATGGATCTGTCAGTAGATGCATTCAGTAGGATATTGTGTGGCTGTTGATTATGGTTATGAAAATTATGTAGCTACATGAAAAAATACTTCCAGTGTAATATTAAGTGCAGTTATAATGGCTGCTGTTTATTGAGTACCTACTGGGTGCCAGCAAAAGTTGGGCCCCTTTCAAAGAACTCTCATCTTCACAACTCTAAAGCAGGGTTTGCCAGCAGGTGTGAAAAGCAAGACTCAGCTTATGTACTTGCTTAAGGTCACTGGACTAGAAGGAATCCTAGGACAGGCTAGAATTTGAATATAGATTTTTCTGTCCCCAAAGCCGTTGTGCCAGAAGGAGGTATACATAATAACTATGTTAAGTCGGGGAGGGGCATGCGGAAAAATGGCCAGAAGAAAATAACCAAAAATGGTAACAGTTATTGGGTTAAGATGGTAGGATTATAGTTGTTTTGCTTTGATCTTTTCTGTTTTTCCAAACTTATTGCAACTACTTTTATGCTTAAAAAGAAACTGTAGAGCAATCTCCCAAAGCTCAGTCAAGAAGAAGCAGGCGATTTGAAAGACCACTCACAAGGAAAGAGATTGAAACAGCAATCAAAAGCATCCCAAAGAATAAAACACCAGGACAAGAAGGCTTTCCTGGGGAAGTCTACCAAACTTTCAGAGAGGATTTAACACCTATCCTTTTCAAGCTATTCCAAAAAATCAGGGAGGATGGAACACTTCCTAACACATTCTACAAGACCAACATCACGCTGATACTAAAGCCTGACAAGGACAGTGTGAAAAAGGAGAACTACAGGCCAATATCGCTGATGAACACAGATGCAAAAATTCTCAACAAAATTTTGGCAACCTGAATTCAGCAATTCATCAAAAGGATCATACATCATGATCAAGTGGGATTCATACCAGGGACACAGGGATGGTTCAACATTCGCAAATCAATCAACATGATACACCATATCAACAAATTGAGGAATAAAAACCACATGATCATCTCAATAGATGCAGAGAAAGCATTTGACAAGATCCAACAGCCATTTATGATAAAAACTCTGAACAAAATGAGGATAGAAGGGAACTACCTCAACATAATAAAGGCCATATATGACAAACCCACAGCCAACATCATACTCAATGGGCTAAAATTGAGTGCCATCCCCCTGAAAACAGGAACGAGACAAGGATGCCCTCTATCACCACTCTTATTTAACATAGTACTGGAGGTTTTGGCCAGAGCAATCGGGCAAGAAAAAGAAATGAAAGGAATCCAAATAGGGAGGGAAGAAGTGAAACTCTCGCTGTTTGCAGACGACATGATCTTAGATAGGAAAAAGCCAAAGAATCCATTGGAAAACTTTTAGAAGTAATCAACAACTACAGCAAAGTTGCAGGGTATAAAATCAATTTGCATAAATCAGTAGCATTTCTATACTCCAGTAATGAACCAACAGAAAAAGAACTCAAGAATACAATACCATTCACAATCGCAACAAAAAGAATAAAATACCTTGGGGTAAATTTAACTAAGGAAGTGAATGACCTATATAATGAAAATTACAAGGCCTTTCTGAGAGAATTGGATGACGACATAAGGATATGGAAAGATATTCCATGTACATGGATTGGAAGAATAAACATAGTTAAAATGTCCATTCTACCTAAAGCAATCTACAGATTCAACGCCATCCCAATCAGAATCCCAATGACATTCTTTACAGAATTAGAACAAAGAATCCTAAAATTCATATGGGGCAACAAAAGACCCCGAGTTTCTAAAGCAATCCTGAGAAAAAAGAACAAAGCTGGAGGCATCACAATCCCTGACTTCAAAACATACTACAAAGCTACAGTAATCAAAACAGTATGGTACTGGTACAAAAACAGGTGCACAGATCAATGGAACAGAATTGAAAGCCCAGAAATAAAACCACACATCTATGGACAGCTTATCTTTGACAAAGGAGCTGAGGGCATACAATGGAGAAAAGAAAGTCTTTTCAACAAATGGTGCTGGGAGAACTGGAAAGCCACATGTAAAAGAATGAAAATTGACCATTCTTTTTCACCATTCACCAAAATAAATTCAAAATGGGTTAAAGACCTAAAGGTGAGACCTGAAACCATAAGGCTTCTGGAAGAAAACGTAGGCAGTACACTCTTTGACATCAGTATTAAAAGGATCTTTTCGGACACCATGCCTTCTCAGAGAAGGGAAACAATAGAAAGAATAAACAAATGGGACTTCATCAGATTAAAGAGCTTCTTCAAGGCAAATGAAAATAGGATTGAAACAAAAAAACAACCCACTAACTGGGGAAAAATATTTGCAAGTCATATGTCTGACAAAGGCTTAAAATCCTTAATATATAAAGAACTCTTGCAACTCAACCACAAAACATCAAACAACCCAATCAAAAAATGGGCTGGAGACATGAACAGACATTTCTCCAAAGAAGATATACTGATGGCCAATAGGCACATGAAAAGATGCTCATCATCGCTGATCATCAGGGAAATGCAAATCAAAACTACACTAAGATATCACCTTACACCCGTTAGAATGACAAAAATATCTAAAACTAATAGCAACAAATGTTGGAGAGGTTGCGGAGAAAAAGGAACCCTCATACACTGCTGGTGGGAATGCAAACTGGTGCAGCCACTATGGAAAACAGTATGGAGATTCCTCAAAAAACTAAAAATAGAACTACCATACGATCCAGCCATCCCGCTACTGGGTATTTATCCAAAGAGGCTGAAGTCAGCAATCCCAAAAGTCCTGTGCACCCCAATGTTTATTGCAGCACTATTTACAATAGCCAAGACATGGAAGCAACCTAAGTGCCCATAAACAGATGATTGGATAAAGAAGATGTGTGTATATATATGTGTGTGTATACACACACACACACACACACACACACACACACACACAATGGAATACTACTCAGCCATAAAAAAGAATAAAATTATCCCATTTGCAACAACATGGATGGACCTTGAGGGAATTATGTTAAGTGAAATAAGTCAGTTAGAGAAGGACAATCTCTGTATGACTCCACTCATATGAGGAATTTAAAAATGCAGACAAAGAGAACAGATTAGTGGCTACGAGGGGAAAGATGGGGTGGGGGGTGGGCACAAAGGGTGAAGGCGTGCACCTACAACACGACTGACAAACAATAAAGTACAACTGAAATTTTGCAAGATTGTAACCTATTGTTAACTCAATAAAAATTAACAAAAAAGAAGAAAGAAACTGTAGAATACTAGAATCTTTAAAACAGCAAAGCTTAAATTCCAAGACGTTCTATAAACATGAGCTGCGTTGTTGGTATTAAGAGGTAGTTGGTAAGACAGGACACGCAGTAGAGAGTTGACGTGATGTGAAAGTGCACCTGCTCACCAGCTTTATTCTTGCTCATCTTGTCCCTTCAGTTAAAACATACTTACTGAAGGGGCCAGCCTGTACATACCTCTTACCAAGCCATGCTGTGGCAGGTGTCCTACGTGTAAAGTAGGGGAAGATGGGCACGGATGTTAGCTCAGGGCCAATCTTCCTCAAAAAAAAAAAAAAAACTTGCTGAAACAATACCAATTTAAAAAAATATATTATTTACGCAAGACATGGATATAAGAAAAAAGAAAAAGCAATCTCAAATCCTATCACCCTAAGAAAGGAGCTATTTTAATAAATTGTCAAATTATTTCTGGAAGTATTTTATTGTTTCACCTATAGCGGATGAAGATCTGTTTCACCAGTGTCATCTGCACTGATATTATCAGCAGAAATACTTAAATAGTAATTCTACCTTAATTCCTAGGGGACGCAAAGCTGAATGTAGAGTTTGAGAAACAGAAACAGCATTCGCACCTTTCCCTGGAACTGAGTTAGAAACCTTTTGCCTAAAGTGTCATGTAAATTTGTTTTAGAGATGAATATAAAAATGTAAACTACATCCTTTAGCATCAGTGGGTAAAATCCATTTTAAAATGTGTCTCGTGCCTTTAGAGCAGAGAGAAGCGTTTCAGGCCTCGGTCACCACTGCTTATAAATTTGGATTAGACTGAAAAAGGCTTGAGCACTAGTTGGCCAACATCTCACATTTGGAAGTTAACAGACATTTTCAAAGGCCATATTAAAAACATCCACTCCAATAAAATACATGCCTCTTGATTAGATCCTGGTTCAAAAAAGAGATACATAATACTTCAGCCAACTCTTGGAACAATTGGAAAGATTGAACATGGTCTGAATATTAGGTGTTAGGAGATTATTGTTCATTTTCTTAGATGTGATAATGGTTTTGTGGTTTTGGTGGAGACTGCCCTTACGCTTAGGAGACGGCATGTGAAATATTCAAGAGTGAAGAATCACAGTTTGCAGCTTACCTTCAGATGGTTCAGCCGGCACACACAGATAAAGCAGCTGTGGGAAAGTGTTCTTGTTGGAGACAGGTGGAGCTTGTACCGGTGTTCAGTGTACTTCTGCAGCTTTTCTGTATGTCTGAAATTTTCTGTAAGAAAGGCTGAGGAAAAGGTACAGACTTTTTAAAAACGTGTGAAATGTATTTTTCTATTCTGTTTTCAGTTGAATTCAAGTTTTCTTGAGCATACTAGAATGATCTCTTTGGTAAGGGTGGGAAGAAAGTTCCAGCAGTTAATTGCAAATTGAGAGGAATCAGCTTTAGGCACAGTCCAGATAGAATGTTCAACCGCAGAGTCACTGGTTGGACAGCTGTTCTCTCTAGGCCAAGAAATCTCACAGGAAGAGAAACGCAAGCTTCTAATTTTTCTTTCTTCTTCAAACCAGCACAACAGATTTGTCCTGGACTGTAAGGACAAAGAGCCTGATGTCCTGTTCGTGGGGGACTTCATGGTGCAGTTAATGCAACAGTATGAGGTAAAGGTGTAAGGGGTGGCAGAGGTTCCTGGCTACTAAAGGAAATCCGTTCACTGCTAACAGATTTTCATCCTGGGCTGAACCTCTAGACTTATTTATAACTCTTTAGAGGAGCTCAAGATCAGAGTATGAGGGAACTCAGACCTACCTAATGGGATTCTTTGTGCCCCCGAGCATGATGAGACAAAATAATTAGCATTGTTTAGAACTGAATGCCCTTTTTTGTTTTGGCTTCCAAGAAGCTTCACGTTATATTTGTTTATATTTGTCCTCGTCATGGTTTTCAGTTCTTCTTATTTGTATTTTACTCCTCCCTTACTTGTATTTGCTCATTTATGTTTGTCCTAGTCATGATTCTCAATTCCTTTTTTTTTTATTTCTGTTTTATCTCCCCAAACCCCCCCTGTACACAGTTGTATATCTTAGTTGCACATCCTTCTAGTTGTGGGATGTGGGACGCCACCTCAGTGTGGCCTGACGAGCAGTGCCATGTACGCACCCAGGATCTGAACCCTGGGCCACCACAGCGGAGCGCGCGAACTTAACCACTCGGCCAGGGTTTTTTTTTTTTTTTTTTTTTGCTTTTCCTGCTTTATCTCCCAAAATACCCCTGGTACATAGTCGTATGTCTTGGTTGCAGGTCCTTCTAGTTGTGCATGTGGGCCGCCGCAGCAGAGCGTGGGAACTTAGCCACTTGGCTACGGGGCTGACCCTGATTCTCAATTCTTATTGTTTGTGTTTTACCTTACTTTATGTATTTTTGTTGTGAACTATTCTGAAACTTTTTTTTTTTGAGGAAGATTAGCCCTTAGCTAACATCTGCCACCAATCCTCCTCTTTTTGCTGAGGAATCCTGGCCCTGAGCTAACATCTGTGCCCATCTTCCTCTACTTTATACGTGGGACGCCCAAGCGGTGCCATATCCACACCCAGGATCCAAACCGGCAAACTCCGGGCCACTGAAGCAGAACATGCGCACTTAACCGCTGCGCCACTGGGCCAGCCCCTGAATCTTTTAAAGTTAGACATTCTTCCAAGGGAAATTTAAAAGAATTCTTACTTCGTTTGGCTGCAGCACTCTGAATTTCTTCATGTCATGTTTCTGCCTCACCCTTTTCCTTTACATAGTTGAGTAAAGGGAAAGAAGCGTTTACTGAGTTGGCAATTTAATTATAAATGTTGGTACCTCTTAAGGAGCATCAGGTTGAGTTGGGACTCAGTTCTTGAGCTGAGACCTAATGCTGCATGAAGAACTGAGTTATACAATGGCATCTTCAAAGCCCTATAAACAGCGAGTAACGCGCTATGTGCAGTGTTATATTTGAACATAGAAAATAGAAATTATTGCAGATGCTTCACAATATGTTGCAATTGAGGGAGTTTACTTCTCACTAATTTTGCCTTAAATAAATCATGTTTTTCTGTTTTTAGATATGGCGAGAGCTTTTTTCCCCACTTCATGCACTGAATTTTGGAATTGGGGGAGATACAACAAGACATGTTTTGTGGAGACTAAAGAATGGAGAACTGGAGAATATTAAACCTAAGGTGAAATGAAACTTTTTTTAAAGAATATCATTAATTTTGAGTTTCTTCAGGTAGTTAAATTGTCTGAAACTGGTAGTAAAAAAAATTGTTTCTTTAAAGCATAATTTCACTATTGTTCGTTGCTTCATGCCCTTTTAAGATAAATGATATTGTCATTGCTTAAGAATATTCCAAATCATATTTAATTAAGGAATCAATGTTTTGTTTGCTTGGGTTGTATTAGTAATTGTTAGAATTATCTTCAGCTCTAGGAAGAGATTTGCTGCTAATGAGATGTGTTATTCTGTGGGCCTGAGGCAGTATGAGGGGGGGAACTGCTCAGAGGTGGGCTGTGGGAGCCAGGCCAGGGTTCACTTCAGGAAGTAATTTTGGATCTGTTTAACCATATAAACAAATTGCTAATCAAGGCCTCTGAGTTCTTCTGAAGAAAATTTGAAACAGATGTGAAAAAATGTTCACCATAGACATGTACCTAGTACCTTATCACATTAGAAACGTCCTGAGTTGGCACACTGCATATAATTTTTTTCAACCCTGAACAAAGAAAAAAAGCTGAGGCACTGATAACAGTCTCTTTAGTTGAAAGTGTTTTATTCTTTGCCTTTCTGACAGAAAAACTCATCCATGGTCCTCTCTTTTGTGACAGGATGCAGAGTTACTTTGTTGGGTCATATAGTAAGATGTATGTCTCTAGGTGATAATCACCTTGTAAAATAATTTTTTTAAAGAGAGAGACTTGTTAAAACTGCTTCCAGCCTCCACCCCAGTGACTTTTCGTTGAGTACAACTGTGTATTTAACCTATTACAATTGCTTGGCTGTTTTTATTTTTTTCTAGAAGGTACTTGTAGTTGGCGAGTCTTTAGGACGTGAGTTGCAAATATTTTCCCCCAGGTTTCTTAGATTTCATTTAATGAAAAATTTTTTTTTATATGCAGAGGTTTTGTTTTTATACAGTTGAATTTACTATCTTTTTTGTGTAGTTTCTGGATTTTAAGAGATTAGCTTCCATCAAAGCTCTGTGATGGCAAAAGAACTGTCTTATTTCCTCCTGGTATAATTTTACCACTTAAGTCTTAATCTACTTAGAATTTATCCTAATATATAAGAGGCATAAATCACTGTTCTAAGATGGCTGCTCAATTGAAGTTATCCAGCACCATTTGAGAAGTTCATCTTTCCTTGTCATCAAAGAAGGAAATCTTTTTTTTTTTTAGATTTTTTACTTTTTATTTTTTCCTTTTTCTGCCCAAAGCCCCCCAGTACGTAGTTGTATATTCTTAGTTGTGGGTCCTTCTAGTTGTGGCATGTGGGACGCCGCCTCAGCGTGGCTTGACGAGCAGTGCCATGTCTGCGCCCAAGATTTGGACTAGCGAACCACTGGGCCGCCTGCAGCAGAGCACGGAAACTTAACCACTCGGCCACGGGGCCGGCCCCCGAAAGAAGGGAATCTTGAAGTAAGATTTTCATCTAAATAGTGGACACTCCTTTATTCCTGGGTATTTATCTTTCTTCCTTTTTTCCTTCCCTCAATTATAGGTCATTGTTGTCTGGGTAGGAACAAACAACCATGAAAATACAGCAGAAGAAGTAGCAGGTGGAATCGAGGCCATCGTGCAGCTTATTAACACAAGGCAGCCACAGGCCAAGATCATTGTGTTGGTATGTAGTCTTTGGGGGAATGGACACCTTGATATCAGTAGGTCAGGCGAGGAATCTTTAGAAATGTGATCACTTATGAAGGTAAAGAATCTTTAGGTGGAAGCAGTTTATGATACTCCTGAGAAGCTCTTCTCTGATATATCCCGTTATCTTACCGGTCTCATCATTTCCCAGACCAGCTGTGGGGTCATCTTTTATCTGCTCATCCTTGTTTAGCAGTGGAAATCCTCTTTGTGGCCTCAGGTCATCTTTTTTTCTGCCTGTCTTCTGATAATTTTTTGAATTGCCGTGAGTCTCCTAGTCCTGAGTCTCTGTTCATTAGCCTGGGGTTTGGATTAGCTTGGATATGTTGTTCTGTTCCACTGTTGATATGTTAAAGGTGAGGTATTTATTAGAATCTCTGAGTTCTCTAAAACATTAGAGATTCATCAGCAAGAAAATGGGTACTTTTCCGTTACCCCTAACAGAAAGTGCCACCCTTTGTAGAGTTAAGTGTTGGCTTCCTGGTCTCAGAGGTAAGCAGCTGTCTGTTTCAATGTAGAAGATTACCTATAGGTATTCTTAGTCCAATTATGTATGTTTTAGCAAAATCTGATATCCACTTCTTTAATGAAATAGTGTTAAGAAGGTAGTCATTTATTCAACAAGTATATGAGGACCACTATGTACAAGGCACGGTCTGCACGGTCCTGAGCATGTGAAAATGAGTAAGACATAGTCCCTGTCAAGGAGCTCACAGTCTAGCAGATGGACACAACAACATAAAGAGAATTATTATACTGTATGTTAACGCGAGTAAGGGGAGCACGCGATGTATTTTAGACATAAAAGTTGAACATCTGAGTTTAGTTTTAAAGAATTCATTGGTCTCTAGACAAATGGGGAAAGGAAAGAAGAGAAGGCATTACAGAGAAAAAGGAAAATCACCTAAGGCTTATACATGTATGTGTGTGTTGGGTGACTGAAAGAGGATGTTAGGACAATGTTAAGATTGTCATTGAGTAAAGTTTGAGGCTGACATGGTTAGGAGAAAGAGGACACAGCCAGGTCGTGTAGGAATTTGTGTGCACGTTAGAAGTTTGGATTTTGTCTTACTGGTGCTAGGGAACCAGGTCTTATTTTTTTATTACATGGTATTTAATTTACTTGTTTCTATCTTGCCTTTTTCCAGAGAATTACATTGTGGTTACGAGTCCACCTCTAAAGTACAGTGGCTATACACAGTAGTTGCTTAGGACATATTTGTTGCATGAATGTGCTGAATAAATCCTCCATAAATATTCTTTGTTTCAACCAGACTTTTTCATTTGATATACAGTGGTGTTATCTACAACACTAAAACATTGGCAGTAACCCAGTCAACCCCATGGGGGAATGATTACAGAAGTCATTGAATATAATAGCACTAATCATGACAATTACAAAGACTGTGTGAAAACAGAATTTATCATCTATTTAAGTGAAAAGGTGGAAAACTAAACAGTATGTATATTTTATTTAGGATTACTTAAAAGTATATATGCAATTAGAAAAGAAAATTAAAATAGTTCCTACATAGTGAAGGAATTAGGAGCATAATATTTTTATTTTGTTTAACACAATATTTTAGCAATTAGTAGTAATTATAGGAGAAGAATCACATGGCATACCCTTGATGCTAATATATTAAAGAGAATGGTATGCAAATACATAAGCTGCTTTTCTCATCCTTGCTTGAAAATCCCAGTAGGTATATACGGTGCCCTGTTCTTGAAGCTTAGTTCCTCTTCATTGCTTTGACTGCTGTGGTATTCTTTGAAAGTCAGAACAAAGTATATGTTTGTTGTTCACTGGCCATCCTTCCTGGTTGCTCATTATACCTCAACCAGACTTTGATATGTCAGCAGTGAGGGCTGTTCTTCTTTATTAAACTATTGCATGCAGAGTCATACCTTTTTTAATAGTCATATAAACTTGGGTTTAGGATTGACCCTATCGGTGACATTTTTGAGTTGCTTAACAAGGATAGAAGGGGATGGACTGGGGTAGCAGAGCTGTAATTCTCTTTTGGAACTACACAGTCACACTATAAATGGCAATCAAGGCCCCCCAGCATTTTTCTGAAAAAAATTTAAAGCAGATATGAACAAGTCCTTACTTTGGGCATAAATTTTTTTTTCTTTTAGTAGTATTTTAGTAGAATACCCACAGAAAATCTGTTTTTGTGAAATAAGACCTCGTACCATACCCTGTAGGAAAAATGAATGGCAAAATTTTTGCCTAAATAACAATAATTTGTTGTGTGGCATCATTAGCTATAAACCAACTAAAAGGTTGAGGATGTCTGACAATAATTTTATAATAGAATCGATTATCTATAAAGGCTGTTTCCAGTTTGAGATGATAAAACCTTGCTCTTGCCATTTAAGAGCAGGCTTTTATTTACTGTAGTAGAAGGATAGGCATCAGATTTGTCTGAAAATTATGTTAGATCCTTAACATATAAGTTAAAAATGGATTTAGGACACATCTCTGTTTTATCCTACCAGATATTATATGGCTCTGATCCATCAAGGCAGCATTTGTTCCAACTCTGTTTCTCATGTGTAGTAGTCTAGGTTTATGTGGCATTAATAAATCTATGTGTATTTGAGCTAGATTATTCTGACGACCATGGAGAGTAAATTAAAGGGAAGACAAGACTGGAGGTAGGAAGACCAGTCAGGAGATTTACATTTATTAAGGTAAATATGATAAGTTCTCTAGCCATAGCAGTGTATATAATCAGAATGGAGAAAAAAGAATGGATTAGAAAAATATTTAGGATGTAAAAGCTGAAAAGTTGATGATAAATAGATAAGGTATATAGGGTGAAAGACTCAGGGATGTTGGAATGACCAGTTGATAGAATGTATGAGGAGCATAGTTTGGGGGAAGTTGAATTGCCTTTGGACGTGTTAGTTGGCAGTGCCTCAGGAATATTCAAGTTTGGTTCTGCAGCTGGACATTCAGTGTGCAGTTCTGAAGCGCTAGGAACAGATGTGGGCTAAAGTGTTTAGAGAGAGCAGAGTAGTGGGCCAAGAAGACCTGAAGAATACCAACAATTAAAGGGCAGGAGGATGGAGAGGAACGCATGAAGAAACTGAGAAGGAACACAGAGAACTTGGGTTAAAACCAGTCTAAGTCCAGTTTTTCAGAAATCAAAGGTGTAAAAAAGTGCCAAAGGGAACATTTGTTCCACGAATGCCTGCAATCCCAGATAAATAAGTAGAGAAAAACGAGTGACTCTTCTCATCTTATGTTCTTCTCCGTTCTGCCCCAGGGTTTGTTACCTCGAGGTGAGAAGCCCAACCCTTTGAGGCAAAAGAATGCGAAGGTGAACCAGCTCCTCAAGGTTTCCCTGCCGAAGCTTGCCAACGTTCAGCTCCTGGATACAGATGGGGGCTTCGTGCACTCGGACGGTGCCATCTCCTGCCACGACATGTTTGATTTTCTGCATCTCACGGGAGGCGGCTACGCAAAGATCTGCAAACCTCTCCATGAACTGATCATGCAGTTGTTGGAGGAAACACCTGAGGAGAAGCAAACCACCATTGCCTGACCGGCTCCCAGCAGTGTTACTAGCATCCCAGCTTCCTCAGATCAGTTATATCACTGGCACTACAGAATCCTTCTCTTTCTTGAGGCACTTTGCATTGTAGGATGTTCCTGGATGTTCATGTCTAGTGTTTGAAGGGGAGGAGGGGTTTAAACTGGTCCTGTACATAGGTTTGTTTGACACAGGAGAAAATTAGCCAAGGAAGATTTGTGTTTAGATTCGTTTGAAACCAGAAGGGGACTTTTTAGTTGTATGTGTGACACATTCATTGAATTATCACTGTTTTTCCTAGGACAACATCAAGCCTAAGTACTGAACAAAATGAAGATTCTTTTCTTGGCCTTTCTTTCTATGGATTATGTCATATATAATAATGATCAGAATCACACCTACTTGGCTTTAAAACAGATGTTTTTTTCCAGTTTTTAAGGTTTGTAATTTAGCCTTTTATTTTTATTTTGCTTTACTCATATGTATTCTCAGTATTTTCTTAACATATAGCATCAGATTGGACATGCTTGTCATTCAAATATAGGAGATGCTATAGTTACAAGTGAATTTGTTCCACTCTCTTAATCTTTGCCATGCTTAGCAGTGAAAAATAGGTTTTGCCCCATTTGGGGGACTATAAGGAGGGTATTATTTTTATGCTGCTGAATATCATGTCTATAATAGACCCGTGCATGCAGCCTTTCCTCCCTGTTCCCCGTTATCTCTGTTCTTTTTTGGTCCTTGTTGACATTACAAGCTTGTAACACGTTTTTGACCTAGGAGCTCTGTTGCTGGAAGTGTAAGTCCCCAGCCAGTTACTCTCATGATGCTATAATTGATGTGTAACTCATTCTCGTGTGGTGTTCTGTGCTGTAGAGTCTGTGTAGTGCTCTCCATATCCAGAGTTCTGGTTTGTTTTGTTTGTTTTTCCCTTAAAACCTGTTACAGTTTCCTCTTTTTGGGGAAAAAAATCAGAACTCTATTTTCCATTTCATAAGCCCTGACATTATTTCAAGTTTTATAGTATCTTGAGGTGTATATTTTATTTTTTTATTGGTTCAGTTTTTAAATTATATCAGTCCAGAAAAATTTGGCCTTTTCTCATGGGAAGCAAGTGAAGCTACTCTTCAGAATAGATGTTCTGCTTGATCCCACTGTTTTAGTAAAAAAAAACCTAGGTTTATGTAACTTTCAGGATTTCCCCATGATGTACCTTCATCTGTAATTTCCTTCAAGAGAGCTTTTTATAATCGTATTAGTTTGCTTGAGCTACAAGAACTGCCATTTTAAAAAATAATGGGACAATAGATGGTTTATTGTTCACTATACCTAAGGAATATGTACAAACTGGATCTATAAGCTTTTAAACTGGATCAGGTGGGTATTGAAGTCACCTGCCAAGATGTGCTCTGCAGTGATTCTGCGTAACGTGCAAGTCCAGTAACCAGGGCACATGTTTCACGTTCTGCTTGTAGCGCAGCTGGCAGTGCTTTTGTCTGCCGGAGGGGGTCGCTGATGTGTGCTGAGAGCCACTTCTGATTGAGAGCGATAGAACTTGGGCTGATGTTTTTCTTGTCGAGCTTCTTCCTAGGAATTTTTTTGTTTGTGTTGTTGTCTTTAAAAAAAATACATTTCTGAATGTATCATGTCTTCATTAACAACAGAAAATACACATGGTGTTTACTAAATTTGTTTACTATATTAAAATTTCTTTTTTATTTTTAGTAGCCCAGGTTCTTGAGTTTTTCAAGACTTTTTCTTAGCTGAGGTAGAGTTCTAGGGAGGAGAATTAATTAAGCCACAATTTTGTGTGTGGAAAGACAGTTTCCTTTCCAGGTCTTTCTCTGTCAGAAGTTGCGAGTATGGTCCAAAAAAACCCATTAAGCTACTCCTGCAGCATGCGCTTTTAGCTTCTCTCGGGACTAAGGATCAAATATCCCTCGTGAGCTGGCCTTCAGCTCCTTTGCATATGTGTGTAAACCTCTGATGTTACTACATTTTATATCTACCAGAGCTATTCAAGCAATAGTATTTGAACCACTAGCCTTTTAAATAAAAATCTGCCCCGTTGCTAATGTGCAGATATGGAGTCCACTTTCATTTCTTGCCAGCTTTCTTTACACTGCTTTAGGCAAAGTGTTCATCTGTTTTTCTTTGATTGACATCCCAGTTTGCTACAGTAACAGAACTTACTGCTTAATCTTTGGATTTCTCATACACACACGCACACACACACACACACGCACGCAAATTTAATGCATTGTCCAAGTGATATGTCGTAGTTGTCGGCGTGATTAAGGGGCCAACTTTCCAGGCAGCTAGCAGAGGTATTGATTCTGTTCCTCTCCCAGCAAATTTTCATTCCTTTGCCCACCCATTCCCACTACACTAGATGGCAGCCAGGGATGGGACTGTGAAGATTCTGTGGTCGCGTCTCGAGTGTGGCAGGTTAGAGATGGACTGCCCAGGGTGCTCTACAGCTTGTGGTTTTGCTGCCCACATATTCTAGACTGCCATGGGCCGTACTGGGGCTACAGCTTTGGGTCTGTTTTCACTGTTGAGGCATCTCTCTACACCTGAATCTTTTGTCAAAAACATTAACCCAACAAAACCTTGAGTAGCTCATGCCCTGCTCTTAAGAATTGTCTCTCGTTATTAAAAAAAATTCCAACTTTCTTTAAAGTTTTTTTAACCTAGTCACTGTTTACAGTTGTATGCTAAAGCCTGAAATATTGTCTGTGCTGTGGTGTATGAGCATTGCCAATTTTATATTTATTGCAGTGAAGAAGAAACTAAAAATATATGAAAATGAGGAGCATGTCCACGCTCCTAAATCTGTGTGGGTGCATGTGGGAGAAGTGAGTTGGGGTCTCTTGAAAGGAGGCTTTTTGGAGTGGGGTCTCCCAGGCTTCTCCTTGGTGTTCCTGCTCGGGGAGCACTGCTGCTAGCTGACCGGATGTCCCCAACAGAAGTTTGTGATTCTGCTTTGGCGAAGTTTCATTGACTAGTAGAACTCATTCTGTTTTAGTGCATATTTCAATATAAATGTAAACATTTCACTCAAACTTGCTGTCTTTCTGTCTCCTTTATCATAGTTTGAATTCCAGTAGAGATAAGAAGGGATGGGGTTTTTCCTACCTTATCACAGGCAGATTGGATACTTAGTCATCCTGCTCCCTTTCTGTGGGGCTGAATGTACCAAGCTGGCCCTCCTCACTTATCTCCTCAGGGGTGGAGGATGGTGGGGTGGGTTGAGCAGACATAAAGTATCCTAAGTAGATAAATGGCAACCTTGTCAAAGGGAATGTTTCATATTGGTTAAGAATATCTGGCAGTTAAAAACAGAATTAACTCAAACCATTAAAGTGAACTTTGACCCTTTTTCCTAATTTCAGTCTTTAAGATTTATTCACATTAAATGTCCCAGTTTCCACTGTTTCTTCACTCCTCACACTAGTAAGTACCAGTTTTTCTTTTTTATACTTTAAAATATCTCTCTCCGATTGCCCCAGCTTGAATTTAAAGCCTTCAAATTACATGGACAACTCTGAGTTCCTGTGCCATCTCGGAGGAGAAGCCTCAGGATACTGTTTCCCATCTGTTAACCCCTTGTACACTTGATATAGGCGCATCCCTGTTTTGCTGTCGATTGAGGCCAGGGAGGTTTTGTATCTTGTCCAGGGTGAGTCATGCAGTTTAAAATGGTTGACCCGACACTTGAACCCGGCTTTACCTGTCTTCAAAGTCCTTGCCCTTGCTGCTGGTCATTCAACCTGGGTTACCTTTTTGGCTTTAGATTCCAATTCACTGAGTTCATTACAGGCACATCCTTAGTTCCTCTTCAGTTGAAAGTCCTGGGAAGAAGTGACAGTCTTCTTGCCTGGACCAAGGCAACAACTTCCTTCAGTCTTTCTGCAGTCACTATACTTTTCAATTCCATCCTCTGTGTGGCCACAGAATTAGAATTTATTTAAAGTGCATTACCTGGTCCTCTTGTTTCCCACCTTAAAACCAGCAATAGAATTAAATTGTGTTTATGGAGCAAGAAGTTTCAGTGGTACACATGAAGGGTTTAAAGACTGCCAGGCTATTGTATTAGCATGCCAGTAAGTTCAGATGGATAGGCAGACACTACCTGCGTAAATGAAATAAGATTAAAAGTCTAAAGAAAACAGAAAAGTGTAAGTACAATCAAATTTCAGAAAGATAACTTTAGACGGGAGTTGCAAGCTTCCATATGTTGAGGGGTGGGCATGGGGACCACAATTGCAGATGAAAACTTTGAATGAGGGTTCACAGCAGAGCTTCAGAAAGCATGGCCGCCTCCCTTGAAGTTCACTCATAGGTGAATACGGAACCGCTTGCAAATTGGTTAGTCTGGATGTATGCTATGAGCCACCTCATCTGAACTGGCCAATGGCATCAGCCTCAGTATAACACAATGTGACTATGGAGTCCAGGATGGGGACCTTGAGCATGGACACAGTTCTCATTTATCACCCTCACCTCCCCACGCTAAACAGCCTGCCCCGAGCACAACCTCTTGAGAGCTATGTGACTAGAACAAGGGTCAGCTACTCAGCCGGCCGCCTATCTTGATGCCTAACACCACCAACCACTTCAGCAGTAATTACAGCAAATTGATATGCCCGCATAATGTTCCTTAGCAGCTAAAAATTTCTGTGGTTTTTGTAGCATTGATTTTATCACTCTTCGCCAAAGTGATGCTCTTGGGTTAAAATGGTTTACTCCTCTAAGAGGATAAAATTGGGAGATATTAAACTGAGGTATTTTTGTTTTTCTCCCCCCATATCTAATCACACCAAGTTCTCTCCCCCCCCCCCCCCCCCCCCCCCACCCAGAGGCCTTGCCTTTCTCAGCTGCTTGCAGGTTCCCCTTAGGTCAGCAGTGAGAACAGCCTGGATCCTGAGGCTTTGTTGAGTGTATGCAAACTACACCACATGACCCTCTTCAACGGCCCAGAAGCAGTGGAAGAGACAGCAGTGTGGGAGAAGGCAAAGCTCCCTCACCAGTATCTACTTGGGGAAAAATTGGACAAAAGCAGAAGGAGAATCCATCTACTCTTTTCCAGCCATGACGGGTGAAATCTTAGCTCGGCTACGTATTTTTACGTGTCCATGATGCAAAGATCTTAAATGTTCTGCTAAACACATAGTCTTTCTTTGACTCTGGCCTGATTTTATGCTATGCTTCTTGCCTTTTGATTATTTGCTGGCTTAGGTTAGCTTAAGACACTAAACAACATGTATCATTTTACACACTGATCAAGTTTTGACAGCACACCTGTAAAGAATTCATGACACATCAGTGTGCTGCAGCATGCTCATTGATGACCACTGCGAGTCTAAGCTATTAAGTAGAACATCCAGTGCTCTCTGTGACCTGGCCCTCTTCAATTCATATCCTCCCACCCCTTACTTTGAACTTTCATGACAATAGCATGGAACTCTGAGTCTATGCCTTTGCCCCAAGTTGAGACCCCCTGTCTGGAATATGCTCCTGCCCCTTTGCTAGGCTGGCTCCTACTCATCTTTTAAGAACCCCTCAGGAACACCTCCTGGAGTGTTTTCTGATTTCTCCTATTTCCAGCTCTTATCTATCCTATGTCTTTCATCTCTGAGTTCCCACAACCCCCTGTGTAAATCTTCCATCTTTACCCTTATCACTCTGTATTATATGCTTACCTATTTGCCTATACTGCTAGAGTATGATTTCCGTAAAAACAGAGAATGCATTTTAAGTATCTTCATGTTCCCAGCACCTAGCTTAGTGACTAGTACAAACTAGGCACTGAACAAATGAAGGAATGAATGAATAGGAGATTGAGTGATCTGTTCATGGTCACCTAGCTGGTAACTGTTAGCATTGAAACTGGAATACAAATCTTTTGCCTTCAATTTCTGTTCTTTTGCTGGTACCATGCTGCTGCTTGTTATTCCTGCTATAAATAAGGGCAAACAGAATTCATTTAAGAACAACTGGAACAGAAACATGCAGTACATACCTATTACAAAAATTTATGAGACATTTTTTGAATCATTTGATTAGAATTAGATGGAATTGATAAAGATAGTTTTTATAGGAAAAGTGAAACTAGAAGAAAAACCTAGACTGGCTCAGAGGAACAAAGGCATTGTGAATGAGAAAATCACCATCGTGAAGGCTCCGAGGACCAAGGAAGTAATGCAGGAAGCTGTGGGAGTGGCCTACAGCTGAGCTGGAGTGGGAAGCAAGGAATGCCTTTCTGTTACTGAGAACTGGGAATAAGGACTGGGTAGCTTCTTGCGATCTTTAGATACAGCCAGAGAGGAGTAAAACATTCTTCAGTTGCATCTTCTGATTTCTTTTTCTTTTTTTTTTTTTTGAGGAAGATTAGCCCCGAGCTAACTACTGCCAATCCTCCTCTTTTTGCTGAGGAAGACTGGCCCTGAGCTAACATCCATGCCCATCTTCCTCTACTTTCTATGTGGGATGCCTACCACAGCATGGCTTGCCAAGCACTGCCATGTCTGGACCCAGGATCCGAACCGGCGAACCCCGGGCCGCCAAAGCAGAAGGTGCACGCTTAACTGCTGCGCCCCAGGCTGGCCACGCATCTTCTTATTTCTTAGCCAGAGACTCTAGCTTTCTTGAAATAGGAGGATGGCTGGCTCATTGTTATCAGTGATCCTGGGAGACACAGATTTGAGCTGATCAATTATTTATCTGCTTGTTTTCAGCAATCTGATGACCAGTGAGTCTCATTTCCTGGAAAGCTCTGATGTTGGTTCCATCACATGGCCGCAGGGAGCCAGATTCAGGGCCCCAATGTATTGCGCATGTTTCTCGGTCTGAATGTTGAAAGCCCAGGTTTAGGAAATGGAAAGTGGCTGATCCACTTCTGGCAGGATGTCCTGCCTGCTTGGTCAAAGCTGCTCTCCCTTGACTCCCCTGCTTTAGACATAGTTCAGGAAGATGAATGCAGCCAAGCCCAGCTCCACCGTGTGGCATTTAGGAGGACAATGGACATAAGACATGCTCCTGAAGGCTCAGAAAGTTTAGTTTGCCTAGGATGCACAGTGCAGGGGTTTAAATGTAGAACTTTCTGACGTCAAAGTCCTTGCTTTTTCCATAATACCATGAAGCCATGTGACAGGTTTGAGATCTTATCTCCAGAATGACAGAATAAATATTCTATCTTTAAGTGATTCTGAATCTGCTGTGCATCCAGTTTTCACAGTCCTTGAAGGAGAGAGAACCAGACACAAGAACAGCCCTGGGAAAGAACAGAACTTGCATGATGGAAAGAAGTGCTGTATTCTTGCTGCCAGGGCTGCTTATGTCCAGAACAATTCTATTTGACCTCCAAGTAGATACACTGACCCTTTCCATGGTTACAATGAAAACAGGGAACTTCAAGTCCATTTTCTTCAGAGGGGTTGGTTTTGCAACCTTTTTTTCTGGGTTAAATTACACCATTACTTAATTCTAAAATCTGATTTGATTCTGCTCCCTATCGTAGGCATGGCCACTCCCTAACCCTCAGGTTCCTAAGTTACTAAATTGGCTTCAGCTAATCTATTTACCATGCTTCTTGTAATGGCCTGTTCTTGGTGCAGTCTTAGGGTCATTTTTTTTTTTTTAAAGATTTTATTTTTCCTTTTTCTCCCCAAAGCCCCCCGGTACATCGTTTTGTATTTTCAGTTGTGGTCCTTCTAGTTGTGGCATGTGGGATGCCGCCTCAGCATGGCCTGAAGAGCGGTGCTTGTCCGCGCTCGAGATTCGAACTGGTGAAACCTTGGGACGCTGAAGCAGAGGCGCAGACTTAACTCCTTGGCCATGGGGCCAGCCCTGAAGGTCATTTTAACAATACCCCTGAGCCAGGTGAAGCTTCCTTCCGGTCCTCTTGCTCCTAACCTTGAAAATCCAGTGACTTAAAATGGAGCTGGACCCATGGAGAGCTGGGAACCTTGTCAGCTGCCTGGTCAATGGCCCCAAGTCCTAGGTCCTTTCTGCACTCAGGCCCTGAAGGATGGCCCATAGGGAAACAGAAGGAAGTCATCTGAGCCTTGCGACCCGACCCTGCCCCTTTCATCACCAGGGCTGGGCTTTTGATATAACATGGCAGAAAAAGCAGTAGCTGGACCCATGCAGAAGGCCAAGGGCACTGCCCGGAGGCCTTGACATCTCTGCACTCACAAGTCTGGCTTTGAGACCCGGCACTGTCCTTTTACGCTAACTGCTGTAGCCAACAAAAAGCCTTCTCTCCTCTCAGGGCTGCCAGACCTCAGAAAGGGCCTATTCATAACTGGGTTGTGCTGTTCCCTCCCTGGGGGTGGGGCAGAAAGTCTGAAGAAAGTTCTGCAGACTTCAGAACAAGAAGAAAATCTCGAGCTGCTGCTCTCCCTGTCGGAACACTCAGGCTGCTGAGGATTCAAAGGTGAAGCCCTTGAGGCCTTGCAGAAGGGAACGATGCCCTCTAGGTTTATTTGAGTAGATTTCTCCCGAGATATTGCCAGGAGAAAACAGAAATGTTGATAGTCCTCAGCTGTTTGGCCCCAGAGCAATGGTTCTCAAAATTCATTGTGCCTAGCAAACTTCTGGAGTGCTTGTTAAAACACAGATTTCTGGGCTCCAGCCCCAGAGACGGTGATTCAGTAACTGTAAGTAGGGCATTTTAAACAGGCCCAGGGTCACATTTTGCCCCAAAGCCTAAAAGGCAGACTCGGCTTGCTTCTCCCCAGCCTCCCACCCCTGCCCCCAGTCTGGGCTTATTTACAGTCAAAGCACTGGCCAGCCTATAGCGGAGACTCTATGACCCTCGACTTGTGGTTCCCACAGCACCCAGGAAAGTTGCTGGCACTTGGTAGACCAGTTAAATCACATCAGGTTCAGTGGGGCATTCCTGCTCGGGGTGGGAGTATTTCTTAGAGTTCCAGATTTACTGGCAAGACGAGGAGGGGATCACGATGAGAGAGAAGGTGAAGTCCAGCTGGAATATGGAAATCCTACATGGACTCCCCAAACTGGGCAGCTGACTGCGTGGAGGGCTCCTTAGAGGACACCTCTTGTTCTCCCGGGAGTCCTCCCATTCGGGTTTGTCTGGATGTGCTGGAAGGAGTACTGGCCCAGGGCGTTGAACCTCCTGAGTCCTCATGAGCTGACCTTTCCTAGGCTTCACTCTACCTCTCTGTAAATGAGTCGTTGTCCCAGGAGTCCCCTGAGGTTCTCTTTGGTCTGAGTTTCTAGGGTTCTCCAGCAACCTGCAGCTTGCGTCTGGTCTTTATCTTCAAGTATGAGTGCCCAGCAGGGGCCAGGTCCAATTCTCCCACTCACCATTTGCCCAGTATAACTAGAACAGTACCTGGCACATAGTAGGTGCCCATTAAATATTTATTACAGGAATGAAATGAATAACTATTTATAATTGGTCATAAGGTAAAAGAGTCCTCATTGGAACAATGCCCAGGCAGTAAAGCCGGGGGCTAAGCCTGCCGGAATCTTGCGAGCAAGAAAACTCTGACAAACCTAGGTGACTGGCCTAGGTGACTCCATCAGGGTGGCTGACAACTTTAGAGGTGGCCACATTACATTTCTTTTCCTTTAAACATACCAAATTTGTCTTATGAAAGGAATTTATGTACGTTGTAGAAAATTTATGAATTTTTAAAAGGTATAAAAAAATTTAAAAACCACCCACAGTCTAGTGATTTTTCTTTTTTCTTTTTTTTGGGGTACTTTTCTGTACTTTTGGAAGTAGAGGAAAATGATATGATATACGTTATTCCAAACATCACCTGTAATTCAAGGATAATCATTGCTAAATTTGTATGCATTTTTTTTCAGCGTTTTTCTATGCATGTCTGGATATTTGGAAAATGTACTGTTTACGTAGTGTCTTATCATGACTTCTCTGCTTACATGTCCCTTAAAGTCTTAAGCATCATTTTCGATGGCTTCATGACTATAGCGCATTTAACTACTCCCTCATTATGGACATTTAAGCTGTTTCCTTTATGCTTTATATTATAGATAGCACAGTGATAAGCATAGCTGCCCACACATTTTTTATCTCTATTTCTAAATTCCTTAGGCTAGAGTCCCAGAAGTGGAGTTACTGGGTCAAAGAGTATAAAGCTCTTTAAACTTCTGGAAACACAGTGCCAAAATATTCTGTAGACAAGTTTTCACCAATTTACACTGAAAGTCATTATCTTTCAATGAGCTTTGTAGCTGCCCCTGCAGAGTGGAGGAGAAACAGTCCCGCAAGCACGAAGGCATCCCTGGAGCCATGCGGCCGCTGCAGCGGGAGCTGAGAGCGCAGAGGTTCCTTCTATAGTTCTGCCTCAGCCACCCCTCCGCCGGCAGGGCGAACGTGCTGTTTCCCAGTTGGAGTTCTTCGTTTCTTTAGATCTCAGGAGAAAAAATGGCCCAGGAGTGGAGGATGTTAGCGGTAATGGCAGTGGGGTCGGGGGTGGGGGGATCCCTACGTTTGAGCAAAGAGAATTTGTCAACAAGAATCTAACATTTGGAGATCCTTCACGGAAACATCCGTCTATTCCAAAGTGAGCTTCCAGAGACGGGCGATATAACGAAAGAGGAGGCACTGGCGGGATAGGAGCTGGAGGCGGCTTCCAGCTCGAGGGTTGCGGCCCCTTTAAGGCCAATCCCGGTCCTGGGCCTTTAAATCCGTGTCAGTTTCCCCTGACGTCACGGGCGGGCCGGCCGCCCGGCTGTTTACCGCCGCGCTCCGCCGCGCTCCCGCCCAAGAGCCGAGCGCCGGAACCGCCGCGGCCGCCCGCCCTTAAAGGGCCCGCGTCCCAGAAAACTCGCCGCGCCCCGCGGCGGCCGGCCGCTACCGCCTATCAGGCCCCTCTCCCTCAGACTCTCCTCCCTCCGCGGCCGCCCCTCCCGCCGGCTTCCCCACCTTTTTTCCCTCCCCTTTCCCGGCGTCTCCAGCCTCCCGGCAACCAGCTGCCCCCTCTCTCTCCCGGCCCTGGCCGGCGGCCTCGGGGCTCTGGGCCGTGCTCAGCCCCTCGCGAGCTGGGGCCCCTTCCCGTGGCCCGTACCCCACACCCTCCCCTCCCCCTTTCCGCCGCCCCCTCCCCTCCGGGGCCCCTGGGAGCGTCTCTGCGAGCCAGGGAGGGGACGTTTCCTAATCTCAGGCCGGGGTTAAAGTTCTGGTCCTGGTGAGATGCTGGAAGCTGCGGCAAGGGCCGCAACCCGTCCCGGAGGTGTCCTGTCGCCTGTCGTCGCCGCCGCCGCCACCGTCGCCGCTGCCGCCCTGCCGGGGCCATGTTCGCTCTGGGCTTGCCCTTCTTGGCGCTCTTGGTGGCCTCGGTCGACAGCCACCTGGGGGTTCTGGGACCCAAGAACGTCTCGCAGAAAGACGCGGAGTTTGAGCGCACCTACATGGATGAGGTCAACAGCGAGCTGGTCAACATCTACACCTTCAACCATACCGTGACCCGAAACCGGGTGAGGGATGGGGCTGGGCTGGGGGCTGGGGATGAGTGGGTGAACAGACAAGGGCTAGGCGATTCTGTCAATCCCCTACCCGTTTAGGAGGCCCCATGAACTGGATTTCGGTTTCCCAGAACCACACTGGACCCTCTTGACCAGTCCTCCTTGCTTTGCCACCAGTGTTTCCCTGAAGCTCCCACTGGCCACTTTTTGAAGTTGTCTCATTCCCATCTTCTCTTTGATCCCGTCTTTTCCACCAGCTGTGGTCTGAGCAGGATTGGCCCACTGCGTACCCAATGCTCAGAATCTGACAGCTCTGTGGGGTCTGGGTGCAAGGGGAAGCAGCTTGCTACTGGGCTTGGCCCAGAAAACCCCAGGGAGGTGAGATGGGGCTGAACTGAGAGGCTCTGCCCAGACAAGTTACAGCTCAGATTCCCCAAGGAGATGAAGGCAGGCCTCCGCAGGCTGCTGTAACTGCTGGGCTCTTTCCAGCCCTGCTTCTGCCTTAGGAAGCCAGTGGCCTTGTAAGTTGGTGGAGATAAGGCCAACCTCAAGTTGGGTGGGAGGAGAGAGAATCTACCTCGCCCTGATTTTCTCTTTCATTTCTTTCCCAGCCATGAGTTGAACATGGGCAAAGCTAGATCTGGGAAGTCTAGACCCCAGACCCCAGAGCTGAGATCTGGAGAATACTTGGGGCCTGGCTGTGTGGTCTCCTGCCCAGCTCTCTCCGTGACTGGATTTACTGAGAAGCAGTGGAGTTGAGAATGGGAATCTAATTTTTTTCGGGAAGGCATTTGGTTTTTGTGGCAGGCCAGGATCTGCCTTCAGTGCCTGGTTCTCTGAAGTTTGATCTCCTCCTGCCTGGGGACCTTTCTACCTTTTTCTCCCATATCCAATGGGTCACCCTGAGAGCTGCAGCCCTGGGGAAGTGCTGCCCTAGGGCTTTGCTTTCAGCAGCCCGAGAACAAACATTCTCAGGATGTGTTTACTTTTATTTTTTTCTTTAAGCTCCCACTGTCCTGTCTACTTTCCTCCATAGCGCCAAGGGTGAGAAGAGTGTCTCCATTTTATAGAAGGGGAATTTGAGGCCCAGAGATGTGGAGTGACTTCTCCACAGCCCTGTCACTGGATCAGAGCTAAGGATAGAATTTGGCTTTTCTTGGCTTTCAACAGTCCCTCTGGTGCCACACCCCCCTCCACCCCGCCCCTCCCCGTGCCACGCTGGCCTCTGGCCTCCAGGTTAGATGTTAAATAGGAGCTTGCTGGCTCACAAGGGAGAAAACGAGGAGCGCTTCTTGTTGTACTGTGTCCGTGTGTGCGCCTGTGTGCACATATGTCTGCAGGCGTGTGCATCCCGTGAACATGGGTAGGAATGGGGTATCCTGGAGACACCTGAGGTCTCCACTGTGTTTCCTGTTGGCGGGTCAGGCCCTGCAGTTGCTTGGGTCCTGTTGCCCTGCACACACCTGCCATTCAGGAGCCGGCCTCTCCCATAAACCTCTCTTCTAACTCTGCACAAGTCCCTCCAGAGATGGGGGCCTGCCCTGGCAGAAGAAGGGGCATAGACAGCATCCCAGCCTGACCAGGAGGGGGAAAGAACAAAGCGGTTGGCGTGAGGGAGGGGCAGGGCTCACAGCCTCTGGAGCCATGTGTCCTGGGTGGCAGAGCTTGAGCCACCGCAGGCTTCATTGAGGGGCATTTCCCTGTCATTCTGCAGACGGAAGGTGTGCGTGTGTCTGTGAATGTCCTGAACAAGCAGAAGGGGGCTCCTTTACTGTTCGTGGTCCGCCAGAAGGAGGCTGTGGTGTCCTTCCAGGTGCCCCTAATCCTGCGAGGGCTGTGAGTAGGACCTGGGGATCGGGGGGGGGACTGAGCCTCACCCAGGGCCTTGTGCAGAGCCTCAGACCACCCAAAGCCCCTCTGTTTCTTGTCCCTTTTCCCTGAACCCGGAGGCTGGTCAACGGCATGAGGGCCAAGCCAGCCGGCCTGGAGCTTGTCAGCTTAGTGTGGGGAGGGCAGGGATGGGTGGGGACCAGAGTGCAGAACTGGGGCCTTGCTCCTCTGGAGTGGCATGCTGGCCCGGACAGTGGTCTCGTCCTGACTCTCTGCTTCGCTCCATAGGTATCAGCGCAAGTATCTCTACCAAAAGGTGGAACGAACGCTGTGTCAGCCCCCCACCAAGAATGAGTCTGAGGTCCAGTTCTTCTACGTGGATGTGTCCACCTTGTCACCAGTCAATACCACGTACCAGCTGCGTGTCAGCAGAATGGACGACTTTGTGCTCAGGTCTGTAGGGGAGAGCGAGGGGACCACGAGACTGGCCTCCTCCCCAAGCTCTGAGAGTGACTGCAGGGGGCTCTTCTCTGTCCTGCAGGACCGGGGAGCAGTTTAGCTTCAATACCACAGCAGCCCAGCCTCAGGTAAGACCTCCCTGTTGACTGCCCCCCAGGAGGAGAAATGGGGAAGCTTGAACATGGGAGTGGGAGTGGTCAGTGGTCTTTGCCAGGAGTTTCCAGTTGGCTGTACTCTCCACAGAGGGACTCTCTGGAAACAGAGTCTGTGGCCCCTGAGGTGTTGAGGGGCAGACAGCATGAGAAATGCAGAGACATGGGGTCTGGCTGCCATCTTTGCTACTTGCCTCTCGGGCACTGTCCTGAGTGCCCAGCTGAGGTTGAGGGGAGTGGTATACAGAAGATGGGGAGGCTTATGGTCAAGACCTTTCTCCCCACTGCCCCCACTGCCCAACCTTGGGAGGATTCACACTGTTCCCTTCTAGAGGGGCAAAGAGAGCATCCTCATGAGGTGGGGCTCTCCCTGCCCTCCCCACGCCCTCAGTACTTCAAGTATGAGTTCCCAGAGGGAGTGGACTCAGTGATTGTCAAGGTGACCTCCAACAAGGCCTTCCCCTGCTCAGTCATCTCCATCCAGGATGTCCTGGTAAGTTGCCTGCCCTTTTACTCTCCACCAGCGGGTGGCAGGGCTGCTAAAGAGAGGGGACGGGGCCCAGATCCCTGCCATCTGTCTCTCCCATCCTTCCTCTGTAGTGTCCTGTCTATGACCTAGACAACAATGTAGCCTTCATCGGCATGTACCAGACTATGACCAAGAAGGCAGCCATCACTGTGCAGGTAGGAAATGCGCGTGGCCCTGTGGGAGATGGGGCCCGGTGACTAGCTTTCCAAACCCTTGCTTCTTTTCCCCTGCCCCATTCCTACACCACCCACATGGCTGAGTCTTGGCCCACTGGTCCCTGAGACTTTGGGTCCCCTGATATATGTGGGAGTTGAATCATAATCCCCATCGTCTTTGAGGACAGGAGAGAGCAGAGTACCCACTCTGGCTGTCATATCTGCTTCATCCACTGTAACGCTAGTAGGGAGAGGAAAGGGGGCCTGGCTGATACTTTGTGCTGCCCTTGGCAAGGGCTGAAACCTGTGCTGGGGACAGGGAGGGGAAGCCATGTGTTCACCTCACAGCATCCAGTTGGCACCGGATGGAGGCCATGTGGCCCCGCCGCTTTTTCTCCTGGCTGATGCCCCGTCTGTAATAGGGCACCCGTGGGTTCCATGATGGCGGTGCACACACACCTACGCTCACCTGGCTGTAGTGTAGGTTCAGAGTTTGGGCTCTCGATCAGATAATCCTGGCTCTGCCACTTACTGGCAGTGTGACCTTAAGCTCATTTCTGAGCCTGTCCCACAGAGATAATAATAGTACTTATTGCATAAGGATCTTTGTGAGGATTATGTAAAATAATACGTATGGAAAGAGTTTAGCACAATGTCTGGCCCAAAGTAGCTATTCAGGAAAGGATGATGGTGATGATGATGGTGGTGGTGTTGGTGGTGATGATTGTCATCATCGTCACCATCCTGCAGCGCAAAGACTTCCCCAGCAACAGCTTTTATGTGGTGGTGGTGGTGAAGACTGAAGACCAGGCCTGTGGGGGTTCCTTGCCTTTCTACCCCTTTGTCGAAGGTACATTTTGTGCCCTGGATCTGGCTATGGATGGGGAAGGCTTGGTCCCTTCCTGGGAGGTAGAAGAGCCTGTGTGACTGACTGGTGGACCTGATGGGATATGGGTTTTGGGTCCCAGACTCTCCCAGGCTTGGTCCCCTCAACTCTAGCCAAACTCCAGGCAGGCACTTGTTTCCCAGTTTGACATTTTACTTCCAGATGAACCAGTGGATCAAGGACACCGCCAGAAAACCCTGTCAGTGCTGGTATCTCGAGCAGTCACATGTGAGTGTGGGTGGGTGAGTGGGGATGGACCGGTCTCTGGCTCTTCCTTGCAGACCTGGCGTAGGGAGGGTCTCTGAATGGGAAGGATGAAGAGGACCTACTGGAGGAGGCCATGGTGGGGGCGGGCGGGGTGTTCTTGGCAGGCGTCACGATGGAAGGCCCAGGAGGTGAGTCCCAGTGTCAGGCGGTAGAGTCCATGACTGAAGATTGAAGGCGTGGCTTTTAGTTCTCCCTCTGCCACTTAGGAACAGTGTAATCTCATTGAGCCTCAGTTTCCCCGTCTCTATAACAGGGCTAATAGAATCTGCCCCATTGTCTCTCTAAGTTGGGAGGTTTAGCATAAAATTAGTAGGAAGTCCAGGCCCCTTAGTCCTGCTCAATAAATATTTACTGAGGGATTGAGCGAAGCCCTTTTTAAACTGGAAAGTCTAAGATAAAAATGAGATTGTGATGGGAGGAGAGCAAAGCTGCCTCTCCTATGCAGAGTGTTTATTCAGCAAATATTTATTGAGCTCGTTCTGTGTGCCAGGTGCCAAGCAAAGGACAGGTTACTGTGGGAGCACAGGATGGAGAAGTCTTCCTAGAGGACTCAGTCCTTGAGTTTTGTTTTGAAGGTTAAGTCAAGATGGTGTTTTCGAGGAAGAAGTAGAGAAGAAAGTTCTAGAAGAGGGAGCAACAAGAGCAAAGACAGCAGCCCTGTCAGGGTTTGGCCTATTTGGGGCACTGCCATTCTTCACACTGGCTGGGTCATTACGTTTGAGGGGAGCAGTGAGAGGCTGGGCCCTTGTGTGCCAGGATGGGCCATCTTGAAGGTACTGGTGTGTTTACCTTTCTGCTTCCCTGCCCGCAGCTCAGGCCTATGTTGGCGGTATGCTCTTTTGCCTGGGCATATTTCTCTCCTTCTACCTGCTGACCGTCTTCCTGGCCTGTTGGGAGAACTGGAGGTAAAGTGGAACTGCTGGGCTCTCCCCTGTTGTGGGGTGGTTCGGGTAGGGGCTATGGGGGAGATGGCCTGGCAGGATCTGAGCTGGCCCAGAGTAGTCTTCCACACCATCCACGGGGCATGGGAAGGCAGCTCCCTGTTAGGGTCTGTGGTCCATGGGCCCTTCTTCTGGAAACCACCCCTCCCCCCAGCTTTCTTGCCAAGCAGGGAGACCCCACATTGCTTCCCGGCCTGGGAGGAACCCTCAGATCATGGCTGGAGGACAGGGTTATGGGGTGGAGAGGGTGGAAGGCAGGCCGGCCCGGCATAGGAGGGATTCTCGTCCTGTCCCTCTGGTTTGCCTCTGGATTCTGTCCCTGCAGGCAGAAGAAGAAGACCCTTCTGGTGGCCATGGACCGAGCCTGCCCAGAAAGCGGTACCTTCAGAGGGCCTGGATGGGCAGGCAGAGTTTGCTCTGTTTTGGAGGGACTAGTGGTGGATGGTTCCCTTGGGGGAGTTGGAGGAGGAAGGACCGGCTCGGGCATTTTGGGTGTTCAGATTGGGAGTAACACTCTGCAGATGGAAATGGGGCCAGAATATTGTGTCCTCCTGTCCCTAACATGCCCGTCTTAAAGGCTGCCCCTTGATTTGTTCTCTGGGTCTAGCAACATTGTCCGCCTCAGACGTTGTGGCTCACAGTCTCTGGGATTATTAACCTTTCCTTCTCTCTCCCTTTGTGCCACCCATCCCTCTCTTTCTATCCTCCCTCCTGCTTGGGACCTTCTCTCTCAGCTTCTCTTCTTGGTAAGCTCCAAGTGCTCTGGGCAGAGGAGCTGGAGTCTAGAGTTGGGGGGGGGGGCGGTGGATGGTGGAAGCACAGGGGTGTCTGGTGGGATCTGGGCCCATGCTGTCTGTCCTCGCTGCTGGTAATTTAGATGCGTCAATTCCTGGACCTTTCTCTCTTTAGGGAGGACAGAGGGTGGTGAGTGTTCCCATTGGGGACGCACATGGGAGGTCAGGGCAGGTGATGGTGGTGGGAGCGAGCTCCTTGCCCGGATAGGGGCTTATTCTTGGCTGCTGCCCTGGCCCCTCTGTGTCTCTCTTCTCTGAATTCTTGTCCCTCTTTTCCTTGACTCTTGACTTCTCTGCTCCCAAGGCTAAGGGGAGCTTAACTTCTTGTTGCAGGTCACCCTCGGGTCCTGGCTGATTCCTTCCCTGGCAGCCCCCCTTATGAGGGTTACAACTACGGCTCCTTTGGTACGTGTCAACCCGAGGCTGTGCTTGCTTGCTCATAACCTTGTCTCAGGCCTCCACCTGCGAAGTGGCAAAGGGCCTCAATGCCCCAGGATGGGTCTCTTGTCTTCTTCCCTGAGGTCTACCCTACCTGCCTGACCACTTACTGTTCCCTGCAGATAATGGCTCTGGATCCACCGATGGTCTGGTTGACAGCACGGGCACTGGGGACCTCTCCTACGGTTACCAGGGTGAGTGGGCCAGGCAGGGCTGAGCTGTGCGGTGCAGGGCTGGTGCTGGCTGGGTGAAACTCAATGGTGGGCGGTTGCCTCTTCTGCCAGACGCTGGAACCAGGGAAGGGCCTGCCATCTCCCCGCCCCTCTCCTCCCCTCCTTGGCCCCACTTCCCCGGTAACTTTCCCTTTCCTTTGAAGGGCAGGACCAGTTCAAGCGGCGCCTCCCCTTTGGCCAGATGCGGCAGCTGTGCATTGCCATGGGTAGATGTGGGGGGCAGCTCTGCCAATCAGCTCCTGCCAGGGCGGTTGACTGGAGCCAGCAGCTCCAGGGCCAGGAAGATGCTGTGTGCATGGCTTCCCCTTCTAATACCAATGATTGCCAGCTCTCGTGTCTTCTGAGATAAGCAGGCACTCGCCCCTGATGCTGGTGGGCTGGCACCCCTGCTACCCCCAGGCCTGATGTTCAGCTTTGCTGTGATGTTTGCTGCCAGCACCCTAGCTCCCTGGCCTGCTGGGATAGGGATCATGGGTAGGGGTGTCATGTCTTGGCCTCTGGGGGCTTTGGTCAGGCAAGGTCACAGGGGGAAGCTTCTGAAGGCACAAGGAAAGACCAGATAAAGGAGCAGGTGTTCTTCCTAGAGGCAGCCTCTCACCGTTGCCTGCAGCCCAGGGCCCACTGGGTCTTTACCCAGGGGTGGCCAAGGCAGTGTCTTCTCAGAACCCACACAGCTGGGCACGTCCTAATCAGCATGACTTCTGCTGAATTCAGTCCTGTTGCTTGTGTCTGGGGCCTGGGGTCTGCTCAGTGGCCTGGCCTGGAAGCCCTGGCTCAGTGAGGGGGCAGGGCTGGAACGGGGCTGCAGTGGACCCTGTTTGGTGGCCTCTTCGCAGAGCCCACCCTTGCTCTCCTCCAGGTCCTAGGAGCACCTGATAACTCCTCCCAGGGCCTGAGCCCACCTCCACCCCTGCTCTGTGCCCACAATTTGCCTCTTCCCACTGCCTAGTAATTGTGACAATTGCCCCAGGTGGGTGGGGGCAGACCTCAGATTCTGTGCTCACTGGGAAACCCTTCCCCTCTGCTCCCCCAGAACGCTCCCTTGACCCTGTGGGCACTCGGCCACGACTGGACTCCATGAGCTCTGTGGAGGAGGATGACTATGACACGTTGACTGACATCGATTCGGACAAGAACGTCATTCGCACCAAGGTCTGAGACGGCCCAGGCTGGCCCGCACAGGGGACTCCCAGGGAAGGGAGATTCTGTGTCGAGGCCCCAGCATGCCTCCCTCTGGGGTGGCATGTTAGGAAAGCATAGGGAAAGAGCTCAGTCGGGGCATGAGAGATTCCAGGGGGACGGACTCACTCCCAGCCCTTCCAGACCGACTGGCCAGCAGTAATGGGCTGGCCTAGAACCCTGGCTGCCTGAGGGGGGCTTCTCCTGTCCTCTTCTAACCTGGGTGAGGGGCTTCTCCCCGGCAGTGGGACAGTGGGGCTCACTCCAGCTTCTCCCCAGCAATACCTCTATGTGGCTGACCTGGCACGCAAGGATAAACGCGTTCTGCGGAAAAAGTACCAGATCTACTTCTGGTGAGTGGGCGGAGTAGGTGGGGCTTCCTGTTATTCGCGGGGCAGCGTGGTGGTTTCTGGGGTCCTGCAGCCTCACCACCGCCCTCCCACCCCTTAGGAACATTGCTACCATTGCCGTCTTCTATGCGCTTCCTGTGGTGCAGCTGGTGATCACCTACCAGACGGTGAGAGGCGGGGGCCACCTCCCTGGGCCTGTGCTAAGCGCCCTCGCAGAGCTGTGGGCTTGCCTCGTCCACAGTCTGCGACACTGCCCCAAAGTGCAGAGCCTCCCAGCCTGGGGCTCTGGAGTGAGCACAGGTCTTAAGTCACAGGACCTGAGTTCAAATCCTGGTTCTACCTTACCAGCTGGGTGACCTTGAGCAGGTCACTTAACATCCCTGAGCATCAGTTTTCTCATCTGTAAAATGGGGGCAGCACGATACCAATGGCAGCACCTTCCCAAGGTTGTTGCAGGGATTTCTGAAATGGATGCCCCGGGACTTTGTAAAGTTTCGGTTTCCCTTCCCTTTTCTCTGTACTGTGGAGCGAGAACCTCAGTCTCGGTCATGCTCCAGGGTTTTCAGCCACACCAGGGAGGGGGTGGTGACCGTGCCAAAGAAGGACTTGCCTGGTGTACATGTGTGCACACATGCTGGCCGTGGTGGCACTTCCTGTCCAGGGCAGAACTGGCACTGGGTGGTGTGGTGGGCCTGGGGCCTGGCCCACTCACCTGGACAGTGGGCATGTCTGTGTGTTAGCAGCCCCCTCCCTGTGCCCGCCCCCTGCTGCAGGTGGTGAATGTCACAGGGAATCAGGACATCTGCTACTACAACTTCCTCTGTGCCCACCCGCTGGGCAACCTCAGGTGGGGATCTGCTTGGGGGGCGCTTCCCTGGACGAACAGTGAACCGGGGCGCGGCCGTGCAAGTGCCCCCTGGGTGGGGAAGAGGTCAGGGAAGGAGGCCCAGCCATGTGCCCTGTGTCGCCCTTTCCAGCGCCTTCAACAACATCCTCAGCAACCTGGGGTACATCCTGCTGGGGCTCCTCTTCCTGCTCATCATCCTGCAGCGGGAGATCAACCACAACCGGGCCCTGCTGCGCAACGACCTCTACGCCCTGGTGAGGGGGCACCTGCTGCAAGCCTCAGCTCCACCCCTTTCTAGCAGGCGTGGCCCTGCCTGCCCTGCCCCACCCTCCCCTGCCCAGCCCTGTGACACCCTGCTGAGCCCTGCCCTCCTCAGCCTTGCCCTGCCCAGCTCTGCTCAGCCCTGCCCAGCCCTGCCCTGCTCTGCTCAGCCCTGCCCAGCCCTGCCCAGCCCTGCCCAGCCTGCCTGCTCTGCTCAGCCCTGCCCAGCCCTGCCCTGCTCTGCTCAGCCCTGCCCAGCCCTGCCCAGCCCAGCCCAGACCTGCTCAGCCCTGCTTTGCCCTGCCCAGCCCTGCCCGGCCCTGCTCTGTCCAGCCCTGCTCTGCTCTGTCCAGCCCTGCTCTGCTCTGCCCAGCCCTGCTCTGCTCTGCCCAGCCCAGGCCAGCCCTGCTCTGCCCTGCCCTGCCCAGCTCTGCCCTGCCCTGCCCTGCCCAGCCCTGCTTGGCCCTGCCCTGCCTTGCTCAGCCCTGTCCTGCCCTACCCTGCTCAGCCCTGCCGAGGTCAGCCCACATACCCACTCTACCCATATCCTACTCCTCCTCCACTCCTCTGTCATAGTCTCCCTCTTTTGGGTCCCTTCCTTCCTTCCTTCCTTCCTTCCTTCCTTCCTTCCTCCCTCCCTCCCTCCCATCCCACCTCACCTCCTCTCTCCCTTCTCTTCCCTTCCTCCCCAACAGGAATGTGGGATCCCAAAGCACTTTGGCCTGTTCTATGCCATGGGCACAGCCCTGATGATGGAGGGGCTCCTGAGTGCCTGCTATCACGTCTGCCCCAACTATACCAATTTCCAGTTTGGTGAGTGGGCCCTCCCTCTTCCCTGGCTGAATGTAGAACCGAGAGCAGGGACCTCCCTGAGTCCTCCCTCATCCCCAAGTCACCTGCAGGGATCCCCAAGACTTAGCTCTGTAGGAGACTCCAGAGCTGGGTGCTTTGTGCACATGTCCTGGCTTATTGAAGATAGGCATCTGGACACTGTTTCCTCCTACGGAGCATGCGCAAGCACTGGGCAAATGAGGATAATGAAGATGTAGTCTCTGATCTCAGGGTGCTCACACTAAGTTATCTTCATTGTCAGGGGAAGTCACTGTGGGGGACAGATAGGGGGGTGGCAGTCTGGTGTGGCAGGGATAGTTAAGGGACTGGAGTTCAAGTGCCAGCCCACCGTCAGCTTGCTCTGTGGCTGAGCTGATGGAGGTGTGGGGGCCCTCTCTTCCACCCTGATGGTCTGGGCTGGGAGTTCCACGCTGAGGCTCTGTGGCTGTCTCTAGCTTATATCCGCTGCCTCCACCCTAGACACGTCGTTCATGTACATGATCGCCGGGCTCTGCATGCTGAAGCTGTACCAGAAGCGGCACCCTGACATCAACGCCAGTGCCTACAGCGCCTACGCCTGCCTGGCCATCGTCATCTTCTTCTCCGTGCTGGGCGTGGTGAGGCCCCCACCCGCTCTGCTCACCCCGTAGGAAAGGTGCACGTGCGTTCACACACACGTGTGCGTGCACACACCCCCACTCCACCTTCCACAGGAGAGATCCCTGCACCTTCCCCAAGGTGCCCTCCCTGCGCCCCTTGGAGAGTCCCAGCCTGGCTGGGCAGGGAGGAGGGGCAGGCGGCGGGAGCAGCTTTCCCCAGTGCCTCCTCATCCCTGCCCTTGGTGGCCGCCCGACAGGTCTTCGGCAAAGGGAACACAGCGTTCTGGATTGTCTTTTCGATCATTCACATCACGGCCACCCTGCTCCTCAGCACACAGCTCTACTACATGGGCCGCTGGAAGCTGGGTGAGGGCATGTCCAGGGCGGGGTGTGTGGGAGGAGCCTGCTGGGCCCCATGGAATGAGGGGTGGGTGGCCTCGGGGACCTGGACTCCCAGGAGACTTTTGGGTTCTGGGGGCCTGGAGGAATCACTGGGTGAGGATTTGGGTGAGGCCTTGGCATAGCTGTCCCCTCCAAAGGCCCTGGACCCTCTCTGCTGGCACAGGCCAGGGGCCAGGAGAGCAGGGCCCCCGTGCCTTCCAGCACCTTCCCTTCTCCTTGCAGACTCTGGGATCTGCCGTCGCATCTTCCACGTGCTGTACACAGACTGCATCCGGCAGTGCAGCGGGCCCCTCTACGTGGTACCTCCCAGATGCCCAGCCCCTCCTCCTCCATCTGCAATCTTCCCTCCAGTGGGGGGCAGGGAGGACCAGTTGACTTGGGTCTTCTTCCCTTCTTCTCTCCCTGGCTCTCTTCCCCTCTCTCAGTCCCTGTGTCTCTGCTTCCCTCCAGGACCGCATGGTGCTGCTGGTTATGGGCAACATTATCAACTGGTCGCTGTGAGTCTGGCCATTGTCTACAGTAGCCTGGCTTGGTGGACAGCTGGGGATTTGGCCAGCCACTGGCTGCCTTGGGGGCCACGGACAAATTCTAAGCTTTGGGCATAGAAATGAGGGCTGACGAGAGAGGTATTGGCACCTGGGGTTCTAGAATTTTCTGTGGGCCTCTGAACCCCGCCCCATATCATAGTAAAACATAGGGTAGGGACAAGGGAGAGCTTTTTTTCTTGCTCTTGGCCCTCCCCTGCTTTATCAGCCCTTCCTCCCTCTTCCCAGGGCTGCCTACGGGCTCATCATGCGTCCCAATGATTTTGCCTCCTACTTGTTGGCCATTGGCATCTGCAACCTGCTCCTTTACTTTGCCTTCTACATTATTATGAAGGTGAGTGGGGAGGGCTGAATTTCCTCTGCCTGTTGCTCTGCCTGCTGGGGAGGGAGATGGGCACAGCCTGCCTGGGGCAGCGCTGAGAGTCAGTGAGAATTTTTAAGTCCATCATCTGTCTGTGCCAGTGAGGTGTGAGGAGGGGAGAGGCTGAAGTCTCTTGCATGTACACCCCGGGAGCCAGCTACATCCTGAGACCCATTTACTGAGCCCCTTCCATATTCTAAGAATGGCCCGTGAAACTGGTCGCACTTGAGGCCACAGTTTGTAAGAGCTGAAGGGGTTCAGTGCAGAAGGGCTTGAGGAGGGGGCTCACTGAGTCTTGGGCCTCCAAGGACCAGGTGCTTCCCAAGGTACCCTCAGGCCATCCAGTGTGAGGGGACCCCCTTGCACAGGGAGAGCCCCCTGGCCAGTATACTCTGCCAGCCAGGGTTTTGGGCACATGAAGGCCCAGCCAAGGATGGGCATCAGGGGTGCAAACACCAGGCTGCTAACATGGGACAGGTTGAGCTGTGTAGCTCTGTGAGCTGGTGGTATGAATCTAAGAGGGCTTCCTAAAGGGTCCATCCTGAAAGCCTGGGAAGGCACCAGGAAAGCGCCTCAGAGGCAGGCTGAGAAGTGGGGCGGGGCAGGGCCTGGCCCTCAGACTGCTCTTCCTCCCCCCCTGCCACCCCCAGCTCCGCAGTGGGGAGAGGATCAAGCTCATCCCCCTGCTCTGCATCATCTGCACCTCGGTGGTCTGGGGCTTCGCACTATTCTTCTTCTTCCAGGGACTCAGCACCTGGCAGGTGGGTGGTTGTTCCGCCAAAGGTGGGGGAGTTGCCCACAGGCTCATTCTGAACCAACAAATGGCCAATTCTCTTCTCAGAGATCGTTTGTGAGCACCTACCATGGGCCAGCCCTTTCACAGCTGCTTTTTGGTTGAATCCTCCTAACATTTGACATGTCAGCATGGAGGTATCCCCATTTCACTTACGAGGCAGCTGAGCCTCAGGGAGGCCAAGTGACCTGCCCAAGGTCACACTGGCAGTGAGTGGCACAGCTGGGGTTTGAATCCCCAGATGTCAGGCTCTGTCCTCTGCCTCATAGGGCACCTCCCATGGAACTCTGTGATTGGAGCTAAGTCTGGCATGGTCTCTGTCTTTGAGGCACTTATAATCTAGTTCAGGAGAGAGACCATTAGCTCCTGGCTGGCTGTTTACAATATGATACACGAGATGAAGGGTATGGGCAAGATCGGCAGGGGGAACGAACAGGAGTACAGAGGACAGAGAGGCCTCTGTGAGTTAGGAGGTACAAGAAGGCTTCCTGGAAGAGGCAGGCCTGGCTCTTGGCCTTCAAGGCCCTGGGTGATGGGAAGGGCCTGTGGCCCAGAGATGCCTTGACCTGAGTAACGACAGAGAAGCAGAACAAGATGGGGCAGATTTGGGGATCGGTGAATTTGCTGAGTAGAGCCGAGCGAAGACTGTGAGCTCTGTGCAGGCAGGGCGGGTCTTTCTTGGTCATCTCTGCGGCCTCAGCATGGGCACAGACAGCCCCCACAGAGTGATGTCCAGCCAGTGTTTGCTGGATGGAGGTTACGGGTGGAGCATGGAGGCCCTTGAGTGCCTCGGGTCATGGCCCACGTCATCGTCCTTGGGCAGGGGTATGTGACCTGACAGTAGTGCTTTGGATAAACAAAGGGCCTGGAGGAGCCATGGAGACCTCATTAGGGGAGGGGCCAGAGTCCAAGGTGGGAATCTGAGTTAGGAGGTTTTGTGGCCTTTTAGCGTCTCCAGGTAACCACAACCCTCTGCTCTTAGATGGAGAAGAAGAATGTAAGGGGAGGAGGGCGAGGGTGGGAGGGAGGGCAAGGGCAGAAGCCAGCGTTCCCAGGGAGACCTCTGTAACGAAAGGCCAGTTCTCGGATGTGGGAGGGGAGGGCAAGGAACGAGTCAGAAAGTGTGCTCTCCCGCCAGGCTGGGAACAGGGAGCGCCCTGGAGGGGGACGGGAGGGGTCTGCCCCAGCCTTGCCAGGGCAGCGTCAGCCGGCAGCTCTCCCTCTTCCGCCCCAGAAAACCCCCGCAGAGTCGCGGGAGCACAACCGGGACTGCATCCTCCTTGACTTCTTTGATGACCACGACATCTGGCACTTCCTCTCCTCCATCGCCATGTTCGGGTCATTCCTGGTACGTGAGAGTCTTCTGTCCTGAGTGGGGAGGGTGGAGTAGAGGTGGAGGTTGCCTCCTTTCCTGTGTGTGACTCAGCGTCCACCCCCCAGGTGTTGCTGACACTGGACGACGACCTGGACACGGTGCAGCGGGACAAGATCTACGTCTTCTAGCGGGCGCCGGGTCCCTTGCTTCACTCATGAGGCCCTGTGCGCCTCGGCCTCACTGCCCAGAGCCTCCATAGTGCCAGAGGCGTGAGTCCCAGCCCTGCTGCCCAGTGCTGGGTGGTGGCAGGACAGCGAGGTCTAGCCCAGGCCTGGCCCAGGACAGTCATGGGAGTGGCCTTGAGCCTTGCAGCTGCCCTCGGCCTGGGAAGAGGCCTGCTCCTCTGAAACCCCAGACGTTGGCCAAATTGCTGCTTTCTTCTCAGTGTTGGGGCCCGTCCATGGGTCCTCCCGTCCATTGGCTCTCCGTTTGTCCCTCTGCAGGAGGGAGGAGGGAAGTGTTGCCCTGCCCATCTCATGCCTTGCAGTCTGCCCATCCTTCCCCTCCCCCCAAGCCTGGGGCCGAAAGCCCTTTCTGCCTCCCACAGTCCCACTTCCCAGCCTGATCTGGGGCCTGATTCTTTGTCCTGCAGTAGGGGCCCACTTCTCTTTGGGACTGTATCTGGCTGCCATCACTGCCTCCTCTAGTCAGCCAAAATGGATGGGGTTGTAGGATTTTGGGGGCTGACCAGCTGGTGCCAGGCTTTTGGTGCTAAGGCCTGCGAGGGGCCCTGGCTGGCTCTTTAGCAATGAGGGTCAGCCCATGTGTGAGAACTGCCTTTGATCTGAGGGGCTGAACTCAGAGGTCACTTTCCCGTCAGTCCCCGGACTGATGCTGGCAGCAGGATTGGAGGGAAGAAGCAACTCACCCCTTTCCTTCCTTTTTCTTTCCAGGCCCTTAACTCCTGCCAAGCCCCAGCTGGGGGCCTTTCAGTGCCATTGACACTGCCCAGGAATGTCCAGGGGCAGTGGAGGGGGGATTCAGAGGGCCCAGCCCATGCTGCCTCCTCCATAGCCGCGGGAGCCCCAGTGCCTATCTTAGAAAGGGGCTCAGGAAAGGGATGTATTTCCCTCTAGGTCTCCGGTCCCAGCTTCACTGTAGGACCCAGGGCTGGCTCCTAAGTTTCCATCCAGTCTTCAGCCACGTTCTGTGTTAGTCACGCACGTGCATACACATGGAACCTTGGAGTTGACACTGACTTGCTCCAGCTCTGGGCGCCCTGGCTGCTCTGGTCCCTGGATCCCCTTCGCCCTATCTGGTTTGTTCCAGATGCCGAGGTTGGGGGAGGTCAGGTCGGGCCTCAGCCTCTGGGTGGGAATGTGTTTTATTCTCTCCGCCTTGTTTTTATACCTCTCCCTGGGGCTGGGAGAGGAGGTGGGTCTGGATTTTTTTCAGAACTCTGTGTAATGTCTGTTTCCATGCTATGGTTGCATTTCTGTTTACTATGAATGAGTCTGCATTCAATTAAAGAAACAACCAGACGCAGTTCTTGGGCCCCTGTTTGCTCCCGCCTTCTGGGTGGAGATGTTGGGAATGAGGGGTGGGGCGGGGGACCTGCATCTTCTAGTTCTTCTGGTCTACCTTCTGTTTTCTGAGCCCAAGTCATACTGGGAACAATAGATCCTTGATTCCTCCATGTTTTTCCTCTCCTTGAAGCCGTGACATCCATGCAGTAACCATTGACCAGGGGCCTGCCCGGCGCCAAGCACTGTGCCAGGCCGGGAGGGTAGTGTGAAAAGGCCTTAGCTGTGCCAGCTCACCTCTGAGATCCCCCTTTAGCTGGCAAATGGCAGCGGCCCTGCTCACTGGGTCCCCACCCACCAGACGGGTAGCTTCACTCCTGACCTGATCCTCTCCCGGCTCAGCAGGCCGCAGGCGTGGATAGTGCTCCCTGATGTGGCTTCATTGGGCAGGAGCCTGCAGGCTGAGGTCGGGGTGGTGCTCAGGAAACTCAAGGTGGTGCTGGATGGTGGGTGAGTCGGTGCCTGGATGACAGGCAGCCACCCAGCGGAGGGAGTTTTGAAATGACTCTGGAAGGTTGATTTAGATTTCAACAGGCTAAAGGAGGCAAGGAAGCTAGTGAATTCCGGGACGCAACTGAAGGGCGGCTGTGCGCGGCTCCCTAGCTGATCCCCTGCTCCTCTCCCTGCTCTTCCCCGCAGGCGCCGCTGGGGGGCACTATAGCTCTATGTGCCCCTAGGCTCTGGAGGTAGGCGGCTGCTTGCGGTGGGGGGGCGCCTGGACGCCCCTCTTCTGGGGGTGCTGCGTGCGGGTGTTGAGTGTGGGTGGAGTGTTAGCGCCTTCCTGCCAGGTTGCCCTAGGATTGGGGACGGAGGTCGGGGTGCCGCAGCAGGCTGCCCAGAGACCCCACTGGAAGTCTCTAACTTTCTTAACCTTCTATCCCTTTCTGAGACCCCTAAAACCAGGTACAAGCAAGATGAGTGGGTGTCCTTCCTGGGGTGATGGAGTCCAAGTGTTGTCCAGGGTGAGGAGGGAGGGATGACGGCAGCCTCTGAGCCTCCTACCCCGGTGTTGGTGTCTCATGCCTTGGCAGGCCTTCGAGACCCCCTTACTATCACTGCCCTCCGGATGAGGGCCAGGGTCAACTGGCTGCTGCTGAACCCTCAAATCCCACCCCAACCGAAGCTTGTAACTCAACACTCAGCCCAGCTGAAAGCTCTCCGCACCCTGAGCAGGGTGGTACCAGCGAAAGAGTGGGTCTGACACCTCTCCAGCTCTCACCTGGGGGTCGGCAGGGAGGCCCAGGTTCTGCCACTCACAGCCACCATGTGGCCTTGGGTTAGATGCACTCTGAGCCTCAGTTTCCTCATCTGTAAAATGGGGAGAGTAAGTACGCACTTATGATGTAGCCAAGTATTAAATGAGGGCATTTGCAAAGTGCCTGGCATGCAGTTGGTCCACAGGAAAGGGTAGTTCCTATCTCCCACTAGAGCTAAATCTGCTGGAGGAGAGGGTGACTGGTTAGTCCCCCACAAACCTCAGGGGTACGTCCCCCTCGTCCCTTTCCTCTCTCTCTGGCCAGACCCTCTTGAATTCCCCCTCCCCTCAAACTCGGGGGCAGGGAACAGTAAAGGAGGAGCAGCCCCAAGTCCAGACAGCAGGGAGAGCCTCATGGTCCTGCCCATAAAAGGCTTTTCCCGCCGGGTCCCCGCCGGCAGCGCAGCCCCGCCCCCGCCCGCTCCATCTCCAAAGCACGCAGGGAATGTCTCGGGCAGCCCCCGGCAGACTTCTCCAACTTGGTGTCTTTCCCCAAATATGGAGCCTGTGTGGAGTCACTGGGGGGGCTGGGGGTGGGGAACGGGAGCTGGTTTCCTCCAGCCGGGAGGGGGCCGAGGGGTGAGCCAGCGGGGGAGGCTGACATCACCACTACGGCAGCCCTTTAAACCCCTCACCCAGCCAGCGCCCCATCCTGTCTGTCCAAGTCCAGACAGAGAGCGCTCACTCCTGCCCGCGAGCCCTGAGGAGCCCCTGTAAGTGCGTTTGTCCCAGGGGTGGAGGGAAGTTGCACTGGGGTTTGACAGTATCAGTGGGTGTCTTGTAGGCAGGGCTTTGGGGAAGTCCTGGGCCCCAGCTCCCTAGCTGGGGAAGCCCACCCTCTCATTCCTAGCCTCCAAATGGGGAGGGAATCCTAGCTTGAGGGGTGGGATGGTATTGCTAGAGCCCTGCACGGCTGAGACTGGGTGGCCCTGGGCTCATTGAAATGTCCAGGGTGACTTGGCCGGTGCAGAGGGTTGATAGTGGAAACTTGGGAAGTGGGGTGAGAAGGAAGCTCCCCATTTTCAGCCACAGTCACTGGGTGTGTGTCAGGTTCAAGGTGCCTAAGGTTAGACCCAAGTCTATGTTGTCTGTTGTCCATCTAGGAGGATGTCTGAGGAGGTGAGGAGGTGTGTGGGTACATTAATGCTGGAGAGCAGTGTCCCACTGGCGGGAGCCCAAGGCCTGAGCAGCACAGGAGAGCCCCTGGGTAGCCACTGAGGGGATGTGCAGGACCACAGAACTGTAATCTGGACCAGGCTGGGGTGGCAGGGTGCAAGGACAGGTGGGAGAGCTGCTTTTCGGGGTACACAGCTCCTTCCGTGCTCTGAGAGTAGGGGGTCACCCCCACTACAGGCGGAGGGGGGTGGGTACTACCAGGGAGGAGCTTTGGAGTGATGGCCTGGGTGGCTCAGACGGGGCTGGGCAGGCCTGGGCCCCAGGGCCCCTCCGGAAGGGTCTGGCTGGTTCCCCTCAGTGGTGCTGTTCGAAGGGCAGCAGTGAGTAGGGCTGCTCTTCTGCGTACCCAGAATTTAGATGAGCCATCCCTCCTGCCGGCTCCGAGATCCACATGTGCTTGCTCCTATTTGGTGCTCCTGTCAGCTGTGTTTTATTTGGAAGGGAGTGGGGCTCAGGGGAGGGGGGGGAGGTGAAACAGTAGTCTGGGGGAGACTGTTGGTTCTGCTGGGTTTCTGGGTTCCTGCTGTGGGAGGTGCCCCTGCCCCTTTGCAGATACGCTTTGTCTTTCTCCAGGGCTCAGCATCACCCACGGGGCCACTGGGGAGGGAATTTTGGGAGACGAGGCTGACAGGAGCCACAGGGCAGGAGGGCCAAAGCCGTCCTGTCCGTCCTGGCCCAGAAGCCTTTGTCTAGAAATGTTCCCGGGGGGCTGCCCTGCGGCCTCTCTCTCTCCTCAGCTGGGACTGCGGAAGTCAGAGGACTGACGGATTTCTTGGAACTCACCACTTTCAGACTCTTCTCCAGAAAGGAGAAGGGTGGGGGTGGAGGTGGGGTGCATTTCATCCCCCTCCCTTGTTCTGACCAAAATCCAAGGGTCGTTTCTAGATCTAGGGGCTGCAACTTTGAGTACTTGTCACCGTGGGCCTTGACATCTTGACTGTCTGTTTTGAATCTCTTGAGACTGAAAGTGGGGTGTGGGGCTCTTGGAGACACACACTCTGCTCCCATCCCGGTCCTCACATGCCCCACACACGGTCTGGGAGAGCAGGTGGGCTGGGCGAATACAAGGAGGGCAGAGCATAGAGGTGGTGGGTGCCTGGACCACAGGGATGTCAGCCGCCTGCCTGTGATGGCGGGGCGGCCAGGATGAAGGGTTGGCTGAGGTCATCTGGTCCCAGCTGCCCTGTGAGTTTTGACCACAGTTCTTTGCCCACGAGTCCTTGGCGGTTGGGAAGCAGGGGTGAGGCACAAGTGGGGTGCAGAGGGGAGGCACTTGGCTGTTTGTAGCCGAACAGAGCTGAGCACTCTGCCCTTGGGTTCTATGGCATCACTGACTGGGAGAGGATGGGGGTGCTGAGAGCACCGCGTCTGTCCTCCGAGGTGGCCTAGCCCTCACTTACAAATAAGGAAACCGATGCAGAGAGGGGTGAGTTGCCCAGTGGCTGGTATTTAGATGAGTCCATCACGTGTTCTTTCTTTCAATCTTGGTCATCCCCTCCCTCAGTGAATGATTTTGAAAAGGGATGGAGGCTGGAGTGGGAAGACGCTTACTGTTTTTACCCCTCGGTCAGGGGCTGGCTCTCCCAGGTTACTACCGGGAGACCAGCTCTGGGGGGCCAGGGACTGACGTTTTGAGGAGCTCTGCTGAGGGACAGGCAGTATGTTAGGCAGTCACAGACATTGTCTCATTGAACGTTCTCAGCCCTCTGGGGTAGATAACATTGCCCTCACTGCAGATGGGGAACTGGAGCTCAGAAAGTTGTCAGCTGTGGGGTGGGCAAGGATGGGGCAGATAGGGTTTGGCAGCTGACCTGGGACCATGTGGAGTGATGTTCACTCTGCTTCCCATGGTGCTGCATGGGGAGAGGGTCTCAGCTCTGACAAGACACAGAGTTGGGGGGATTTGCTGACTGCCTCCATCCCCAGGCTGTTCTCTCCCTCCCAGCCTCTGACCTGTCTGAGGCCAGGGGATGAGTTTGGCGTCATTTGGTACCGCTTTCCTAAGGCTCTTTAGACAGCCTCAAGGCAGAAGGGACACTACGCCAGGGCGATACCTGTGGCCAGGTCTGTTTCCTCTTGACCAGACACACTCACGTCTGCCCAGTGGCCTACCTGCCTGGCCCTGCCCCTGCAGCCTTGCTCCATTAGTGGGGCTCTCCTGAGCACTGCCAGCCCCAGGCGCTCAGGGCAGCAGCTGCTGCTGGTCTGGACAGGGAGGGCCTCCCCGTGCTCTGGCTGGCAGATTCTTGGCCCTGAGATATCCCTGGAGGACTTAGGCTTCTTGGTTACTTAAGCTCCTACAGTGGCAGGAGTCTGGGGCAGGAGGGAAAGCCGGTGGGTATACCAGTTCTTTCTCTCTCACCTGACTCCCCTGAGGAAAGGCAGCTGCTTGACCAAGAGCTCTTTTGGTGCTGTGGTGGCTTCCTAGACCTTGCCAGGGGTGGGTAGGTTTCAGCCTCTCCAGCTGCAGGCCAGAGGCTGAGCTGACCTGGCAGAGAGCTGGAGTTTTGGAGTTCCAGCTTCTGGGCTAGAGGATAAAGTGGACAAGAAGTAAGAGTTGGCGGTAACTCTGTAACTTGAGGCAGAGCCTGTAAACCACCTCACACCAAGCTGGACAGACACCTGCTGGCTTTATTTTGTGGGGCAATGTGGCCTCCTCCAGAAGCCCTCTCCAGTGCCTCTGTGGCCAATCTTGGCAAAGAACAAATGTTCTAGACTGGGGGTTGTCAAACGATGTCCCATGGGCTAAATGCTATCTGTGTAAATAAAGTTTTATTGGAACAAACACACATTTACTTATTTCCTTTGATTCTGGGACAGATTTTGCCCCTGGGTTGGCCATTTTTCTGAAGTGGGGCAGGTGCTGCCTTGGAGTCCTGTTTACACAGTCCTGAAATTCAGCCCCCCTCCCCTCTTTCTTCTCACAGGCAAAGACTTGTATGGCTGCTTTCATGCCACAACGGCAGAGACCAAATGGCCTGCAAAACCTAAAATACTGTCTGGTCATTTATAAAAAGTTTACTGACCCCTGGTCTAGCTGCCAAAGATCTGATCTCCCATTTCTTTGGTCTCCAAGTTCAGAGAAGCCCCCTGAACCGAGGCAATGAGCCTGGCCCAGATGAGCAGTGCCATGAAAGCAAAATCAGGAAGCAAGGGCAGGGAGGTAGACAGTTAGGATGGTTGGGAGTCCCCCATCCTAGACCTAGAGCCAGAGACCTGCCTGGCACAAGAGAAAGCAGAGCAGTCTCTGATCCCCTGCCCTCTCCCTCTGGCCTGTGCTGCCTTAGCTCTTCTCCAACATGGCCAACAAGGGTCCTTCCTATGGCATGAGCCGCGAAGTGCAATCCAAAATTGAGAAGAAGTACGATGAGGAGCTGGAGGAGCGGCTGGTGGAATGGATCGTAGTGCAGTGTGGCCCTGATGTGGGTCGTCCAGACCGTGGGCGCCTGGGCTTCCAGGTCTGGCTGAAGAACGGCGTGGTGAGTGGCACCCTGGGAAGGGAGCGGGGCTGTGCCATCCTGCCAGTTGTGGGGGCAGGCACCCCAAGCTGAGTGCCGAGCTGCGTTTGTTCTATGCCTGGCAGATTCTGAGCAAGCTGGTGAACAGCCTGTATCCCGATGGCTCCAAGCCAGTGAAGGTGCCTGAGAACCCACCCTCCATGGTCTTCAAGCAGATGGAGCAGGTGGCTCAGTTCCTGAAGGCAGCTGAGGACTATGGAGTCACCAAGACTGACATGTTCCAGACTGTTGACCTTTTTGAAGGTACAGAGAGAAAAGGGGTAGAGGAGGCAGGTGGAGGACAGGAGACTGAGGCAGGGACAAGGAATGATCAAAGCGTGCCACGATGGGTCTGCATAGCGGGAATGGGATATGCTAAGAGAATACCATGCCACACTCACAAGGGCATACCATGGGGTCTACTGATGCCTCCTTTGATTCTGGGACAGATTTTGCCCCTGGGTTGGCCATTTTTCTGAAGTGGGGCAGGTGCTGCCTTGGAGTCCTGTTTACACAGTCCTGAAATTCAGCCCCCCTCCCCTCTTTCTTCTCACAGGCAAAGACTTGGCTGCAGTGCAGAGGACCCTGATGGCTCTGGGCAGCTTGGCAGTGACCAAGAATGATGGGCACTACCGTGGAGATCCCAACTGGTTTATGAAGTACGTGGCCACCAGGGCTCCCTGCACTCTAAGCTTGGCTCTCTGCATGCAATGGGAGGTGGCCTGGGCTAACCCATTAGTGCGAGGGATTTGGGGAAGCAGATAGCTGGGAAGGTACAAGGCGAAGGACGAGGAGGGGGGAAAATGGGTCTCTAACACTTCCTGACTGCTCCCTTCCTACCCTCCTGTGCTCAACAAGTCTTCCTAACCTGTGGGATGTTAGATTAACGAACAAGAGAAGTGAACCAGGGAGGGAATGTCATCAGGCTAGAAGGAACAGGAAACAGACAACAGGGGGAAAGCATGCAGTCTGGCAAGACTTTATCCTGGTTCCTCCTCTTCTAGGAAAGCCCAGGAGCATAAGAGGGAATTCACAGAGAGCCAACTGCAGGAGGGAAAGCATGTCATTGGCCTACAGATGGGCAGCAACAGAGGGGCCTCGCAGGCTGGCATGACAGGCTACGGACGACCTCGGCAGATCATCAGTTAGAGGGGGAGGGCCAGCTCCCAGCCCCGCCCTTCCCCAGCTCATTGGCCGCAGCCATCCCGCCTAGCCTGCCTCACCTGCACCCGTGTAGTTCCCTCAGCCCCGGCCAAGCTTCGAGGCTCCAGCACTGAGCAACGATGACTGCACTTGGGCAGCTCTCCCGCCCTTCAGCCTCAGCCCAACTTCTTACCCCAAAGCACTGCTTGCCCGGTCCTCCTCCCAGCTCTCCTGCCACCTCTACTGTCTCTCCCCATCCTGGGCTGAGCAGGGGGGACCTGGGCTGGGGGTGGCCTGGGGGTGGGGCAAGTCCACTGTCCTCTTTGGCAGCAGATGTCCATTGAAGGAGACCCAGCCCAAGCTCCCCCCACTTTTTGCTGGAATATTTTGGGGGTTGAAATTCAAAAAGGAAAAAAATATATACATCAATCTTTTCTCAGGCCTGGCTGGCAGAGTTTGATTTGCCCTGGTCCCTTCTGTTGTGGTTCCAGTAAATGTGAGCAGGGAAGAGGCGGGCAGCCCGGGTTAATGCACGTTCCTGGCCGCTGTCCTCTGAAGGATCCACACATCCCAGGATTCCAGGGGTCAGAGGCTTTCAGAGGACCAGGCAGTGGAGGAGGAGCATGAAGCTCAGGGGTCGAAGGGGAAGAGGAGCAACTTGGCACCTTGCCTTAGCTTTGGGGAGACAGATGAAAGGAGATGGGGAGCAGCAGCATTGTGTGGAAGGCTTTTATTGTGGAAAAGCTGTGCAGAAAAAAAGTCAACAAAATGTTGCTGTGAAAAGAGAAAACCAATTCTTAAGCATTAAAAAAAATTCAAATTGACAACTAGCTCAGAAGAGGGGAGGAGGCCAAGAGTGGGAGGAAGAGCCACAGCCTGTCGGGCAGACAGCTGGCCTCCGGTGGGTAAGGCCATTTCCCTGAGCACTTTGCAGAGGAAGACAGGGTGGTCGCAGGGCGGGAGCGGCCGTGGCTGACAGCTGCCACAGTCCTGCTGCGGACGCCATAGTGAGGCAGCACAGGCCTGGAGAGCCGTGCCCATGCCCAGCTTTGCCAGGAGCATTGTACCGATCCTGCAGGATGAAGGGTGGGGGTGATGGTGAAGGAGTCAGGGGTGTGTTCAAGGTTGGCTTCTGATCAGGGATAATGGAGGCAGCTGCTTTTAGGGCAAATGTGCTGGGCTGAGGGCTGATGCCACACCAGTACATCAGAGGCCCAAGGCTTAGGCAGGAAGGTGAGGGAGAGAGAAGACAAGTTTGCTGTTTTTGGGCCCTGGGTCCTTAGAAGGACAGGCATATCCAGGGACTTTTCCTGGCCTCTACCCCTAAGCCCTCTTCCCAAATGGCCCCAGTGATGTTTCTGTTGAGATGCTCTTCTGGCCATGGCAGGCACCTTCTCACCTATGCACAGGTGAGGGTCCCCACGACTCACACCGCCGGCTTGCCCAGGAGAAAGGAGGACGGAGGCCTGCCCAAAGGGGGAGGTGATCCCTCGTCCAAGACCTTCGCACCAAAATCTCCTGTTTGGTTGGAAGAAGATCCAGTGGCTGTGGCCACACTGTTCTGTGTCACCATTCTTTTGCTACTTGTACCTGAAGAAGGCCCTTGCCCTCCGTGAGCGTACTCAGAGGGGGCTCTTTAGGCCTCTGGGCTCCAGATGTAAGCATCAGGACTGCCTTTCCCAGAACTCCCGGGACTTTAGAGCAGCTTTCCAAGCTTCCCCAAATTTGGGAAGGAGGAGCCTGCCCCATGTTGAGTCTGTCAGGCCCTGGGTCAGCAAATCTGTTCCTCCTTCCCCTGCAACAGGTCGGGGGGAAGGTGCTGAGGAGGGCAGTCCAGGGCACTCCTGTGCTGGCACAGCCAGTCCCGCTGACCCAGCAAGTCTGGGGTAAGGAGACTAGAGGTGGCGGGAGGGCCCTCCTGCTCTGTCTCCACTCCGTCTGGATCCTTGCTGTTGCAAAGTGGCACCGATTCTAGTTCTGTCCCCTCTTCCCTGGCTTTTCGGCTTCCTTGGGGCTGGTGGCAGGGTCCACTCCTACAAATTGGGTGAGAGGCCACATTCCTCTGGCTCAAGTATATTTCCAGCATGTAGTAAATTGTCCAGAAGACGGTAAAACAGCCCACCAGCACCAGGGTCTGAGGAAAAGTCAAACACCTATGTTAGGGATGGTTTCCCAAAGCCTGCAGCCCTTTCAGCCCAGAACAAGGAGCTCAGAAAGTCTCTCTCCTTCTAGGGACGGCCCCTCCCACCCAAACCACTCCCCCAGCGCACACAGGAACGCTGAGAGTTAGCCAGTAGACGGGGACCCAGGTCTTCCCGACCCCTTCTTCCCCAGGTCACCTCGAGTATCCCACTAAGGACTAAACCCCCCAGCACACTCCTGCCTGCCTGTAGCGTGAGTCTTGGTGCTGTACCTTGAGGGTGTTAGGGGTGATGGTGTAGCCATCTTCCTCAGGAATTTTCAGCCCAGGAGGGCAGGGCAGAGTGAAGCCGTCATGCAGGTATTTCCCACTCATGGCACTTTCCAGTAGCCTGTGGAGAGGAAGAGAGAAGACGCCCTACTGAACGTGGTTCCTCTACCACCTGCCCTCACCCATCCTCCCACTTTGCAGCTGAAGAGAGGGACGCCCCTCAGAAGAAAGGGGAGGGGTGCACTGTGGCTTCCCAGGAAGGTGGAGCTCCCTAAGTGGAGCTTCCCCCACCCCATGAGTTGCCTTCCCGCTGACACACATAGCTATACCTACCTTTGTCTGTCCCTGATGTCTACTGGACTCCACACAGAGCCATATAGGGTCAGCTGCCATTGCCGGAGGACGCCAGTCTGGAACGTCTCATCTCCTAAAGCAGCAAGCCGTGCAGTCCGTGAGCCATGCTCCTCTGTCAGCCATGCACACAGCAGATGCCGTGCCCACCCCGTCACCCAGGGACCCGACCACGTGGTCTGCTGCAGTAGTTGTCTGTGTCCCCCTGACCCCAGGTGCTGAGGGTGTGCCTCACGGGGTACCCTTAGGACGGAAACGGGGAGGTTGAAAGGTGGTATTCCGCAGCACAGAAGTTTTGCCTTTATCTCTTTCATATTTTAGGGTTCCATTTGGGGTTTTGCTTGAGGAAAAAAAAAAATGTCCTCTCCTAAATTAAAGAAAGGTTTGAAAAGCACTGGTCTAGTGAATACCTAACTTGACTGGAAGTTGGGAGGGTTGGGTTCAATTTCCAGTCTCCTCACTGAAATACTGTGTGACCTTCAGCAAGTCACTTCAAACCTCCTCAATTTTTCAAAAAAAAAAATGGTGAAAATTAGTCCTGCCCTTACCTGCCTACCAGGGCTGGCCGAAGGATGGTTATATGTGAAAGGACTTGAAATGTGGTTTCAACAAGGAATTTTTGTTGCTATCCTGAGGAAAAATGCATCAGTCACTTCTCCAAGGAATATGAGAGGTAGTATAAATGAACAATTTTAGATTTCAGTGCCCATTTCTTGGCATCTACCCTCATGGTCCAATGGCAACCCTATGTATTCCACATGGGACAATTTCTGTGGGGACTCTGAGAGGCAGAGGGCCCAGATGACAATCAGGAGAGGCAGGGCCCTGAGGAGGGGCAGGCAGGCTCACCTATATCCCTGATAACGAGTCTGTAAGTCCCTTTTGCTCTTTCCCCCCAGCATCGCACAGTGGAGAAGGTCCAATCCTCGAAGCCACCGGGATCCCTGAAAGAACAGAGGAGAAGACTTGGAAGGAGGGAACAGGGAGCTGACCGATTTGCCCGGAAACGTTGTTTTCTTGCTGTAGTGGCCACGAAAGCGTAGCCATTGGGGAGGGTGCCCTGAGGGGTATGCACATGCTGTCCCCTGCCCCTGGGAGCTCACAGGATTAGGGGTTGTGTCAATGTGCTGCAGTGGAAAAAGCAAATGTGCAGAGAGTACAGGCCTGGGAGCAGACAGATCTAGGTTTATTGTTACTTTCTCAGGCACTTACTGGCTCTGTGACCTGTCTCCTCCTTTGTAAAAGGAAGTTACAAAGTCTCCTCTGCACGGTTCTTCCAAGGATCAGAGAAACTACACCTAAAGTATGGTGCTTAGCACATTGAAGCACCTGAACAGAGCACATAATGAGTAGCTTCCAGCTGCCGAGGTCAGCCAGCGCCACGGCAGTGCAGGAGAGTGTCGGTGTCTACTTCTGTATCTTTTCCTTAAAAAGGCCCCTGTTGCAAAGAGAGCTCAGAAGGAATGGGCGGGTGTACGTACGAGTCCATGCTGCGGGGAGCGCCGACAAGGGACATCATGCCACTGGGGCAAAACAGTTTTAGTTCCAAGCTGCCACGTCGTGGATGAGTGATGGAGACTGTCACTGCCACATGCTCCAGGGTCTTCAGTCCCGACATCTCCAGGTCCATCCTGCTGACTGTAGGAAGTCAGTCTGGGCAGCTGGGAAACCAGCCCCATAAACACTTACGCCCTCACTTCATGCCAACATACACAAAGGTACATACCACTGAAACCACACACAAATACCTATGGCAACCCTAACCGGGACCTAGTGCACACTGGGAAATACAATGCAGTTGCTGCTTTCAAGGAGTTCACAATCTAGTTAGAGTCTAGTTGGGAAGACAACACATACCTGAGACACAATATATGATCCAAACAGGGCAACTTTACTCATTCATTCATCCAAAAAATAATTTCCTGAGTATCTCCTACATTTCAGGCACTGTACTAGATGCTGGGAATATAAAGACTAGTAGACATGGTCTCTGCCTTCTGCCTGCAGGTGGGAAATGACATGGTATGAGGTATACATAACTGAGACTAGAACAGAGATTGAGCACCCAGCAGTGAGACACACTCTGAAGAAGAAAACAAATAGACTGGTAGAGAGGGTTGGTAGAAGGTATTCTAGATGGGGAAACGGCATGTGCAAAGGCAGAGGTGGAAATGAACAAGTTTCATATTGAAGGCAATACAGAATTTTTTTAAAAACTACTGAAGTGAACAAACTTCAGGGAAATTATGCTGAATGAAAAAAGTCAACATCAAAAGAATATATAGTACAAGACTTCACTTAGTAATATTCATGAATAATGTAACTGTAGAGATGGAGAACAGATGAGTGGTTGCCAGGCATTAGGGGTAGGGCAGAGGGGATGAGTGTGGCCATAAAGGGGTGACACAAAGGAGTTTTGTGGGGAGGGTGTGGTTCCAGATCTTGATCTTGGTTGTGGCGGTGGTTATGCAAGGCTACACATGTGGTAAAACTGCACTCACATAACCATACACACACACACACACAAATATGAGTGCATGTCTGATGAAATCTGAATAAGCCTTATGGATTGTACCAATGTCATTTTCTTGGTTTTGATATTGTACTATAATTGTTTAAGACATTAACATTGGGAGAAGGACTTCTCATTGGCACAGGACTTCTCTGAACATTTCTTTGTAACCTCCTGTAAATCTACAATTATTTCAAAATAAAAAGTTAAAAAAAAACCCAAACTACTGAAGACTCAATTGGGGAGTATTAAGAAATTAGGTTGCAATGAGAAATGATTTTCTCTAAATCACCTTTTCTTCTATTACTTCACTCTAATGACGCCTTCATTTTATAGACGAAGAAGCTCAGAGAGGTGCTGAACACAGAGGCAGGGACCCAGGTTGGGAAGGGCTTTAAAATCTTTATTTTAAAGAAGTAACTGAGAGCTATTATAGATTACTGAGCGAGCATGGAGGTAGGATGAATTGGAATAGGAAGGAAGAAACAGGTGACAGGAGGCCAGCTAAAACGCTACTGCCTTGTTCTTGGGGTGAGGCAGTGTAAGTTGGGGTAACTATGACTGAAAAAGAAAGAGGAAAGGAGAGGCACAAACTTTCTGTGACACCGCTTTCTGTCCTCCCGTGTCCAGGTGCCGACTGGCCTCGTGCTCAGTCTCCCTCTCCCTGCATCCACAGAAGAGTGCCACCCCCATGATCCACGACACCAGCTTTCACGAGGACCACCTCTCTGCCATCATAACCTCCATTTCATTATCTCCTCAACTCCAAAGACCTTTCTCCATCCCATGTCAGCACTCACTTCCATGACCAGACCTTGGGCCTCATCATTATCTGGGACTGCTTCACTTCTGAATGGTTTAGTAACTTTCCTCGTGGTTTTTATTATATAAGCAATACAAATTAATTGAAGACAAATTAGAAAAGTAGTTGAGCAAAAATGAAAACAAGAAAGCCCCTACAATTCCTGATAACATGCTGGTAAATATCCATCCAGACCTATCTCGGCGTATGTATGTGTGCCTGTGTGTATTTTCTTTAATTCCATCGTCAATCCTTCAACGCCAATGTCCCAGCTTCTCTGAAAGCAATCTCCTGTCCTTCCACTTTCCCCACTCCCTTCTTGACCCTTTCTCTTTCTTGCTCCTCCAGAAGCCCACCAAGCTCCTCTTCCTCACAGGCTGAGACCCCACAGCTCGTCTCTCCAGCAGTCCGCTGTGTACATGCTCAAACTCCCTAAGCTTTCCTTTCTTTCATGGTAGCTAGCTGGCAAAAGTCCAACACCGGACCAGCACAATTATCCATCTTCTCAGCTGGATCTTCTTGCTTACATCTTTCCTACTACAAGTGAAACACAAAAATAAATAAACCCTTTCGCAACTCTTCACTTCCTTCCACCTACCACTGTTAAAAAAGAGCGTGGGCCCTGGAGCCATCCAGCCTGGGTTTGAATTCCAGCTCTGCCATTCACTAGCTATGAGAATTGGATTAGTTTCCTTATCTGTAAAATGGGGAGAGTAATAGTACCTACTGCACAGAGTTCATAGGAGAATTGAATTACTTAATATATGTAAAATGCTTAGAACAGTACCTAGTAAATATTATTATATAAATATTAGATATTACTCCTTTTCTTTACCATTAAACTTCTTGAAAAAGATGTCAATATTCACTCTCTTTACTTCTTACCCTTCCATTCATCCTGAACATATTTTTCTTCCTATCAAAATAGTATAGTCCACATGGTTTTAAAAGTGAAGTTGGTTCTGGAGTGTTTATAATGTAAACAAGCTATTCCCTGCCCCGGGATACCTGGATCATCACCTTTGTGATCCACTCCCCAGAAGAAAATACTTTTTATTGCCTGTAGTTGTTTTCTTCTGGGATCTGCCTTCATGTTCCTAAATAACAAACCTGTATGACTATTTCATGGTTTATCAGTTTGAGACATGATTACTGCCTTCCTATCTTGCAGATAAGGATTTAACGCCATGCCCGTGCCTTCTCCCTGCTTTGCCCTCCTCTCCATCTTCTCAAAAATAATCACATCACATTTTTCTACTAGATCAATATTTTTTTTACCCTACAATGACCTTATAAATATTACAGGGAATTTTCCAAGCAGTGTACAATGATCATATTTCATTTTCTGAACAATTTGCTGTTTTAAATAATTGTCCTGTTTTTTGGTTTAACTTAAATTCATGTCTCTATCACTACTCCTTCTCAAACTGCACAAAAGAACCACATAGCCTCTCTAAATACTATTTTTTCAAACAAACAAGTCAGGGGCTCCCTCAATGCCATTTTCCCTGTGAAGACTCTCTCCGGAACCTTCTACCCCGTTGCTCTCTGCTGCACTGCTCTGGGTTGGCCCTTCCTTTACCTCTCACTTGGGCTTTCGCCTCCCCTCGCTCTCCCCTCCCCTCCTTCCTCCCTTCCCTTTCCTTCTCTTGGTTTCCCCTTCACTGTAGAGGAGTTTCAGACAAATGGAGCATGAAAAAGACTCGCATGTCTGAAATCATCCTTCCTCTACCTTCCTAGAGATCATCAGTTAGGCTGGGTTTTATGGACTGAAAATACTTTTCCTCAGAATTTGGAAGGTGTTTGGAGGAGCTTTTTCAAATGGCCAGTGATCACTATTATCACCAAAACCCAGATGGGAGCTCTAACCGTGGGGGAAGCTTTTCAGCTGGTGGGCTTCCCTAAAGCTAATCAGCCAGGACTCGACTGTCCCATGGAGGACCCCGACATATCAGTATCTCTGCCTTTTGATGAGGGGTCACTCCATTTCTCCAGAGAGGACCTCCCAATCTCCTGGCTGCCAGTGCCTCAGGATCTGAGCAGCTGGCTTGGTAGGCAGGGTCTCCCTCTCTCAGAACACTCCCTGTCTCTCACTTCCTGCTGTACCTGGGGTCCTTGGCTCTGGAGAACAAACTTCCCCCAACTGCTGCCCCGATAAGGAAGGGGCCATCAGCTGGCTGCTAAGGATGGGAGAAGGTACCCGGGAGTCTACCTTTTAATTGATCCTTATTTTTAGTCTCATACCTCATCTCTGTCTTCTGTAGTATATGGGGCCTCCGAGTCCTGAGCCCTGGGGATTCTGTGGCATGAACGGGCTTGTTTCTTAGGATCACCCCTGCAGGTATCTGGTATGCAATTTGCTTAGCCCTGCTCACTTTTCCATTCATTTTGCATCTTCCAAAAATGTGATGAAATCTCTCCTGTGCCGTAGTCTCCTCTCTCATTCTCTTTGTCCTTGTGCTTATACCATTTTTATTCTTTTATTCTTATTTTGGTGAGGTTTTGGGAGAAATGAAAGCAGAAATAAAAGCACATGTTCCATCTGCCATCTTTAACCAGAAAGCTTCTCCTTTCCCCATTAATTATTCAACCACCTGCAATCTAGCTTTTACCCATATATACATTGAAACAATGTATTCTTCTCAAGGTCACCAATGGCCTCTTTGATAAACCTTCTGATGCTCTTCAGTCCTTGTCTACTTGTCCTCTCTCACGGAAACTGTCCTAGAGTCTTGCAACTCTATCCTCCTGATTCTCTCCTACCTCTCAGGCCATCTCTTCTCAGTTTTCTTCAGAGGCTCCTTCCCTCTGTCCCCTCCCGAACTGTTAGGCTGAGTCCCAGGTCTTCTTCTATCCTCGGTCTACCCACCAATCCTGGTGATCTCATTCTTTCCCAGACCTTTTTCTTCCATTTTCATGCTGATGACTACTAAATCACCACCTCCAGTCTACACCTTCAACCTTATTTACTCAACTGCTTTCTGGCTACAAGCTTTAGAGGTGGCACGGAAGTCTCAAACACAGCATACTCAAAATTCTCTTCCTCCGTTCTCCACACACCATGGCCCTTGCTCAAATCTGCTCTTCCTTCCTTCTCAATCTCTTCTGATGGTATCACCATCTAATCAGTTGCCCAAGCTAAAAACTTGGAAATCTTCTTACATATAAAAAATATACAATATTTTATTTATATAAATATATAATGTATATTTATAGGTGCACTTGTATATATAAATTTTTATTATAGAGAACTTCAGACATACAAAAGTAGAGAGAAGAGATGTTCTCAACACCTAACTTCAATAATAATTTATATATGGCCAATCTTGTTTCACTGATGATTCTCTCTTCTTCCCCTTCCCAGATTCCTTTGACGGAATCCCCAGGCATCATATCATCTCACCAGTAAAGATTTTAGTATGTATCTCTAAAGGATAAGGCCTTGGGACTGTCTTTGACTGCTCTCCTTCTCCCTTACTGCTAACATCAAATGGTGACAATTTATCTCGAAGGCTTCACACAGACTTTCAAGATAAAGTCCAAACTCCTTACCATGGCTCGTGCGGTTCTATCTGGCCCTGCCACCTGAAGTTTCAGGTTTTCCTCTGTCCCTCACACCCCATGCTCCAGCCACACCCCGTGACTTGCAGCTCCTTGAAGACACCCTCGACTCTATACATGTTGCTCCCGCTGCCCGGATGTCCCTTCCCTCACCTCTTCTCCTGGCTAGCTTATAAGCTGAAGCTCAGGTCAGCTACCAGTTTCTTTGAGAACCTTCTTCTGTCTTCCCTGGTGGCAGGAGGCGCCTCTCCTCTGACACCTGTGTCGTGTCTGTCACAGGGCTTATAACACCATGCTCTGCCTGCAGGCTGCACTGTCACTGCTGCCAGCCTGTAAGCTCTCTGAGGGCAGGAATCGTGTCTAATCTATGAATCCCTAGAACGTAATACAGCGCCTGGGCAGAGGCAGGTCTCACATATTTGTAGAACGAATGAATGAGTCAATCAAGAGACATTTCAGAGCAATAAATGAAAGACTAAATTGCAGGGGAAAGGATAGGGGCAGACCTGGAGAGAAGCAAGCCTACAGAGGGATTGAAAACTCCAGAGTTTCAAGTTTGGAAGCCTAGGGAACAGTAATGGCACTGCCAGAAATGGGAGAAACTTGGAAAGCAAGCTGGTTTTTGAGAGGTGAAAATGAAAGCTAAAAATTCTGTACATGTTAAATGTAATGTATTGGCAGAATATCTAGGAATAGAAAGATGAAGGAAAATATTCATGGCATAGTTGGAGGAGAGCATTAACACGGCAGAGAAGGGGCCTACAGAGAGTAAGTGACATGTTACAGAATATTATACAACAGGATGGAATCCAAAAAGGGCCTTGTGAGTGCTGGTCTGTGTTTGGACGTGTACACAGTGGCATGCCACGTGCATTTCTTATTGGTGTGCAGGGACTTGGGTGGCCAACGATGTGAGAACACTTGAATATTTTACTAGAATTAAATGAGTTAATACCTTAAATGATTTAATACTTAGAACAGTGCTTGGCACATAAAAAAGCACTCAAGTTTAGTTGATGATCATCATCTTATTATTAATATTTGGCCTTTGGTAAGTTGGAGTCTTTTTCAACTCTCACCCTCTGGCCAGAAGGTCCCAGGGCTTTCTTTGCCCATAATCTTGTGGAAGCTATGAAGATCTCTACCCTTCTCACTGGTAAGGAATCAGAATAAGAGATTTCCATCCGGGAATCATTTGTGGTGGGGTGGTAGCTGCAGTTATAAACACAGCTGCGCTGTGGAGGAAGAAAATGTGGAGGGAGGATAAGGAACCACGGACTGAGTCTTAGAAGACACTCGTGGTTGGGAGTAGTGAGAAGAGCAAACAAAAGGAACAAGGACCTCATGCAGAGAAGCCAGAGGCCGCAATGGAGCAAAGGTCACAGAAGCTAGAGGAGGAGAGGGGCTGCCACAAAGGCTCGTTCATAGGGTCAGAGCAACCAGAAAGTTGAGAAGGATGAACTTGGAACTAGCCCCTGGGTCTGGCCAGGAAAGGGCACTGTGAGTAACGAAGGAAGTCCTCAGTGGTAGAGACAGTGTGTGATAAAAGCGAGCAATTGCTTTAGTTAATTCATTTGAAAAGGTTACAGGTTGAAGGGTGGCAGGGACTTTGCTTCCTAATAGGTGAACCGAGGATGCTGGAAGGCAGACGGAAGAATCAGTGGAGATGGAAAGACTGGGTTGGAGAGGGAAGATGTGGAGAAGTGAAGGGACGGGATTCATTGCACAGACACAGAGTTGGCCAGTAAGGATGTAAAGATGAAAGGATAGGTGCGAGTGGTGTTCAGGAATCTTCTGTAAATACACACAGACACACTCTTGTGTTTTACACACTCCTCCAAACCCCACACTCCCTCCTCCCCTCTAGTAGAGATTTCAGAGTCAGAGTCACACCTAAAGGGACCGAGGGACCCCAATCCCTTCTGCCCCATATCTCTGACTGATGGGAGACATTAAAGCCTGCTCTAGAGCTGCATTGCCCAATATGGTAGCCACGAGCCATATGTGGCTGTGTAAACTTAATCATAATAAAATTGAAATTTAGTCTCAGTCATGCTAGCCACATGTTAAATGTTCAAAAGCCTCACAGGGCCAGTGGCCACTGAGTTGAGCAGCACAGATAGAGAACATTTCTATTATTGTGGAAAGTCCTATGGGACACCACGGCTCTGGGCTCCTGGTGGCATTTCACCTCCTCTTCTATTGCAGTGAGGGCAGCTCCCTCCACTTTACAAAAAGGTCACCTTCCAGCCCTCCGGCACTGAATCGCCCAGGTCTTGGTGAGAAAGGTCTACAGCCTGGCTACCGGGGCAGAGGTTTCTGGACTGTCCAGACTGAGTTGCCCGACTCTACATTAACTGGACTCACTTCCTCGACCTCCACGCATGCCCACAAGCTTGTCCCTCTGTCCTGTCTGCTCAGGGGCCGACGGAGTCACAACAGAGGGATGAGACCTTTGCTGACTGCAGAAATCAGCAGCAGTCCTGCTGGCCACCCCCAACTGCTGAGGGCTCCGCCAGCGAAACTCCCAGAGTCCTTACCTCCCTCTGCTTCCTCCTCTCTCCACCATCCCACTTCCCGCTCACCTCCATCCAGGACACTTCGTCCTCCCTTCTCATGCTTCCTAGTGACAAACAAGCAGTTGCCAGACACCTCTACACCTAGGAGGTTGGTCAGACATGCTGGGGCAACGTCCCCTAGTTAGTGGGAAGCAGAGGATGACAAAGCTGGAGAGGACTCCGACCTCTTCTAAGCCAACCCCACATTTGACAGAAGCGACTGTGGGTTACTCTATTACTGAAATGACAGACAGCAGTCCTGAGTGGGAGGGGTAAATTAAAAGGCACACTATCTCCAAGACACGCGCGTGTGAAGCCCGGGGGTTCCGAGCAAACTGCATTCCTGGGAATGTTCCTGCACTTCTCTGCCTTGGCTGATGCTTTATGCCCTTTCCAAGATAGCATTCCTTTTACGGAAAATGTCATGAACTGGGCCCATGGATTTCCTTCCATGTAGAGGGAAACTGGGCAAGTGCTGGACGTGGTTATGGAGAGAGACAGAGGAACTCTTCTTGGTGAAACCTCCACCCAAGGGAAGCCGGCCCTGCCCCTCCCATCTGAGCTCCCTTCTTTGGCCATCCTTCTCTTGTCACTGCTCTGGTCTGATCACCCCCTGGGAGGCCAGGAAAAGTGAGGACGGAGTTCTAGTTTGGGCACAAAATATGACATGCTTCAATCTTCCCAAAAAATAGTGAATAACTGCTTGCCAAAATTCCTCAAGGGAAAAAAAAATCCCACAGGAGCTGGAGGTAGGGAAAACCGTCACGTGGGAACTCTGGGAAATCTACAGACAGATGATCGTCCAGAACAAGTATTCCAATCCAGCTTCCCTCTTCTCTGGGAAGGGGTTCAATCTCTGTGCTCCACACAAAACCACCTCTCTGACTCACAGACCTTCCCACAATCCCAGTGACCCTGGTGCGATGGAGCCGGGGGCAGAGGATGGACAGCTACAGTCCAGGGAGCCGTCCACATTCTCCTCTGTCCCACCCCCAATAGACCCCATCTGACTCTCTCTGTAACAGACAAGCCTGACAATCAAAAGAAGAAATCCCCAACTCCTATATTTCATCCAAAGCCCACTGGGTTGAAGAGAACTCTCTGGCAAGTTCTTAGCATGGAAGTCAAAGGAACGTCTTTCAACTCTCGCCCAGTCTCGCCAGGTCCCAGTCCCACTCCTCCCACCAGCCTTTCTAATCTTGGCTGCTCAGCAGCTCCTTTCCTCTACTAGTAACTCAGGAGAAAAGTCTGGTTTAAGCAGCCAGGGGACCAGCCAACTCAGAAGCAGCAACATGTCCTAAAATGGTCAAAGAAAGCTCCACAGGTTTGGCCGGAGCTCAGCTCCTAAAGGAAGGGGGCAGAATCGGCAGGGAGGACGGAGGACGAGTTTAACTTCCCCATCACCCCGCCCCAAACCTCAGGCCCAACATTAACCCCCTTTCTGCTGACTACTTACCATTCCACAAGACCTCCAGGGAACGGGGAGACAGCGGAATCGCCTTGTTCTCTTTTAACACGGGGCTGACGTAGGAAGCTAAGTAAGGGACAGATGTCCAGATCTATTAAAGGAAGGGGGGATGGTGGTGAACACACAGGACCGATCCCCCACATACCCCTCCCCCACCCTGTCAACTCGATCAGGGCCCGCTGTCTTTATTTTCTTCTCCTCACCACCTTCCTCCTGCCCTGAGGCTCCTGCTGACACCCTGCAACACTGCCTGTGGCGCTCAATCAAGGAGCCCAAGGAAACGGCTGTGTTCAGCGTGGGAGATGAGAACCAGAGCACCCTGAGAGTCCCGAGCTATACTCAGGTCCCATTTACTCTCTACCAAGACAGAAGTCCCCCTCCTCCTTGGGGGAGATATCCCCAGACCCCCAGCGGATGCCTGAAACCATGGATAGTCCCAAACCCTGTATATACTATGTTTTTTCCTAAATATACATACCTAAGATAAAGTTTAATTTATAAATTAGTTACAGTAAGAGATTAACAACTTACAATAAAATAGGACAATATAACCATATACTGTAATAGAAGTTATGTGAATGTGGTCTCTCCTTCTCTCAAAATATCTTGTTGTTCTGGACTCACCCTTCTTCTTGTGATGACGTGAGATGATAAAACGCCTACGTGATGAGATGTGGTGAGGTGAATGACGTGGCATTGTGACGTGGTGTTAGGCTACTACTGACCTTCTGACGATATGTCGGAAGGAGGATCATCTGCTTTGGAACTGTGCTTGACTGCGGGTAACTGAAACCGCGGAAAGGGAAACCGCGGATAGCGGGGACTACGGTAGTTTGGAGACTTCAATTCTAGTGTTGAGCCTGTGTCTTCATTTGTAAATAAGTATCAGCTGGGATGAGTGTAAATGAAATGAGCGAACACTTATTAAGCACCTACAAGGTGCCAGGCAATGCTGAGGCATTTAGCCACCCCCCGGGTCACCACACACAGGGCTCCCCGCCCTGCCAACACCTGCTCACCTTGGCGGCATTAACGAGTCTCCAGGCATTGAGCAGGCCGAATCCATGCTGGTGGCTGTGGCTGAAGCCTGCCTCGTTGGTGACCCACTCTGCACGGCGATCCTCGTACTGAGAGGACAGAGGTCCTGGTTACTTGGATTCCCAAAGTAATCTCAACACCTACCTCTGGTTTCCTGCCTGCCCTGCTGGCTGATCCAGTCCAGACTCTCCCACTGAGGCTACTAGAAACGGACTCCCCAAGGAAAGCTGGGACAAAAGGTCAAAGCTCCATGATGTTACCACCCCAGTGGCCTGCTTCTAGAGGGAGCCAGGAGTCACAGGCTCCAGAGTAGGGGAGACCAGCCAGAGCTCTCCTTTGCAGGTAAAATGGCATCAGCTGAAGAGGTACAAATGAGTTTAGGGGGTACCCACATGTGTTCTATACACATGGAACTCTGAAAGGGATTTGGCACCTAACGTTTGGGCCACCTAGAATTTGAAGCCTCTTGATATCAGCAAGTCCTTGGAACTAGAACTCTGGAGTCAGCTGGGCCAGGCCATTTGTCCACCTGCTAGGACCTCACCTGGGTGGCTGTGAAGACAATGATGTGCTGGACATCACGCCACGTGAGGCAAGGCCGCACCTGCAGCATCAGGGCTATCATGCCAGCTGCCAGAGGGGCTGCTGCTGAGGTCCCGGTGTGGCCCTCAGTGCAGCCTGTGCCCTTCTGAAGGTCCCAGTCGGTGGTCACCTGGGCAGTGGAGTGGAGGGGAAGGGGCCAGGTTAGAGACTGAGTTCGAAGGTGCTGTGGAGGGAGGGGAGTAGGCTGGTCCTCAGAACAAGCCTCTCAGATGGGCCCTTCCTCTGAAAGAAGAGCTGAATCTCTGACCAGAGGGAGGCCCACCAGCGGGTCAGGGAAAAGGAGATCCTTCATCCTTCTAGGCCTCACAAGAGAATCTCTGGCAAATTAAGAAAAGGAGAATAAAAATAAAAGAATTACTTAGGAGGGTCTGGTTGTGGGGGGGAAGGAGATGGAGAAACGGGAGAGGCCTTACGAGCAGAGGACAGTTCCCTGATTCCTGCTCCTCTAATAACCCTTTCCCAAATTCTCCACCCCAACCCTCCAACCCCCACAACCATGCTAGACAGAGGAAGTGGTCAGGGGAGCTCCTGGGCCCCAGCTGGAGCTGGGACAACAGTGACAGCACCATTCAAGGAGATCCAACTCGGCAGCTCAGCGATAGGGGCTGGAGTGACATCAGTGCGAACAAGGGGGCGTGTTCCCAGGGAGAGGAACTGCCCCTTGCCCACCCATTGGCTCAGTATGGGATTTGTGTCTACACTGCCTGCCCACCCTGGCCTATGGTGATCAACAGGACAAGCTGCCTCATTGCTGAGCCTGGTGTCCCAGTGTGGTTTCCATGGGTGCCCCCACCTACCTGTGGTTCTGAGGTGGGAGGTGAAGGTAGGGGTGGGGGAAGAGGGGAATCACTTCGGGGGAGAGATGGCATCTGTGGGCAAAAAGTTCTTTTCATGCTCTCATCAACCCTGGAGCCACAAAGGGCTTAGCTGAGGAGGGCCCTGCATAAACCTGCTCCATTCTGTGGCACTTTGGATCTAGCACACGGTGCCAGCGTTAATTCTTTTCTTCCAAATTTCTCTTCTGGGTCAGATAGCAGGGTGGTAACTTCTGCCAAGAGCTGCCCTTTCTCCATTGTACTCACTGCTTCCCTCCCAGCTGTTATAGCAGCTGCCAAGAGATGTAGTTTTCACTCAGACACCATGCACTCCCACAAGAAAAGGGGAAAAAAACTCTCCAAGTTGTAGTCTCAATGAGAGCGGGAAGCCTGGTCCATGCCAGGGTGCAGATTGATTTTTTCCTGTTAAGGAAACAGCCGCGCAGTGGCTGATGTGTAGCTGTGAGGCCTGTGAACTTGCCTGTGGTGGGAGGAGCCCCAGGCAGCAAATGGTGGGCAGCACACAGCTCCACACTCTGCCCCCAGCGAGACAGCTCCACCGAGCTTGTCATTGATCAGAAACTGGCAACAGAAGGTTTCCAAGGCCAGGACATCTCAAAGACGGAAAGTTGGCTAAACAGACTCTCTTTTCATATCTGGACCAACTACAGTTGAGATGGAAGGTGGGGTGGGGGTAAGGAGTGGGGCTGAGTTAGGAGGAGGAAAGCCAGGCACCGCATAGCCAGAGTAACACTTAAGCTCGGGCGCCTTCCTGGTCCCGGCAGGGGCTGGCTGAGCTCGTTCTGGACTTCTGCCAGGGCTTGAAGAGCACGGTCCGTTCCTGCTCTTCTTCCTAACCCAGCCTGGCTTGGGGTGGGCGCCCTCTGCACCCAGACCCCTGCCTGCTGAGCGGAGCCCCTCTTGCCCTTTCACCTTAGGCCACTCCCTTTTCTCTTCTCCCTGGGGTTGGGGAGAGGGCTGGGGTCACCTGGCACAGAGCCTTGGAACATTGTGTTGACCAGAAGTCATCTATTGGCAAAACAAAAGTTCAGTTTTGGAAAATGAATTTGACCCAGCAGGAAGACAAAGCAGCCTAATTCTCAATGGCCCCAGAGAGACCTAGACCTCTCAACCGGGCCACTGGGGAAATCCGACACGATCAGCTCCAGCCCAGCTCTTCCCTGGAGACCCCGTCCCCATATCGCTCCTTTATGGGCAGCAGGGGCAGGCAGGCAGCTCCAGGAGGGCAGGCCAGAGACCTGGCTCCAACCTGCTGGGAGGCAGCTAAGCCAGCCAGGCGCAGGCACCAGACCCTGAATTCTTGAAAAGTTTCCCACAGCTTGAGAAGGTCCACTCCCCGCTCCAATCTCTTGTTTGCTATGGCTCCCGTTCTAGCTCCAAGGAAAGAGCTGTGTCTTAGGCTGACAGAGACATTCCCCTGACTCCTTTCCCCTCCCATCCCACAAAGACAACCACTAGCTTTACCCCTGACGAGGAACACGACCAGAACTCACAGTATTTACAGAAGAGCTGAATAGCAGTGGAATGATGATGATGATGATTTTTTTTTTTAAGCCCACAGAAATTAGCCAAAGCCCAAATCTTACCAAAGGAAGACATTTCAAAGAAGTTTTCAATCAATGTGATGCTTAATAGTTCTTAAAATTTTAAAGATAAAAGCCATTCATATAGGGGGCCAGCCTGATGGCATAGTGGTTAAGCTCGGCGCACACCACGCATGTCAGCAGCCCGGGTTCGCGGGTTTGGATCCTGGGCACAGGCCTACACTGCTCATCAGCCATGTTGTGGCAGCAACCCACATGCAAGGTGAAGAAGATGGGCACAGATGTTAGCTCAGGGCCACTCTTCCTCAAGTAAAAAGAGGAAGATTGGCAACAGGTGTTAGCTTAGGGCCAATCTTCCTTGCAAAAAAACCCAACCCCATTCACACAGATTTATTTAGAGTCCTCAGCTCGATTCTTCCAAAAATGGCATACCCTTAGAGACACAGATCTGCTCAGGAAGAAGCAACTGAGGGACAGGATAGGGAGGCAGGGAACAAAGAGAAAGATGGTTGTGCCGCCTGACAGAAGTCTTGTGGGACAGGGGCAGGTAGTAGAGGGCCCAGGAGGCACTCACAATGCTCCGAAGCATCTTGTCCCCACCACTGAAGGTGACCGCCAGCATAGAGGCACACTCCTCTGCATAGAAAGGCATGTGTCCCTCCTCGTCCACAGCACCTGGGCAGAGTAGGGGAAATGGGAGCCGGGATAAGGGTCTGATAACATTAAAGTCATCTTTGGTTATTATCTGGGAGGCCCAGTGCCTCAGAGTGCCCACATGCCTCCCCTGAACGGGCAACCTCAGATGGCAGAGGTATTGTGAGGGCCCCATTAGAGGTGCCCTAATGCCATTCTCTCAATAGGCTCCAGGGTAAACCTTGGGGCATTCCACCTCCACCCCTACTCATCCGTTCACAGGTTCATTTTCCTCAACATTTAGTAATTATCTACTGGAGTTACACACTGTGTGAGACATTGGGGCCATATGGAAACGGCCAGTCCTGATCTCAAGGAGCCGATAATCAGGGAGGAAGTCGGGTTAGTAAATAAACACAACTGGGATGGCAAATGGCATGGTAGGGAGCACAGGAAAAGGGCATTTAATTTAGGCTAGTGGGGTGTCAAGGAGGCTTCAAGCAGGAGGCAAGTGGCCCCTGGGAAGACAGGCCGGAGCAGAGTCCCAACCAGTTGTGGTGGGGGTAGAGGCGGGGTGGGTATCTCCAGATGACGGGTTGAAAGTGTTCCCAGGGTCTGGAGACTTCTAAGGAAGTCCTGAGATCCTCTGAGAGCAGGACTAGTCCCTCCTAACTATCTGAGCCTGAGGAGAAGATCGTGCTCACATTTAGATAGACAAATGGAAGCCAGGGTACACTAAGATACACCGTTCCCTCACCACACCACTGAGTCACACACACACACGTGCACCCCAAGGCGCTACCTATGGTGACTGTGTAGATGGAGTTGGCATAGCCATCGTAGTTGCAGTTGTCATTGTGCTGGCCCCCATTGCCACTGGCCACCACAAAGATGCTCCCGAAGCCCCGGCGGCCAGCCATCACCCCGTGTTGCAAGGCAGCCTGAGGAGCAAAAACGTCAGGGATCAGTTAAGGGGCTCATAGAAAGACCTCTGCCTTCCACACCAGTCACCCTCTCCTCCCTTTCCAGAAAGAAGAAGAAAAAAAGCCCAAAGGCACTGGGCATGGGAGAAACTTAAAGATGGGCTCAAGAAGAGGAGGAAGCTGTTAGTTGCGTAACTGTTTGATGGATGTACTCTGCTTATCAGGGAGGGTGGGGCCAGAAATGGGGAGCTGAGCACAAAATCAAAGGGAAACAATCTCAAAGCACTGTTCATTTCTCTCTAAGAACGCGTGTGCCCCACACTCCCCACCTCCAGGTTAGGAGCAGTCTTCTGAAAGGAGGTGGTAGGTTAGATGGCATAGTTCTGCCACTCAATAATGCTGGTCCCCTAGATGGGGAACTGGGTGGTTGGGACCACATGTGGAGGCTTACTTTTCCCTCTAAGCACTCTTGTATCTTTTGAATTTTTATACTAAGTGTATGTAACTCTCCAGATGCGGTGGGAGAGGGAGCGACTTGTAGCAGTTTTCCAGGAGCTGATTGGTGCCTTAGGTCTCCTAACGTCTTCGTGCAGTTCAGTTACCTTTCCAAGCTGATGGGGGCCATCCACCGTCTTTCCATCATCATCTGGTCCCCAGCTGTTGAGAAATACCCAGAGGGAAGAGGCAGAGCCAGACTGTGGCTGCCCCCCAAGGCCTCTCAGTGCCAGCTGGCCACCCCTCTGCCTGGGCTCTTACTCTCCTCCCAAGGGGTCCAGTTCAGGACTCCCATGATTAAAGGATGTAGGGTTCAAGGGTCTGGCCCTCACTCCAAAGTGGAAAACAGAAGTATGTGCTGAGGTTCTTTCCCTTGGAAGCTTTTCCAGTTTAAGACTACTTTAGCTTGCCCCTAAAAATCTTTTCTCAGGTCCTAGAGAGCAGGAGACAGTACACAGTGGTAGAGAGGGACAGGGGACAACCCCTCTCCTGATCTAGGGACCTAATACTAGGCTTGATGGCAGAGCACCCACGAAGGAAGTATGTAATCTGCGTAAGTTCTTGGGTCTGAGGAGTTCTCTATTCTTTCTCTAAGAGGAAATGCACATTGTGGATGATGTCATGGATTTAAGGGAGGTGCTGGTTAGGGGGAAGAACGAGTGCCATCAATGTCGTGGGGACAGCCCAACCTCAGTTCCTCCTTATCCACCCCAACCTTAACCATGACCTGAAGCTACAGGTGCATTTTTGTGTGCAGGGCAGTGGGAATCGGTGCTGGGCATTCAGCTCAGCTGAGGTTGGGGAGGAACGCCCACCTTCTCCCAGAAGCCTTATAAGTTTACTAAACAAACAAACGGGGCAGGCTGGAGCACTCCTCACGTGGCAACCTGATTACTGGGGTGACCTGGGGCTTAAGAGAGAAGCCAGTGACTGGGGACCTGGAGGAACGAGGGCGGTGGACTTATAGGTGGAAGCCAGTGAGCAGAGCCGTGCTGGGACCTGCCCAGCTCAGCCCATTTTGCTGTTCTTTTGTTGGGGATTCACCCCAGGTGCCCGCGCCTCCTGACCTCTCACCTTGTTCCTGGGTCTGCCTCACCTGCAGCTGTAGATGTCATTGATCTGATAGTGCTTGTTGAACGCCACGGCCTCCATGCTGTCTGTGAGGGGTCCATCCAGTACCCGGATGCCTAGGTAGTGAAGGCCACACAGGTCCTCAATAATGCTGGTCCCCTAGATGGGGAACTGGGTGGTTGGGACCACATGTGGAGACTTACTTTTCCCTCTAAGCACTCTTGTATCTTTTGAATTTTTATACTAAGTGTATGTAACTCTCCAGAAATATTTTTTAATGTAATGCTAAATCTTAGACTTTAAGGCATAGGCTAGAATGCAAGTAGCCAAGGTTCCCTTCTTGTCTGCATCCTTTATCATGTAAAACAGCGGGGCAATGCCTGACACATAAAAGGTGTTCAATAAATGGTACTCATTACCATTATTACTCCCATGGACGCCTAATTTCACCCTCTAAAATGGGGTAAGTCACACCCTGGTGACCATGTCTGGACAAATGGAGCTTTCAGAAGGGCCTTGGGCCCTGGGGATTTCTGGCTCCCTCTGTAGCCTCATTGACAGAGAGGCCTGCTGACCTCTGCTGGAGTGTGAGAGGAATACAGCCAACCCATTCAGTCTGTAGGTTCCAAGCACATGAGGACTCACGGGGAGAACCTCCCCATTCATTCCCTTCACCTTCTGCCTTAATGGACGAAGACTGAGAGGAAAAGGAGCCACAGAACCACGCCTAGCGGGGGCCAGGGCTGCTCAGCTCTCTTGAAAGGATGGAGAACAGACAGTGACCATTGGAAGGGCTGGGAGCTGGAGAGCTGGGAGATGGGACAGGAGCCTCCACAGACATATGAGGTCAAGGAAGAAGGGCAGATGAGAAGGCATTTGGTAAATTATAAACATACAAATATAACATAAATGAGTAAAAGGAGTTATCTTTACAAGGAGTTGGGTCACTGATGGAGCATAACCATGGTAAAAGGGAAGAGGAGACTGAGCAGGTGGGGCTTGAGGCCTCCATCCCATATCAGGCGCATTTCCTCTTTTATCTTTTTATATGGTGGGGTTTGCTGCTAAAAACATGTTTGAAACACCATTGCACTGAAAAAAATCAAGGAACTGATTTGTCCTACAGATGCTGATTATAAGCCTACCCTTTGCTGTGTGCTGTGTGTTGAAGGTGGGTTCAGAATTCGGGGGGAAAGGAGGGCAGAGAATGAAGACTGTCATCACAGGAGAAGCCGACCGCGTGAGACTAGAGGGTACCTGCTATGCGGCTCCCATATGCCACTCCCACCGCACAGAAGCTGTTGTTGGGCACGGCGGCGATCTCTCCTGCACATCGCGTGCCGTGGTGGTTGCCATTCTCCACATCCGGGTGGGGCATGGGGTCAGGGTCATTAGAGTTGAGGTCATAGCTGCCCTCAGGGCTCTGAAACATTGAGGGGGGGGTGACATGGTCACTCACCGGTTATAAGGGGTTCAGGTCTTGGAGCTCAGGGAGAGAGAGCGACTGGGAGTTTGGGGCTCCAAGCCAGGACAACAGGCCCATCTCTCTCTGCAAACCACACAGGATACAAGATATGAAGATAGGACACATTGGAGCAAAACTGAGAAGTGCCACAGCTCTCAGCAAACTTCTCTCTCATCCATTATATAGAAACGTGCCCAGGAGACTGCTCCATGCCTGGGAAACCTGGGACAAAGAGATTTAGAGGTACCAAAGGCCAGGCTATAGAGAGAGGAAGGTGCTCAGAACTTGGGTGGAGAGGGAAGTTGCCTTCAGGGGCCACTCCTTCCTCCCTGGGGCAGGGAGCTGCGATAGGAACCAGGAAGTATCACTGGATCCTCTCCTTGCTGAGGCTGGAGCCACTCCCCATGTCTTAATTGCCAGTCTGGAATGCCGGCTGGGGAAAAGAAGATGAATACCATCCCACCTCCAGGCCCTTCTGTTTGGCATAGTGACCTCTAAGAAAAAGGACAAGCCTGAGGGAATATCAAGAAGGAGGTAGGGAGGGGTTGTTCCAGGGCCACTCACATAGTTGGGTGCAATGTCCTGGATGGTGTGCTCCACGCCGTCATCCACTACCACCACGGTCACGCCTTGCCCAGTTACATTGCGCTCCCATACACCTGTCACGTTGATGTCCCTGCCGGGGCTCCGCCGGTTATTCTGTAGGAGAGACAGGGTCAGGAACTGTTCTCAAAGCCTTGAGAATCCAGTGACACACCACAGCCCATAGAGACAAAAGTTGTAGCTAGCAGCCCCTTTTCAGTCTTGGCTGCCATTGAAGAGCCAGATAGAGGGTGTGGACCAGTAGGTCTAGGTGGGGACAGAGCCGAGGAGGAGCAAGTGAGAGCTTTGCCACAACTTAGGTCCCCAGGAAAGCTTGGCATCATTCACAGGCAATAAAGGTGAAATGGTGGCTAGGGTTAAGGGTCAGATAATACAATCATTATGCTACATAATACATATTATATTAACATTATATAATATAAAGTTAGTAGCTAACACTTATAAAGTGTTTACCATGTGTCGGGCACACATATATTAATTCACTTATTCTAACCATAACTCTACGAGATAGGTACTATTACAATCTCCATTTTACAGAGGGGAAAACTGAGACACAGAAAGGTTAAGCAGTTTGCCCAAAGGCACATGCTGGTAAGTGGTGGAGCTGGAACTTGAGCCAGGCAGCCTGGCCCCAGCACCCACACCCCAGCTGCCGTAGTCCACTGGCTCTCTGGAAGTGAGCACAGGGAAGGTGGAGCCCGAAGACCAAACGTGCCACTGAAGCCCACAGAAACGTCTCCTTAGCAAAGGACGGGGGCAGTTGAAGAGTAACACAGGTGAAAGCCCACAAAGGAACTGGATACCTAGAATTTATCCACCTGAAGCTGAACACTGCAGGGCTGGACTCACCAGGTGCCATTGCTGTGGGTACTTGGGGTCATTGAAGTGGACGCTGCGCTTGGCCCGCTTTAGCAGCCTCTGCTCTGAGTGCCAGAGCACAGCTTCATGCCTGGTGAACACAGCCTCCGCCTGCTGCCGGACTGCCTCCACCTGCTGGTCCTGCCAGTGCCCAGCTGGCTGGACGAAGAGGTAGTGCCCCTGGAGCTCCCCGATGCGTCCAGCATTCACCAGCCCTGCTGCTTGGGCCAAGGCATCTGCCTGCTGCTCCAGAGACTCTTCCTCCCCCTCGCCTCCCAGACTGTCCAGATGCACGGCCCAACTTATCCCCCCTGGGCCCTGGGCCCCAGGCCCACCTGCCCCTGCCAGGCCCATGACCCAGGGAACCAGTAAGAAGAGCCCGGCTAACTCAAGCCAGAGGCAGGTGGGCAGGCCCAGGGGGGCATCCAAGTGTGGCACTTTCTGCCTCCCCTTCGGCATCAGAGCAGCAGGCTGCAGACAAAGAGAAAGGACACCAGAGATAAAAGTGCTGATAACTGCAGGAATCTGAGAGGGAGACCGAGCCATCAACGTATTACACCTGGAAACCTCCAATCTGCTCCTTTGAAATTATTCAACATTTGATCCTCTCTTTTTATTCACATTTATCCCTGACCAACAGGGATAAGCCCCCAGATCAGGTGTGGACCAGTACTAACCCCAGTGGATACCTCCATGGCACGACGGGCCAATCCCCATCTCCCCAGATGATCAAGCAGAATGGCAAGCTGCTAACAGGCCCCATGCTGCTCTTTCCCACTGTTGCCATGAGAAGGGCTCAAAAGTCGTATCACTCCCGCAAGTTACTGGCAGAATCATGACTATTCTTTAGAAGAGATCCTCCTCCCTTATTTAGAGGGAACATAAACCTTTCCCCAGCTGCCTTCTCAGTCCAGTTGTCCTCAGGGCTAACTCCCCCCAGTGGGGCCCCATTCTCACCTGGACTGTGTGTGAGGTCGAGCTCCTGGTCTGGCTAACCACCTCACGCTCATTTTGTGCCAATTGAGAAAAGGCATCACTTTCGCTGCGAGGAGTGTTCACTCTGAGCACAGACTGCAGACCTGTGGGCCCCAAGAAAAGAAGAAATGGTGTCCTCTCAAACCCAGTGGAGCAAGCAGAACTAGGCCAGGAACTCCAGGACCTGAGACCAAAGAAACTGGCCAAGGACCAAAGATCATTTCCAGGGATCTCTCATAGGTCACAGACTGGAACAGAACTGGTAGGGTAAGCCAAATCAGTACAAAAACCCAGAAACACTACTTCTTGTCCGAACCATCACGCCACCCTCTTTCCTTTTTTCCCTAGAGGCCTAGAAGAGGGCTCGAACCATTACCAAAAGCGTCTCTTGAAAAGTAGGTAGTACTGTTTTCTAGAAGTCCAGGCGGCAGCTAACTTCCTGATTCCTGTACCTCTGCAGGACGCTAGGGGAAGTAAGAGGAGGCAGGAGGTGGGGGAGACAGGGAAAACCCGAGAACGCAAACAAAACCGAACAGGTGTAAAGGGCAAGTGAGCAACTGAGAGAGAAGAAATGAGTGGAACCCAGCACTCAAGGGCTTTCCTTAGTCACTAGCTAGGGTGGTTGGCTTGGAAGTGCGGGCTCAGGCTCCAAACCCAGCACTGCCATACCTGGTTTGCTAGAAGGGCCAAATTAGAACTGGTGGGCAACCATGGGGACAGGGACAGGTGACTGGGTGGCAGAATATGTGTGTATTTATCGGTGGCTGGCCTCCTTTAGAAGCATCTGCTCTCTACTGATGTCACCCTGAGGCAGGGCTTAGTACCCACACACAAGCCCAAATGAATCCGACTCAAAACATTACAGGAAAATGGGTATTTTACCGAAGTCTCTTTGGAAAGAGAAAAAGGGAATTTACACCACTTAAAACTTCCCTCCAAAAGTCTGCATTCCACATCTTCTCTCTTTTCCTCTTAGGTTCCCGGGCATATTCCCTCTCAAATTCCTCCCTGCCCTGCAGCCTCCACTGTCACGAGATATTCGGATGTCTTTCCCAGTCTGCATAACTCATTAAGCAAAACAAAATCTTGTTAAATGGCCAGATAAAGACCCGTCTAGGCAGGCTCCTTCCAGCTCAGTAGATCTCACAGATTTCCCTAAAAGAAACCTGACCACCACTTCCTCCTTTCTCTCTGGCAGAGCAGTACTTTACCCCCCACCCCAGGCTTCTGGGAAAGAACCTTAAATACCCCCTGAAAGCAGATCTCAACCCAACCCAAGGGCTAAGCTATCTTTACAGATCTTAGGTGCCAAGGGAGAAGAGGAATCCTATGGGCAGACCAGAGTCTAGGATTCTGCTCCCAAGAGACTGTCCATCTCGCAGCCTCTACACTCTGCTCCTAGAACCCTGATGCATCTACGGGTCAGCTTCATTGATTTCCTCCTCCCGGGCCTCGACTGTCCCGTGCATGTGCCCCCCCTCCTCAGAGGGACTCACACTATCCTGGAATCCAAGAGCCCGGTGCCCCGTCTCCCTTGGGCACCTCCACGCCAGGACCGAAAGCGCCCTCTGGGCAGCTCCCTCATCCTCAGACACCGGCTGCCCCCACTTCTGGGCCACTCGGACTTTCAATGCCCCGCCGCCACCGAGTTCCCAACTCACCCGCCCGGCCGCAGCTGCTGCCGCCGCCTCCCTGCGGAAACTCGCGGCTTCCCGGGAGCCCGAGGAGCCAGTGACAGTAGCATCACTTCCGCCCGGCGGCGCAGCCAATCAGCGGCGGGTCCCCCGGCCGGGCCGACGGGCGGGGAGCAGCCGGCGCTAGGGGGCCGGCTCCTCCAAGCATCCTCTGCCGGGACAGAAGCGTGCGGGTGTGGTGGGCTTTCCTCGTGGCGTCTCGGCGCCCCGAGTTCTCTGGGCATCTTCTAGAGGGGCCCTCTCCCCAGAGGGGACCGTCTTCTCCCTCATGGCGTCCTCTGGAGAGGGCATCTCGGTTGCGACCTTTAAAAACACCTCATTCCTCTTCTCCCTCTGACCGCCATGGCCCCGACTCTCCCTGTAATCTTCCTAGAGGGGCTCCTCCCACCGCCAGGTCTCCTTCGTTCTGGCAGCGGCATCTCCCTTCTTCCCTGCGCCGGGGGAGAGACAACTTGGGTCTTAGGAGGGCTTCCGCCGCGTCCCGGCCCCTCGACGATGCCAGCTCTGGCCGCCAGAGGGCGCCGTCGGGGGCGGCCGGGGCCACCGCGGCCTCTCCTCTTCGGGCCGAGCCTCGCCCCCTCCGCTCGTGCCGCCGGAAGTGGGAGGTGTCGCGCGCGGGCCGGGCTCGACCCCTCCCCCAGGCTCGGCCTCCCCCTCCCCCCGCTCCGCCCGCTCAGGTGCGTCCCGTCCCTCCCCCCTTGCCTCCCGGGGGCGCGGCGCGGGAGGGTGTGCGGGGCGGCGCGGGCCGGGGCTGTGGCGCGCTGGGCCGGGGGCGCGGGCGCGGCGGGGGGCGTGGAGGGGGCTGTGCGCGCGGGAGCGAGGGTCCTGGCCTAGAATGGGCCGGGGGCTGGCACCGGGCCGGGGGCCCAAGAGGAAGGTGCGGAGGCCCTCTGGCCAGAGGAGGCGGCCCGCTCAGCTAGTCCCTTGTCGAGGGCGGCCGGGGCCACCGGCGCTGTTTCCCCCATTGTCCCCTTCGCGGCCGTCTCCCGTTCTCCCCCGAGGACCCGTCGCTCCCGGCGTCGCCGCGTCGCTGGTGGTCGCCGCCAGGCTGCGGCGCGGGGATTCCCTGGGCACCCTCGATTTCTTGCCCCACGCTGCAGCCTCCGGCTAAACGGACCGGCCTCCTGCCCCTGGGGCTCTCGGGCCTCAGAGCTGCCCGTCTGACCCGTGCCCTGTGCTGTCGGGGACCGGCCACCGGGGAACCCCCGACCCGGGCTCTGTGGGGGCAGGATGTTTGCGCCTGGGGGAGCAGTCATGGCGGTTTAGAGCCCATTTTCTCCTCGGAGCGTTGTATCATGGGGGAAACTGAGGCACAGAGGCTTTCTGGCTTGTGACTGAAGTGTTGACACAGCCCAGTCTCCATCCCTGCCCCGTGAGCTCTTCAGGGTTCAGGAGTATACCTGTGATGCTGTTAAAATTAAAACGAGAATTTAAACCAACCCTATCTTACACCTTCCCCCGTGAAGTAGTCTTTTTTCCCCCTTTCTCTTCACCGTAGAGGGCCATGAGTTTGTCCTACAACATAAAGGATGACCTTTTGATCTAAGAAGGTCATCTGTGCCCGTTCCCTTACTTGGCTTACCCTGTTTTTCAGCTTCTCGTTTTCATGCTAGTGTAACCAAGATTCTTAGACTCTTTGCCCGCCTTGTAGTAACTCAAGAGTCTGTACTTCCTCAGTCAGTGGTTATCAGACTTTTCCCATCTGTGGGGAACATACTGACAGTGAGCTATGTGGATTGCCCAATTTGTTTCTTCTCACACACACACACACCTCCGAAAAACTTACTACATTAATGGAGATTCTTTTTAATGTAACAACCATAAAATGATTTTAAAACAAGATATTATTGATAGTAGGCTAAAAAATGCATTCTTTATCCATGGTATTAGGTAAGGTAGGTGTGTGGACCATTTGGAAGATTCTTACAGAAAAGAGTCCATTTTAAATGACTGCGTTTCTGCCAGAAGTGAAAATCAAAGCTTTACACAGACTCCTAGATGTTTATGTGAATATGGTGACTCCTGATTGATGTCCACTGGGACCTATTGCGGGCAGCGGCTCTTTTAATACCCTACTGCAGAATACTCTTAAGTATTTCCTCCTGGAGCCCAACTTGGTGTTTCTTTCCTGGAACAACGCTGTGGTATGGACATTCTCAGGGAGAAAGATACATTTGTTTTGAAAGTTTGAAACTTGTAGCCTGTGATTTGTTTCTGAACCACAGAGCATGATGGCAGCGTCTGAGGTGGCTGGTGTGGTGGCCAATGCCCCCAATCCTCCAGAATCTTCTGCTAGTTTGTGTGCTTCCAAATCAGACGAAGGTCTCCCAGATGGTCTAAGGTAACGTGGATTCTTGACTGGGAAGATTTCATTTGGGTAAAGTAAAGGGCTTTCGAGATGGGCTTCTTGTGGGAGTACAGTTGGTCTTTCCTCTTTTTGTTCTAGTGGCACTGCACTAGGTTAAGCTTTTTAAAGGTAGGGATTGTCTCATCTGTATTTGTGTTTCTGGTATGAAACAGCATCTGACACTCAGCAGGCATTCTAAATGTTTGTTGAATAAATAGATTAGAATACAGGGGATCAAACTCATCCAAAAATGCAAATATTTCCCCACCCTGTCCTACATGGACTGTATGTTCATTTAACTATATGTTTTTATGTGATACACACATATGTTTACAGAAGTCTTCTGTATTACATAGATACGTAGATATACATATACACATAGACACATGTAAATATAAATACACACACATATATGGTTGTGTTTGTATTTATATGTCTGTATCTATCTTGTCTGGATAAATAGGTAGCTTTGTTAATATGGCTTACTGCCTCATCTATATATTTTGCCTTCCATCTAAACTCTGGAGGGCAGGAATTATTACCCAATCTTGCATCTTACAGTGCTTAACACGTTGTTATGTACAATGTCCTAAATTGACTGTGTTTTCCACCTCAACTCTTTTCTAGAGTACCTAGGACCTAAAAATAGATAATATTTCACTAACAGCTTTATATATGCTAACACATTTAATCCTCATAACAATCTCAGGAGGTAGGTGCTAATATTGTTATTCCCATTTACAGGTGAGGAAACTGAGACAAAGAGGTTAGTAACTTGCCAAGGTTACCAGGCTATGTTGGAGTCAGGGTGTGAACCCAGACTCGTCTGACTCCAGAGTACTTAATAAATAGATTTGTTCAAATGAAGAGAGGTTTGTTAGTGAGTGGGTAATGGGGAAGAATGTTAAGTAAGTTTACCCATAAACTTCATTTTACCAATAAAATCAGTCGCATACTACCGCTACTGCTACTACTACTAGCAGCTAAGGTCGCCTGAGTATTTGCTATGTGCTGGGCCCTGTACTAAAGACTTCATATTTATTATCTCATGTAACCCTCACATTAATCCTATTAGATAGGTAAATGAAGTTAAGTAACTTGCCCAGAATCCAACAACTTCTAAATAGCTGTCAGGCTTCACACCCAGGTGCTGTATATGCCCACGTTTATAGTTAAATGTCCCCCCACCCTCCAGTTAACTCCCAGTAAGGAATTAGCTTAGAGTGTTTATAAAGATTTTCATATCACAAGATGCTGTCTCCATTGTTTTATTTGAACAGCTGATACTCTTGAGGAAAGAAAGGCACAGACCTGAAGCTTCAGACACTGCTAGTTTGGGTGCTTAGGGGCATCAATTGACAGAATCAGTTTTGAAAAAAAGGGGAAAGAAATTTAACACAGATTTAGTCATTAGTCTTGGGTGAAAGATTTATAGTTATAAATGTTGAATGTTATTGTCAATAGATTTTAAAGATTTCTTCAATATGTTAAATGGCTGTGACAAACATTGAAACAACTATCCCAGGGTTATACTTGTGTATACTTGTCATCTGGGATAAAATTTCTACTGAGAGCTTCGATTTTGAATTCAAAGTTGTCTGTACTTCAGACAACTTGAAATGAAGATGCTGTGCTCTGGAAAACTGGTGAAGAACCTAAAAAAGTGGTTCTGGTCAAAGATCTGTGTAATGAATTTGGATGATTATTCTTATGAAACGTGAGAGCGGAATAAAAATATTTCTAAATATTTTCTTCATTCAAATATTATGTGTAACTAAATTCTTACATATAACTTAAATGAAATATTCTGACTAGCATTAGGCTGTTTCATCTGCATCCCCAAAAGTTCTTCAAATTGGCCTTTAAAATTTTGGGGGGTCTTCAGTGTGGTCGTTTACTGTGTTGTCATTTACCGTAGACTGTCTCCAGAACCCAGGTTCTTAACTGCCGAGCTATACTCCCTGCATGTGAGATAAAAATAACTGGATAGAAACTAAGTTCCTTTCCGTTCTGATAATTTGGGGGGTTGTATAGTGTTGTTTTGTTCTTCTAGTGGTTATGGTAAAAGTATTATATATTTTATCCTCTTTAAGATTGGATGAAGAGGGAAACTTTTTATCTTATGTTTTCGATAGCCCCAAAGACCCTGCACAGAAGCACAAGAACTCGCCTCTGTCGAGTGTAAGTAGCCAAACGATAACCAAGGAGAATAACAGAAATGTCCATTTGGAACACCCAGAGCAGAATCCTGGTTCATCAGCAGGTGACACTTCAGCAGCGCACCGGGCGGTTTTAGGAGAAAACTTGATAGCCACAGCCCTTGGTCTCTCTGGCGGTGGGTCTCAGTCTGATTTGAAGGACGTGGCCAACACAGCAGGAGAGGAGGGGGACACGTGCCTCCGGGAGAGCCTCCATCCCGTCACTCGGTCTCTTAAGGCAGGGTGCCATACAAAGCAGCCTGCCTCCGGGAATTGTTCTGAAGAGAAATCCCCACAAGCCTCCATCCTAAAGGAAGGGAGCAGGGACACAGGCTTGGATTTCCCACCTGTAGTGCCTCCAGCAAATGGGGTTGAAGGAGTCAGAGTGGATCAGGATGATGATCAGGATAGCTCTTCCCTGAAGCTTTCTCAGAACATTGCTGTACAGGTCAAGTATCAAGTTTCTACTACTAAATGGAATTTGGGCTTTTTGTTTTTTTATTTTTTCGAGGGTAGGAGATGTTTCTTCATAGTTGGTGGAGTACTACTCTGTCTTGTTTTTTTTACTGGCAACTATCATACTGTTTTCATACAGTGCTATGCGATGACTCCATTCTGGTGTTCAATAAATAATACAGCCAGGAGCTAGTGTCTAATTGTGGTGACTAGGAACTTTATGACCTACATATAATCTCTTTCACCAGGTAGTCGATGGGTGTAGGTCATTAGCATTCATATTTCCCATCTTTGTCCTTGCAGGAGGAATCCTTGTTAATTCTCTGACCTACATCTTAAGAACTGCACATATCCTGCCTTCTACTAACTGCTGTGCTTTGTCATAGGAGGAAGGATGGGCAATAGGTTGTAGGGGGCAAAGTTCTTATCTCAGTCTTGAGAGTGTCCTTCAGTCAGTTTTTGGGTCTTGTTTAGATTATTTTGTGGGATAAATGCTTAATGCAGTATGGATGTCAGTGTCTGTCTGCTAGACCTACAGTGCTTGTCTTGCTATGAAACTGATAAGTGGAAAGAGCACAAAGTTAGCTTCTTAGTTACTTGCGGCAGATTTCTAGGTGGAAGTACTAGAGTAATTCTGCCTTTTAAAATATTTCTGAACAGTTCTGAATATAATTGTTTCTTTCTTTATAGACTGACTTTAAGACGGCTGATTCCGAGGTGAACACAGATCAAGATATTGAAAAGAATCTGGTAGGTATTTAAACCGTCATTGTTGATATATGAAACCATTAATGCGGAACATCTAGAGTCACATCATCTCAGTTGGAAAAGGTGCAGGAATGTCCTTTATAAAATCCCCCACAGACGGTCAGCTAACCTCTACTTGATCGCTTCCAGAGATGGGAAGCTTACTCCTCACAAAGCAGCCTAGTACATTTTTACAATAGCTCTTGTTGTTAGATCTTATTCTGAGGTGAGGACAGAACCTCTAGAACTTCTTGTTAGAGTTCTCTCTTGAGCCATGTAGAGTCAATCTGAATCCTCTTTTACTTGTTAGCCCTCCTTATATGTGAAGTTTTTTAATGCCTCTTCCTCTTACCGTTCAAGTCTGAACCTTTCCAGGTAGAATATCCGCAGATGTTTCTAACGTTCTTCTTTTCTTCGCTGATTTGTTTCTCAGTCCTCTCATCATCCTGGTTACTTTTCCACCACGTTCACACGTAGACATGTTCCGTCTTATCAATGTTTCTTTTAAAACATGATCCTGAGGACTAAAGGTAGTAATCCAGATACAGTGTGATTACTTCACAATACGATGGGACTCTCGTTCTCTCTCATTCTGGACACTATGTCTTAAGCTCACGTTGGCTTATTTGGGCGGTCTCGTCACACTGTTGAGCTTTCAGTCAAACTCCATCAAGTCTTTTTCTCGTGTGTTGTTTAGTTGTATCTTCCCATTTTATTCCTAGGTAATTGGTTTTTAAAACTTAAAGAACTGCATTTATTTATTTTTGTCAAAATGGTCCCCTTGATCTGTTTCTGGCATCTTGCGGCAAAAACTTCTGTCTCTTAAGTGTATGGATATCTAAAAGTCTGTTTTTCAAGAGAAGGGATAATCCTGGGAAGGGCAACCTGGGATCAGGAAGAGGTCTTTGGGGTAAAATGTGTTAACTGAGTGGAAAAAAGAGGAAAGATGCTTGTAGCAACCATTATGATAAGAAAGTGGATATTTGATGCAAGTTGAAGAAATTGAGGGACAGATGGAGTACGTTAATCAGATGAGGCCAGTAAAAGTTTTAAATAGAGAGTAGCAACTCAGGAGTTATTTATAACAGGCAAGTAAAAAGATCCTAGAGATGAGAGACTTGATGGAGGTGTGCTGGTTGGAAACCAGGCCTGGAGAGAACCTCCATGGAAAGGGGGAGGAGTCACCTTCCTTGAGCGCTTTCTCTAAGCACTTTACACAGAGTATTTATTTTGTCTCCACAGTTGTAAGGTGGGGTTTGGATGACTATACGGCAATTGAAGGGGCCAACTAAGAAGTTATAGATAAGCTTTAGTATCAGTCTGAAGCAGGGGTGGCAAGCCATTGGGCCAAAAGAGGCCCAGGATTGTGTTTTGTTTGGCTGTATTCTTTTGGGTCATGGTCTGGTTCACATTGCTTTTAAAAAAGCACTGGAACTAGGCAGGTATTAAGATTAGTGGCAATACAAGAAACTTGGCTCCTATTTTATTTGCTACCCTTTTCATGCATTTACAGTCATTGCCCACTGCCTGCATTTGAAATTGTGACTCCTCGTTCTCAGAACGAAATAGCCACTGATGAAACAAAGTACTAATGTGTAACAACCATTTGGCTTGTTGAGATGAGTGAATCTGATCAAGTAATTTACTGTATGCCTTTGAGTTATCCATTTGTATGTACTAACAGTATGTACCTTGAGACTTCTTTCTATGAGACTAGTGTTTTTTCCTCTATTCCTGTTTCTAAAGATGCATCATGGATAGAGAACGTACCATAAAGAAGTAAAGGGAGGGAGCTGCAGTTAAAAAAGAAAAGAATCCTCTAATCTACTAGTTTCATCTGTTGGTTCTTAACCTTTCTTTAACTTTTCTTGGGTTAAGGTCCTCTTTCAGAATCTTTTGAAAACTTTGAATTCTCATCTTAGAAAAACTTATACACATACACACCAATTTCAGATTGTTTGAAGACCCCGGAGGCCCATCCATATACCCCTTGTTCCGAATCCTTTAGAGATGTGGTGCTGGGGAGTCATCTGTTTGGAGAGCCTTGGTGATATTTCAGCCTAGGGACTAAGGACTAGCTTGTCCCAAAGCTGAAGTCCCATCTTGAGAGTTTATTTTTTATCATAATGTAATAAGTTTTCCCCCATTCACTTCTAAAATCTTCTTTTCTTTGGAGATAATTATCTTTTAATGAACAAATTCAGTTTAATGCTCTGTTTAAATTTCACATGGGCTACCTTATACCAAATATATTTTCAACTGACTCTCTTTAAATCTTAGTGTCCCTGATTTACTGATGGGGGGAGGCAGGACTGAACTGTGGTCCTCAGAACCCTTCCTTCAACGCCCTGCTGTATGTGAGAGCTTGCTGATTTGCCCAATCTGAATGCCAGGTTCCCTAGACCTCTTTAGTGATCTGTCAGTTTTCAGTGCTAATGCATTAAGGAATCCTTTTTCTGGATGCATTTTAAGTAAGTGATTGGTTTATTTTTGCTCATTCTTTTTTTCTTTTTCTTAATAGATAATAAAATGCTTCCTTCCTCTTATTCCCTAGAGCAGGGATTGGCAAACTTTTTCTGTAGAGGGTCAGATAGTAAAAACCTTAGGCTTTGTGGGCTACATGGGGTTCTGTTGTAACCATTTCACTCTGCCATTGTAGTGTGAAAGTAGCCTGTAAGCCATTGGGTATGGCTGTGTTCCTATAAAACTTTTATTTATAAAGACAGGCCATAGGGTGCCAGTCCTCTCCTTAGATCAGTGTTATACAGTAGAATTTCCCTTAGTGATGGAAATGTTCTATATTTGTATGTCCAAAAATGGTACTCACTAGTGACATGTGGCCACTAAGCTCTTGGAATGTGGCTAGGTGAGGGAGGAGCCAGATTTTTTAATTTTCTTATTTTAATTAACTTGAATTTACATAGCCACATATGGCTATTAGCTATAGTATTGGGCATGCAGCCGTAGAACTCTGCACAATGCCTTGAACAGGCACACAGTGAAAGTTTCTTGCAATTAAGTTGGGGAATTAAACTTTTCTTTTTTTGTTACCAATAGGATAAAATGATGACAGAGAGAACCCTGTTGAAGGAGCGTTACCAGGAGGTCCTGGACAAGCAGAGGCAGGTGGAGAATCAGCTCCAGGTGCAATTAAAGCAACTTCAGCAAAGGAGAGAAGAAGAAATGAAGAATCACCAGGTATTCTGCCTGTATTAAAATTGTCAATAAGTAAAGCTATAGCCCCTCGTCAGACTTTACTTTTGTTTCTGAGTTAATAGAAAAGCATTTAACTTTTTAATCGTTATCATAGAATTTTAAGGATAAGAAGAACTTTGAGGGTATCTTCTCCAAACTCTTACTGTTACTTTAGTTCACAGAGAAAAGGATTAATTACTTAATATATTTTGTTGACATAATTGTCAACTTGGAAAATCATTTAATTAGATTCCTGTCTTACATTATATTAAAAAGTACAATTCTAAGTAGGTTAAAAGTCTATATATCAATACTGGAAAAAAATTTTAAATTAGAAGAAAATTTAGGAGAATATTTATAAAACCTCAAGTTGCAAGAGGTCATGGTAACCCAGGTAAAAAACCCAGAAGCCATAAAAAAATTAATCAATTTAATTACATATAATTAAAATTTTTTGGTATGGCAAGTGATACAAAAAACAGTCAAAAGATCAATGTTAGACTGAGAGAAAATATTTATAGCGCATCTGACGAAGGGTTTGATATCCCTGACATTCTGAGATTCCTACAAGTTCACGGTAGAAGTCAAACAATCTAGAGATAAACCAGAAAAGCTTATGGTATTAGTTTCCTATTACTGCTCTGACAAATTACCATGGATTTAGTGGATTAAAATGGCACAGATTTATTCTCTTACAGCTCTGTGGGTCAGAAGTCCACCATGCTGCATTCCTTTCTGGGGGCTCTAGGGCAGAATACGTTTTTTTGCATTTCCAGCTTCTAGAGGCTGCTTGCATTTCTTGACTTGTGACCCCCATGTCCATCTTCAAAGTCAGCAACATTGCATCTCTGAGCATTCTCTAGCCTGATCATGTCTTCCTCTGATCACAACTGGGAAAGCTTCTCCACTCTTTTTTTTTTTTTTTTTTAAGATTTTATTTTTTTCCTTTTTCTCCCCAAAGCCCCCCGGTACATAGTTGTATCTTCTTCGTTGTGGGTCCTTCTAGTTGTGGCATGTGGGACGCTGCTTCAGCGTGGTCTGATGAGCAGTGCCATGTCTGTACCCAGGATTCGAACTAACGAAAGCGTAGCATGTGAACTTAACCACTTGGCCACGGGGCCAGCCCCAGCTTCTCCACTCTTAAGGACCCATTTTGTGATTAGATCGGGCCCACCTAGATAATCCAGGATTATCTCCCATCTCAAGATCCATACTGAAATTATACCCGCAAAGTCCCTTTTGCTATGGAAGGTAACATATTCATAGGTTCCAAGGATTAGAACATGGACATTTTTGTGAGGAGAAGGCTATTGTTTTGCCTACAACAATTATAAGCAGTAATTCAAAGGAGAGGAAAAGAAAATGGGTAATAAATATATGAAAACAACCTCAGCCTCACTAGTGTTCATTCATTCGTTCAGCAAATATTTTTGAGTTCCTAATCTAGGCTCTGAAGATTTAGAGGTGAACGAAATGTAGTCTCTGCCTTCATTGAATGCTTATTCTAGTCGGAGGGGACAGGCAGTAAAAACAGTAAAGAATGGGCGATAGAGAAATGCTCATTAAAATTCTTAGATACCATTCCTCCCTCTCCCCAAGAGATTGGCAGAAATGAAATAAGTTGTCAAGGGTGAAGAAAAATGAACTCTCTTCAGACATTGGTAGGAGTGCAAATTGTTATGACCTTTTTGGAAAAGCTATTAGGAATGGTCAGTTAAAATTTAAAATGTACATTTACAGCCATGCACCGCATAATGACATTTTGGTCAATGATGGACCGCATATACAATGGTGGTCCCATAAGATTAGGACCATAGAGCCTAGGTGTGTAGTAGGCTATACGATCTAGGTTTGTGTAAGTACAGTCCATGATGTTTGCACAATGGTGAAATCGCCTAATAATGCATTTCTCAGAACATATCCCCATCGTTAAGCAGTACGTGACTATACCTTGACCTAGCAGTCTCATTAGGAGTCTATTCTACGGAAATAAAAGTTTTTGCATGAAATTGTAGACATGTAGAGTGTTTATTGCAATATTGTTTGTAGTTACAAAAAAACTGGAATTAATCTGAGGGACTTTTAACAGAGAATGGTTGCGTAAGTTGGAAATATATATATATATATATATTATGTGATGTTATGCAGCTGTTTTTGAGTTTGATCTATATTTATTGACAGTATGTTCATATCAAGTGAAAAAAGCAAGATGCAGAATAATGTATATAAAATGACCTTATTATAAAACAAAAAAGCAAAGAAATACATACGTAAATATATTTGTATTTCTGTGAGAGTGGAGAAAGATGTGAAAGCATAGTACAAAACAGTTAACGCATTGCTTACTTTATGGGTGGAATTGGTGTGAATTAGGGGATGACTTGACTTTGTCACTTTTTATTGTTTGACTTCTTATTCCTAATACATATACTTTTTTTAAATAATGAAAAAAAGAAAAAAAATAACCTTACACATCATAAAGTAGAACCTAACAAAACAAAACAAGACCAGATTTGTTGGGAGTAACAAACTCCCACCCTGTGCAAGAATGCTTTTCTCAGCATTCTTGACAGGTGTTCGTTCAGCCTTTATTTGAACAACATTAATGGAGAGCTTATTGCTTCACAAGGCAGTAAATTCCATTTTTGAACAGTTGTGATTATTAGAAGTTCTTTCTCCTGTTGAATTGAAGTCTGCTTCATTGTAACCTTTCTCCCTTACATCTAAATACTGGCTTTTGGAATTACTCGTCCGTCAGATACTTTCAATTCAATTTGAATTCACTAAGGTCAATGTGTTAATTTGTGATAGTTGAAAATAACCTTCAGACCAAAAGAACTAATTTATTTCCTTCTTTATTTGTGTGTGACTGTAATTGTGTGGGACTCAGGAGATATTAAAGGCTATCCAGGATGTAACAATAAAACGAGAAGAAACAAAAAAGAAGATAGAGAAAGAAAAGAAGGAGTTTTTGCAGAAGGAGCAGGATCTGAAAGCTGAAATTGAGAAGCTTTGTGAGAAGGGCAGAAGGTAAATGATGCTGTTAAGAATAAAAACCCTGTGTGTATGTGTATGTTTGTGCATAAGGGGCAGGTCCTGTTTGTGTTTCTAGTTTCTTTTCTTTAGGTCTAATTTTTATTTGAAAAACAAGCACACAAATAAAAATCCTCCAGTGACTAGCATTTTCAGCACCCTGTATTACATTTAATTAAAAGAGTTTCAGAGATTCATTAATACCTTGAAATAATAGCAGCTAATTGTTAGGTCTCAAGTAGGATTAAGATTTTGATCTACCACCTATTTCACTTGCTTTATCTGATGTTTTACAAATTCAGGCTATAGAATACTTTGATTATATTTATTTTATTCAGCACCAAAGCAAATTTCAAGCAGTAACATTGTAAGCTGTTTGCAAAGAATAATTTAATGGATCTCTGTCCTCTTCTGGGTACTGCAGCAAGACCAAGGTGGGCATAGAATTTGGTTACATTTTCAAGTTTCCAGATTTCTTAGTATGATCTGTTTGGAAATTAGAATAGCTGTGAATACTTTGATGATATTATTTAGGTTCTCCTAAAATACGTTTTTATTTATCAAGACAGTCTTGGCTTGCTTTTGTGTTAGAGAGTTAAGTGAAAAGTAGCAAGCTCATTTGCTGAATTATTCTTCAGGTATGAAAGATGATAACTGTGAAAGGTCAACATGAGAAAGAATGGTTGGGAAAGGGCCTAAAGACCAGTCAGTTGTTCTGCTGAGAATCTCGTGATAATGGTCAGAAGATGAGTCAGTTATCCACGATGATCCATATGCCAGTAGTTACGAAGAGTGTTGTAGGAGCAGAACACTGTACTAGGTATTGTTAGCAATCAAAACAGCAACACTACTGCCCAACAACATGGCCTCTGCTATCATCTTCACAGTCTGTGTGGGGAAGAGGAAGCATATACATGTACATGTAAGCACCTTAGCAGCAGATATCTTAAAGAGCAGAAGTTGGGAAGGTGAGTCTGTGATATTATTGTAGCACCATGAAAGATTTCCTTTTGATGTGTGCTCCTTACACTCTGTACGTATCTCTGTCTTCTTTACCAGCTGAGTGGATAGCTACGAATGGTGACTGATACTAACCGTTTGCTTCTTGTATTCTTGAAGATCCAGTTGGGTTTTTTAAGTGTATATCATAAGCATTAGGATGATGCTTTTTGTCATTCTTTCTGTTAAATGTGGGGTTCTGTTAAATTTTTCAAGAAGTGAGGGGAAGAAGTCTCTGTATCTTTGTTCTAGCAGTGGTATAGGTTTTGTTTAGCATTCCATTAGTCATAGGAACTGTGGACACACAGATTTTGGTCATTGTATGTTAGTATGCTTGGGCTGCTATAACAGACTACCACGGACTGGGCAGCTTAAACAACAGAAATTTATTTTCTCACAGTTCTAGAGGCTGGAAGTCCAAGATCAAGATGAAGGCAGGGTTGGTTTCTGGTGAGCTCTCTCTTCCTGGCTTGCAAACGTAATTGCCTTCTTGCTGTCTCCCGTGGCCTTTCCTCTGTGCCCACATTCCTGGTGACTCTTCTCTTCCTATAAGGACACCAGTCCTGTTGGATTAGAGCCCCATCCTTATGACCTCATTTAACTTTAATGACCTCCTTAAAGGCTCTATCTCCAAAATACAGTCACAGTGGGGGTTAAGATTTCAACATAGGTTTTGTGGGAACACAGTTCAGTCCATAACAGTCATAGTTCTCATTCAAAGCTCGCTCTTTCATTCATTCAGCCAACATGTATTGAGTATCTACAATGAGCCAGACAATATAGGCCTGGAGGATAGAAATTCTTCAAGGAGCTTGTTGTTTAATAGGGAAGATAGGTAAATAAACAGAAAATTACAAAATAGCATAATGATACCATGATAGTCGGTGGTATGGAAACATATAGAAGAGGCATGTAACCCAGACTGGGTAGGGGGAGTCAGAGAGGGCTTCCAGAGGAAGTGATTCCAGAATTGAGTCCTAAAAGATAAGGAGAGACATGACCACCAAGCACAGTGCATGGTCCTTGGTTTGATCCTGGGTTAAACAAACTATAAAGGACATTGGAATAATTGGGAAAATTTGAATATGGAGTACATATTAGGTAATATTGTATCAATGTTAAATATTTTGCATGTGATTATGGTATCGTGTGATTATGTAGAAGGTTGTTCTTGTTCTTAAGAGATACTTGCTGAAGGTTTAGGGGTTAAGTGTCATGTGTGTACCTTTCAGACGGTTCAGAGAGGTAAATGTGACAAAAAGGTGTAATAGCTGGTGGATCTAGATGAAGACATGTGTTCATTGTACATTCTGTTAGTTTTGCTGTTGGTTTGAAACTTTCAAAGAAAAAGTTGCAGGAGTCAGGATAGACATAGGGAGGAATTAGCCAGGCAAAGAATAGGGAGAAAGCTATTGCAGGCAGGGGTCCTATAGAGGAGAGAGAATAGCAACTGAGATGTGAGGTGGAGAGGAATGAGGCTAGTGAAGTAGTCAGAAGCCAGATCACAAAAAGCTCATATGCTGCATTAAGGAGTTTGGGTTTATTCCTTGATAGTGAGAGATACTGAAGGATTTTAGGTGGGGGGAGTATCAAAGGATGAGATTTGCATTTTAGATAGATGACTTTGGCAGTTGGAAAATGGGTTGGAGTAGTGTAGAGATCCAGTTAGGAGACTCACCTGTCAGAGCCTGTGTTAGAATAACAGAGGCCAAAACTACAGTGGCATCCGTGGGGAGAAGTGACCGTGTTTATAAGATCTTGGGGGCAGCATCGGTAGGTGGGCAGGGCCGAGTTAGAGTAACTTCCATATTTCTGGCTTGGGAAATAATGGGGTTCTTTTATAAGATGTCTTATCTGTTTTACTCATCTTACAAGTTTCAACTTAAATTCTGCCTCCTTTGTGAAATCTTCTTTAGCCGTTTCTTCCTGAACTAATTTCTCTCTCAGAATACCTGTATGGTATTCTGCCCATTTTGCACTTATTTTTATATTATACTTTACATTTTTTTCCACCTGTGTATGTCTTGGCTGGCCATTTATATTGTAAGCCTCTTAAGGAAAAGACTAGACTCTCTCTCTCTGTATATGTATTTAAAAAAATGTTTCTGTTCTTTTGTGTTCTTTTATAAGACTTAGTTCAGTGCTATGTATCTGGTAATTATTTGACAAGTATTTGTTGAATCACTGGATAGGAAATGAAGAGAATTTCTCATTGATATTATATGAAGATGAACTTAATTAATAGAAATCTGCTAAGTGCTTTGTACAGTCCTCCCTCGGGATCTGGAGAATTGGTTCTAGTACCCTTGTGGATACCGAAATCCACAGATGCTCAAGTTCCTTAGATAAAATGGCATAGTATTTGTATATGTATAACCTATGCACATCCTCTTCTATACTTTAAATCATCTCTAGATTACTTATAATGCCTAAAACAATGTAAATGCTATGTAAATAGTTGCTAACACTGTATTGTTTAGGGAATATTGACAAGACAAAACGTCTGTACGCATTCAGTACAGACACAGCCTCATAGGCCTTTTGGTCTGTGGGGTTGGTTGAATCCACAGAAGCGGAACCATGGATATGGAGGCCTGACTGTACTATTTGGATGTAATCACTATGTACTTTAATGTAATTATAATTTTTAAAGAAGACACCTTGATTTGCTGCCAAAAAAGACCAAATATTCAGTTTAGTCGTGTATTTGATTGTTTTTTTCCTGGACACTTGGCTGCTTTGCCATGGATGTTGTCTTGCTTCTGTGAGAATACTTTCTAGTTCCCAGCTTGCATCCTTCAAGGTTACTGCTGGCATTAGAAAGATGAGGCTTACATGCTAGTTCTCTTGTAGGGCAGGACTTCTTTTTAAGCCGCCTGCCTTTAATAGTAACTCATTGAGAAGGGAAGCAAGTGAGGCTCTTCCTGGATAAAAGCTGGTGAGCTTATGCTTTAAAGGACGTCATCAGTTGATTCTTAGAAGTAGCTTGGGACAAGTAGCAGGAAAGCTGCAATATCAAGCAAGGTTCTTCTTTTTTTAAAATGCTCTGAGCTTGCCTGATGAACTCATGTGATAGACTGATGGGTAAGTGGCAGATCAAGGGAGTTATTGTTGGAAGCATTACTTTGGGTGTGATATGAGTGTATGCTAAATTGAAAATGACAGGGTGCATGAGGATTCTTTTTGGAACTTTCTCACCAAATGCTAGTTTATTTAACTGGTGCTTTGAAGACCTAACAGCTGTCTGGCAATCAATAAATCTAGGGAGAGCAGAGCAGTGAGCCAGGCTGTTGCAACGTCCCATATTTTGACCATAACTTTCAGTCCTTCCACCTTTCTGTCTCATTCCCAGTAAATGTACGCTTCGACCACATCAGGTTCTCTTTCTTGTTGATTAACCTCATTCCATTTTCCACCAGTATTTCAGCTCCCTGGAAGCATTTCTTTCCTTAGCCAGCCTACACTCGTGGTCCGTCACTTGAATTACTCCCTCACCATTACCATCAGCTCTCTTTCATTCTTCCGTAGTACCCCAGTCCTTGGTCAAGTCAGCCGCCTGACCTCTCTCTCTTCTTATGTCTGGGCTGCTGAGTGCTTCTGGAGAAAGTCTACAACTGTGTCTTGGGGCCAGAATAATTTATGACTTCCAACACCACCTGGGTTCTCAGGGCTTCCTCTTCCTCTGAGGACTGCCCCAAACTTTTACTTCTCTTTCTAAACTTTCTGTCTCCATCATTTCTCTCCTTAGTCTTAGCAGATGATCTTCTCTCTTCTTTCGCTGAAAAAATAGAGGCCATCAAGTAAAACTTCCTTCAGTTTCCTAACCATCAGCAGATGCATCTGTCCTTTCTTCCTGTCCTTGTGTCTCCTGGGCATGAATCTCAGTCCCTCCTTGCCTCTGCCACTTCTTCATAAGTGGTACCACTCTCTCCTCCAGTGCCTAAGCTGAATAACTGGGAGTCATTCTAAATTCCTCTCTCTCAGCCCCACTCCACCAC